CACTGCAGTTCACTACCATACCATACTAGCTTCACTGCAAGTTGGCAGGAGCGCCACCAGCTCAAACCAAATCGGCACACCGTTGCCAACCAAGACAACCACAGCCTCGCTCGAGGCTTCCTTCCTGAAGGTGATCAAACTGGCGAATGGCCACGTCGTTGATTAGCTGCACTCCGCAGCAACAGATCACTGCTTGCCGTGCGTGGAGTACTGGCACTCCGAGGCATGAAGCCACCACTTCTGTTGGACGCGCGGAGTGTTGAGACATTTCCAGCGGAATTGGCCGGGGCGTTTCTAAGTGAAGAGTATGCCGGTCGTCTTGACCGTGGCAGGGACAATGCCGAAGCAGTGCGGTTCAGGTCATCGGACTCGCTAACCAAAAGGTCAGATGGTGAGACAATACTGCCGCGGCTGTCCATGTCCGAGGACGTCACCTGTTGCAGAGACTGGCGGAGTGCCAAGTGGATCTGCCTCGTCTCGCCGGTGTTGCGTGACAGGCCGTCAGCAGTCTGGCGCATCTTCTGCCGCTGAGATGCCACTTTCGCTGTGAGTGTCTGATTCTGCAATGCAGCCGGCACAGCAGACACAGTGCATACAGCAAAAACGCACGGCAGTCAGGACAAGGAAACTGGACAGAACAGCTTCTTTTCTTAATGGATGCCGCAAGCTCTGGCAAATATAGTTGTATTGCCTTGGTGATGAGTCATGCCTGGAATTTGGCAAAATTGCAGAAAATCATTATTCAGAGCAAACACACCTGTGACCATGCATGCTGGCGTATGAGAGAAAATCAAACTGTCGGAACCTGTAGTCTTCTGAGCATTGAATCGAATGGCCTCGGTCCAAGGAGGTTGAGATACAGCGCTTGCGAGATAGACACAATTGTGTGTTCCCCATGTTCGGACTTCATTCTTTTGAGCCTGTTCTATCATCATTCGTGAACTTTTGAAGTCTTTTATGTATTTTCAATTGCATGTTGGTGCATACAGGGTCAGGTAATACTGGCACCGAGTACCCGATTCCAGTTCCTATAAATAACTGGTTTGACAGGCTAAGAGATACAGCACCGCAAACCCTCACCAGTACAGAGGAGACGATACGATAGTGCACTTCAACCTTCTACACTAAAAAATTCACGGTTCGCGCGAGACTGGGTACTAGGCCAAGTTTTCTGCATCTGTAGGACCTCCACAACCCTCTATGGTTCAGCACTAACATTGCAGTCAAGTACAGTGATAGGGCCAGTAGAACAGCTGTGGATGATTAGTTAGCATTCGTGCATGTGCTTACATCATTCTCCAGCTGAAAGACCCTGGCCTGCAACTCGGCCGCTTTTAGCTCTGTCCTGGAGAGCTTCAGCTCAGCTGAGGATCCTGGATAGTCAGAAACAGTGTCGCTATCGCTTGATGTCCTGCATGGGGCACACATCGCAATACAGACAGCAGGGGATGGTTTGTTATGTCTTGCATTACATCATGTACAATGTCATGCACATAGTAATATTATGACTCCATGGCTTGCAGCCCTTTCTCTCTGTCGCGCTTTTCATATTCTTCTTCTTAGTCTTCTTCTTTCAACGCCCATCGCCGGAGGCGGTGATAGCAATGCTACAGCAGAAGCCATAGCAACATGTGCTGGGATGGCACCTTCCAACAGCTTGAAATGCTGAAAAATTGACCTCCACTATTCAGCCCTGGTCTACCGGCACCACACAGCTATGAAGTGGGTTTTTTCTGGCCAGTGAACATAATTACAGTAAGTTGCACACGGCCAGTGCAGGGCAGGGAAAAGACCATAGTCATCTCTCAAACTTGTGCATATGTGAAAAGCATACTCCACACAGCTGTTCCGATCATACAGTCATAGGTCTAGTAGTATTTGTGTAACCATAACAGTTGGTAAGAAGAGATAAATCTGCTGGTTAAAGGGGAAGTTAAGCCTAAAATCAAATTTTCACCAGTTGTAGTCTTCGGGATGTTGAGTCGAATGGTCTTGGTCCGAGGAAGCTGAGACGCTCCCTTCCTCCTTTATTCCCAATCGAACTCGCGCACTTCCACCGAAACTGGGTGACTGCGCCCTACTAGACAGGGATTTGTATGTAAAATGTCACTAAAAGCGCCATTTCGTTCTTATAAAAGCCAGGATGACCGCAATTGGCACATATGTTGTAGTCTTTTGGACGCTGAGTCCACTGGTTTTGGTCCAAAAAGGCTGCGATGCAGCGTTCGGCCCATATTCCCAATCGAACATGGTTAAACAAGCGGTCACGTGCTCATGCGTACACCAGTCACCTAGTCACCGCGCCAGCACAGGCCCAGCAGGCGACAACTTTCACATCAAGTTTCAACTCAAAGGTTCAACGGTTTGACTCAAGTGACAGAAACTCGCCCAAGCATGCTGTAAGTTGTAGCCTGCACTGGCCCTGCAGGCACGGTGACCAGGTGACTGGTGTACGCACGAGCACGTGACCGCTTGTTCAGCCATGTTCGATTGGGAATAAGGGCCGAACGCTACATCGCAGCCTTTTCGGACCAAAACCAGTGGACTCAGCGTCCAAAAGACTACAACATATGGGCAAATTGCGGTCATCCGGGCTTTTATAAGAACGAAATGGCGCTTTTGGTGACATTTTGCATACAAATCCCCATCTAGTAGGGCGCAGTCACCCAGTTTCGGTGGAAGTGCGTGAGTTCGATTGGGAATAAAGGAGGAAGGGAGCGTCTCAGCTTCCTCGGACCAAGACCATTCGACTCAGCATCCCGAAGACTACAACTGGTGAAGATTTGATTTTAGGCTTAACTTCCCCTTTAAGTACTAGGCGATGTATCATTCACCAGCAACCGAATGCACTCCATGTGATGCAGTCAGCGATTAAAGTTCTGTACATGTATGTTCTGCAACGATGATCTGGTCTCATTCACTGGTCTCATTCACTGGTCTCATTCACTGGTCTCATTCACTGGTCTCATTCACTGGTCTCATTCACTGGTCTCATTCACTGGTCTCATTCACTGGTCTCATTCACTGGTCTCATTCACTGGTCTCATTCACTGGTCTCATTCACTGGTCTCATTCACTGGTCTCATTCACTGGTCTCATTCACTGGTCTCATTCACTGGTCTCATTCACTGGTCTCATTCACTGGTCTCATTCACTGGTCTCATTCACTGGTCTCATTCACTGGTCTCATTCACTGGTCTCATTCACTGTTCAGACAGACATAGGTACAGTAAGTTGCACTCGGCCACACTGATCGCAATGCAGACAACAGGCGGACGGTTTGTTATGTCGTGCATTACGTCATGCATATCCCTTTCCATCTAAAAGACCAGAGAGGATAGAGTGTACCTCGGAAAACAAAGAACAGCCACATATGTCCCCTGGAGGTGTGTTCCACTGAGGGTTAACTGTACATGTACTACTGGTGTGGACATGGAAATCCGGCCGCACGTCTAGCGGCCCCAGGGCGCTGGCCATGCAGCCGTGAGTACGCACATTGATCATAATCATGTAAGTTATGCGCTGCAGCGCGCTGGTCGCATCGGATCAGCATGTGCACTGCCTGCAACGACATTCTGTACGCACTGAGGGCGCCGGCCCCGGTCAATCGACTGGATTTCCATGTCCACGACAGCAAATCCACGTACAACAGTGCTGCTCAATGAAATCCAGTAGCGAGAGTCAAGTTTGCGCCTTGCACCATTTCGCAGCCCAGCGTTCGCAAGTCTAGGGCTGCGCAGGCACCCTACTTGAGAAGTTGAGCAGTGATGTGACTGGATTTCATTGAGCGGCACTGTGCTTCTAAATGAATTGGCGTATTGTAGTGCATACTGTCTACTGCGGGCATATACTCAGTACTGGAGTCTCCATATACTGTAAATCATGAATATGTAACGAACAAGTAAATCTAACGAGTTAACGAGCAAAGATTTGTCGTTATTTTAAAATTCGTTAGCAAAAGTCGTATGATTTGGGCCTCGCACGCTTGAAATCGATCATTTCACATTATGGCATGCAGCGCGTGTTCAACGGATCGTAACTCGGTCAATTCTCAACGGAATTCAACAATTGAAAGATCTAGATGATAGCAGAGACGCTCAGCAGTCGGCTCGAACAAGTTCGAAGTCTCTCAGATGAATTTTGCCGAAGCGGCGGGAGATCGAAAAATTTGAATTTTTGCGCTCTTACACTGGATAAATTTCATTTTCTTTATTCTCCTGACATCGAGGTATACTGTGCATGTGATGGACAACAATCATGAATGAATGTCCTTGACGAGCAGTCCTAGTATTATTGAATCTGTCTGAGAAAATCGTTAACTTTTCAAACCGTTAACCTTTAAAAATCAGAAAATCGTTAACTTTGCGGGTCGTTAAAATAATATGATTTACAGTACTCAGTACTAAGTACTGGACTCTCCATGTAACTCAGTTCTGGACTCTCCAGATGCATGCATGTATCCCTTGGAAAAGGTTAAATGAAGATAAAAAGAGCACCTGACCTTGCGCCGTGTCTTCGGCGTGACGCTGAGGCTTCTCCGCGGCCATCCGTGAATGCTTGGCTAGCCCACTGCTCCGGGCCGTCGCTGAGACCAGAGCCGGCAAGCAAGTCTGATGACGACTCAATGAGACTGGTATTGTGCGGAGACTGTATGCGGTGGCACCAGAGGGTTGCGCGTGCAGGCAAAGAGGAGCAATAACACGCATAGCGGCATTATCATGAGTCGGCCACAAACCACACAGCACAGTCATGCATATCCCTTTCTACATGAAAATTAATAGTCTCCTTATGAAATACCAAAGGTACAGTCCTGCTCAATAAAATCCAGTCGCGGCACTCAAGTTTGCGCCTTGCACCTTTTCACAGCCCAGCGTTTGTAGGTCTAGGGCTGCGCAACGCCTGGCGCGTTCTTGAGTGACGCGACTGGATTTCTTTGAGCAGGACTGTACATGTGTGGCAACAAGAAATAATTAATTTTCTTTCTACGAGCCACAAATTTACAATCCACCCAATGATCACATGACCTCGCTGTCAGGTAGGTACCTGGATATCTGGTGGACAGTAACCATGGTGATGCATAACTCTTAGCTAGCTTTGTTTCCTCCTCTGTTTGATCCATGGAATACTTTTCATCAAACCAGGGAAAACTTCACCTGCAGCGAAGAGGCCACTCCTTTACCACACACTGTCCAAAATTGGAGAAAGCAAAATAGCAGCACCCCGCAACTTGTGACGGACACTCCTCCCATTCATTGCCGCGGGAGTGTCAACAACATTGCTAGTTCTTTTCGACTCTCTCGTACACACCACAACAACAACAATAGAACTGCAGGGTCGCAGCACCAGCTGCTCCAAGAACAAAAAGAACACTGTCTTCAGACCAGCATGCACCTTCATGTGCATGCTGCAACTCCGCACTGTGCAGCCAGTGCGTACCGCACTCCCAGCACAGTCCGTGAACTCTGGACTGTGCACTCGCGTTTCGAAAAGAACAGCATTTCTTGTTTAATATTTAACTCGGATGGTGAGCCAATTAAATTATTGTGAAAAGAAGAAAGACAAAATGTTGCGAGTTATGGCTAACTGTCCACCAACGTCCACTCGCTGACTCTTTAAGATCTGGTTACGTTGGTGGACAGTTAGTCATAACTCGTAACATTTTGTCTTTCTTCTTTTCACAATAATTTCTTGTTTACTTCGTTGCTCTCATCCAACAAGAAATGAGGCATTTCTCTTTAAAAGATACAAAAGACACCAGTGTAAGAGGGACCATACCTTTTTTCTGTCTGGCCGACCGTCATCTCTTCTCCGATCAGTAACATTGCGATGCAGGTGATCACGGTTGCTACCAGCACCAGCACCAGCACCAGCAGATGTTGTGTTAGCTGATAGATGTAGACAATGGCGTTCCTGTACATACTCGGCAACTTGCTCTCGCAGCATATCCAGAGTGTGTTCCTTGCTGTCGGCAGCCTTCAGCCTTGCCGCAAGGCTCCTCTCCCGACCCATTAGCTCTTCTATAGCCAGAGATAGGCCGTCCTTGTCACTGTCTGTCTTGCGAAGTTTTGCTTCCACCTCGTTACATTGTTCCGTTTTACTGTTGAGCTGCACTTCGATACTATCCAGTTGCACACGGAGCTCCTTGTGCTTCTCTTTCAGGTTATTGTGCCTCTCGTGTACGTGGCTGAACTCTTGTCTCATATTAGCCAGCGCATCTTCACTTGTCTGAAGCTGAGCCCGCAGGTCAAATATCTGATTAGTAAGTGCTGCAACATGCCGGGCACTGTCCACGTTCTCCAAGTCAGCCTCTTGTCGCTGCGACAGGGCCGCGTGCAGCTCTCGCCTGTGGGATTCGGACATTTGCTCCAAGGCATGATGCGCTCTTGCCAGTTGTGCCTCTGCTTCGCTGCGACGTGTCTCCGCTTCATCCCTGGCCGTCTTCTGGTCACTGCAATCTAGACGTACTGTCAACAGCTCCTCGGTTTTCAGTTGCAGTTGTCTTGTCACTTCTGCAAGCGTGGCGTCTTTCTCATTCTGAACAGTCTCGATGGCGTTGGCATTGTCCCTGGCGTCCGACTCTTGACTGTTCCTGAGCCGAGTGACTTCGGTCTGGTACTGCTTCAGCTCACTGGACAAACCACTCACCTGTACCTGCAGTTCCAGCTTTCTGGCGTTGACCTCCTTCAGCTGCTGCTCTGAGGTGCTCAGGGCCTGCTCAAGAGACTCCTTCACGGCTTGTATCGAGCTAAGCTTCTGCTTGGTACCGGAGAGCTCGGAGCGTAAGTTCCCAACCTCCTGTGATATGTGAGCTGACGTTGCCTCGTGTCGATCGTAGAAGCCGGTGAGGTCTCTGATGGATCGGTTCTTCTTGTCCACTTCTGATCGGAGGTGAGTGATCTCAGCTGCAAGCTCTCGCTCCGCATCTCTCCGCCTGGTGGCCTCCAGCCGTAGCTGCTGCTGTGAGTACTCCGTGGCACTGAGCTGAGTAGACAGCCTTTCTACAGCAGCTGCTTGACTTTCCACATGCTTGACCAGCCTAGCGACGGCAGCATCCACTGGCATGCCACCTCCGCTCGCCGCCTCACTGGGTATATGCAGCTGAGTTGATCCGTCTGACATGATGCGCTGCAGTCCAGCTTCAAATTGTCTCAACGAGGACACAAGCAGAGCGCGATCTTCGACTAAACTGTTATTCGTAGACACTCTGTCCTCCATTTCCTCCTCCATTTGGTCCAGCCTACTTGTAGCCTCCGCCAGACTGTTATTCAACAGCTTGACCTCCGCTTCACGCTTCATTAGAGCTGAGTTGAATTCATCCGAAGCCTTGGAGACCTGGCTGGCCAGGTGGGCGTTTGCTGCCCGGAGACTGGAAACCTCCTGGTCGAGCAGGCTGTGCTCCTGCTGTTGCTGCTTGAGATCTAGCTGATGTCTGCGCTGCGCTTCCTCCATGTTGCTCTCCATTTCCTTCAGAAGGAGTCTGGAAGTACAGAAAAAGAGGAACATTAAAAATAAAATCGGTTGCTCTCCACACTGGAGCTCGCGCTTTTCGAGCCAACCAACTTCCTTAATTTAACCCTTTAGAGCCTAAATTATTTCAGCTGAAGCATGATATTCACAAACTCACATTCTCATCTGGCTGTAATTTTGATAGCCTTCGGAGGATTCTAACAATCTTGGACTCCATGGAAAGCTCTCAGCAAGACGAACGCAGCCATACCCAGTTTGCCATTGACAGAGCCGAAGGCGTAAAGCCGCAGCGCGATGCGAGTGTTCAAATGCCAGACCTACATAGTACATGTACGAGCGTGGCACTAAATTCTCAGGCATTTCAACTATTTCGATCCCAGAACGGTCAAAGCTTTCGCAGGAGAGAGCTGAGAAATGCAGCTACAAGTGTGAATACGTGGGCAGCGAGTCAGGGAAAACCCCTTGCACGTGTTTAAATTTACGCTGGCGCGAGCTGACTTGTGCCAGCAAATTTTGTTCGAGTGTCATAACTCTACTCCAGGACCTCAGATCGTCTTCGGGTTTTTTCCAGCCGACAGCTGAGGCATTCCTGATACGAATAGACCGTTTGATCGTTGAATTCAGACAAGGATTGACTGAATGCCGAGGTTTGCTACCACTTCTTTTGTAATAGCAGCATTTAAATACAGTAAAAATATGACTCAATGCAATGGGGGGGGATTAGTAATACATAATTTTACTGGTTTGAGTCGACCTTAGGTTGAACCCGGAAAGATCGTTTACATAGCGTTCCTATCTTTCATATCTTTCATTGCACACAAGTACTCACAACGGCAACATTGAATCTACCACAGAATCGTATGCAGGTACTCACGACGGCCGATTCTCGTACGCAAACAAATCACAAGGTTTGCAAAATGTCCGTATCTAAGCTGACTGTATGAGGCTATGGAGATAGACGTAGCACAAGGAACATTGCAATCAGTGCAGTCATGGTTCACTATTTTAAACAAGAGGCCAACTCAAAACTAGCCCTACTGGCCCTACTAGCCCTACTAGCCCTACTAGCCCTACTGGCCCTACTGGCCCTACTGGCCCTACTGGCGCTACTAGCCCTACTGGCGCTACTGGCGCTACTGGCCCTACTAGCCCTACTGGCCCTACTGGCCCTACTGGCCCTACTGGCGCTACTGGCCCTACTGGCGCTACTAGCCCTACTGGCGCTACTGACTGATGGGCTGCAGGTGAATTGGCTGAGGATGGAATTGGCCATTGTCGTCGATATTGGGAAGATCTTCGTCGAGAAGACCTATCTGCTGGAAAGCGATGGGGAAGTGTGCGTCGATGTGTATGCCCATTAGCAGGAGATTGCCACAGCCATACATGTTCACCACTGTCCTAATGCCAGGGCTGCCGCAGCTGACATTGCCAACGGTGATGAGAATGAGGTGCGAAGATTGATGGATGAAGCAAAGGCAAGCATTCAGCCGGCTGTGACCTACTTCCAGCGCCGTTTCAACCATGTCAACAGCACTGTGCACCAACCCGTGTCACTCTTCAAGGCCGTCAGAATATTCTGTCCGCTGAATGTGAACACTGCCTTGGTCAATGACCTGCGCCGGTTACTCATCTTGGATGACGACGAGATCATCGCCGGACTGTGCGAGGAATTGCCTGCTTACCTGGTAGCAGCCCAGGACCACCAGAGAGGATCGTCACGGCTGGTGTGGTGGCAAACACAGGATGGTCTACCAACGTGTCAGTTTGAGGCGAAGCTCGTATTCACAGTAGCACCATCATCTGCTGTTGCAGAGCGAGTATTCTCTCTTTGGAGTGCTGCATGCTCTTCATCACAGAGGGGGGTGCTAGAGGATAGCCTACAAGCCACCGTCATGCTCCAGTACAACCGCGGAAGGCTCGCACTGGAGTGGCTAACAAAGAGTTGGACACTGAGAAATGTCAACCTGTTCAGTAAGCTTTCACATCATGTAACATTCCGCATCTTTGGGCTAATGTAGGGCTGACACGGGCTGCATCCGACCTGCCCGTTTCTTCCATTTTTTACGTGATTATTCTGTCCTTTCCTATCAGTCCTGTGCAAGCTACATGTTACTGTAAATACAAAATTTCGGCGCTGCAAAATTTCGGCACTTCACGATTTTTGACATTTCGGTGGCGATTTTTTTCGGCGTGGGGTAGAGGGCATGGTATAGTGCGACAGATGCTGTGAAAAATTTCATCGGCGTTTTAATTTAGGCGTTTTGGGTCGGTGCCGAATATAGCCGAAATTAAATAGCTGCCGAAAATTTGTATATTTACAGTATCTTAGTTTGGATGTCTTATGGACATGCATTGATCCCACCTACGCATTACATTGCCGCACTTCCACCCATTTCGATCGCATACCCACTGTTCGTACTGAGTTCACCTTACCATTACATTGGACCACAGCATAGTATAGCACCATCATTGGCATAATTCCAGCATAATGTAGCATAATCACTGGCATGATTTGGACATAATGCAGAAATTTACCATGCATAATCCGCCAAAGGCTACTCCAAACACACTCTTTAAAAGCTCCATACATACTTGAGTCTCCCGATTTCTTCGCCGGAGGCAACAAGCTCGTTTATACGTGTGACTAGTTCAGTTTGTGCCGCTGCTGATTCCGCCTGCAGAACCTATAAGAAGAAGGAGATTGGACAGGGGTAAAACAAAACACGGAGCTGACTTTCACACTAACTGTTAGCTGTCTAACAAAGTTAAACCAAACCCTTTGCCACAAGTTCCTTTCTAGACCGCAGCAACGTACCGCTCTCATAACATGCCCGCTGCACACAACCTAGATGGACATCTCAACATACACGGGGCAAGTCTAAAGTCCCGCTTGACTATCTATAGTCTATCATGATATGCCCAGTGAGTGCCCTGGAGCAATGCACTGCACCGGTAACCCCATTACAACATGCAGCCTGTCTTATTGCTGTTGATAGCGGTGGATGCAGGGTAGGAGACCAGTGTCACGACTCGCAAGCACAGACTGATCACCGATTCAGTAAACAGCCATGGTTACAAAGTGATTTCTAAAAACAGATATCACATACATGTACAGCGCCATTCAGCTGTCTTCCCTGGCACACTGTGATTGGCTACAGTGCTGTACTCCCTAGCACATAGCTACCGTATTTTCCGGGGTATAAGCCGCACTGGGGTATAAGCCGCACCCCCTTTTTGAGGCAAAATATTGACTAAAAGTTGGTATTCAGAGTATAAGCCGCACCCACAAACCAAGATTTGTCACACTCATTGACAAATGGCCTTTCTACAAATTTATTATGGTTATGGAGCTAAATACCATGTTAGATCAGATTATGAAGTGTTAGTGCACCACAGGTTGCTGCAGAGATGTTGGTGCTGTGTTGACTACACTCTACAGATCACTCCATGTCATCTGCACTATCTTCAATCTCGCTGCCACTGATGTTGATCAGCAACACAGGCGCGAAGCTGAGTCGAATGACATGTCACATGACGTCAGCATGCATACTGATGTATGCTAAGCATTCATTCGCGCAAGCATATTCGGTGTATAAGCCACAGGGGCGATTTTGGTCCGATTTTTAGCGAAAAAAAGTGCGGCTTATACCCCGGAAAATACGGTAGTTACCTCGTTTTGATCCGACAGCTGCTGCAGGTGCTCTTCAAGGTTGGAGATAACAGCCATGGAACGCTGCTCGCCAGTTCCAACCTCGTCTTCCGACGACACCGCCGAGCCAGTGCTCTCCTGACGTTGGTAGAGTGATTGGCGGAATGGCGCAGTTGTCACTCGGCCAGCAGCACTGGTAGTGGTGGCGGTGGTGACGGCCATGGAAGTCTTATGCACGGCCTGCAGTTGCACCTGCAAGCTAGCGATTCTTTCAGACAGACGCCTATTCTCTGCTGTGAGCCGCTGTATCGTACTCAAGTGACCCTGCACACCACACACAGTACAGTGAAACCTGTATAAGACGACCGCTCAAGGGACCTTCAAAATCTGGTCTCTGTTACCAGGTGGTCTCCTTATCCGCAGGGTCGTTTGACTGGAAATAGCCTCCCTTGGCCCTGGTTCCAGTGATCTTCTGGGACAGGTGGTCTTCTGGGACAGGTGGTCTTCTGGGACAGGTGGTCTTCTGGGACAGGTGGTCTTCTGGGACAGGTGGTCTTCTGGGACAGGTGGTGGCCTTGACAGGTTTTACTGTATGCTGTTAATACATACGTGATGGCATGTAGGCATGGATGGAGGATGCTGCAACCTGTCAAAAGCCGCCTGTCCATGCCCCCCCCCCCCCCCCCCCCACACACACATATACACAAACACACAGATACTCAATCTGCGGACAGCAAACACACACATACATTTACAAACACTTCAAGATGCACTACAAGAGCATAGGCAATCACAGACAGATAAGAAACTGTTCCATCTAACCCAACTCAAGCCCTTGGTCAGCTGCCCTCAAACACAAAATACATGGACCGGACATAACAATGACAGAACATTGGCATTGTAGCTCCTAAAAATAACACTACTACACTAAGAACCAACCTGATTCTCGTCAGTTTGCAGAGCAAGAGATTGAGTAAGGTTCTTCTCCTGAGACACAAGATCCAGTGCTTGCCGTTCAAGGTCACTACATCTCTCTTGTAAAGCCTGGCATTTCTTGTCATCCTGAGTGAGTAGGCTGTTCTTGGAGGTGAGCTCCTCTCTTTGGCTGCGCAAGCGTGAGATAGTCGTCTGAAGCAGATTGATCTCTTCCAGGCGTGTTTCAGACAATTGCTTCAGGCTGTCGACCGATGTGGTGCCCGCGTGGAGCTCGGCATTTTCAGCCTGCAAGCGGCGCACATCCGCATGCAACGCTGTCATCTGCTCCTGCAATTCTTTTACCGTCTCGCCATGCCGCTCGTTCTGATATAGACTCTGCTGCTGCTTCTGGTCCAGGACAGACCTCAGCGCACCTGCATCACCACGTACAGTCTCCATATCTGCCACCAGTTTCTTGTTGGTCGCATCCAGTTCATGAAGCTGTGACCCAACAGAGGATAGCTTGGATTTCAGGTCGCCAATGGCATGCGCAGCTTCGTCCAACTCCCTCTCCTTTTCTTTCAGGTCATCTGTTCTGCACTTCAGTTGGCGCTGGATCTGAAGCAACCCCTGAGTTTGCTGTTGGTTACCGTCTTTTAGCTGGGTATTTTGATCGCGCATTTCCAGCAGTTCTCTATCAAGTCTGGATACTTCCACTGTGTGCTTCTCCTGCTCAAGTCGAAGCCTTGCCTCCACGGTCGACGACTCAGCGGCCGTCTGTTTCATCGAGCCCTCAAGCGACTGACAGCGGTCGTTGCTTGTCTTCAGCGCCTGGCGCACGGCGGCAGACGTCTGGATAGGAGCAGATGTCCACGTGCAAATAATTCACCCGCGGGTCAGCTATAAATCTAGGCCATTGCACTGTAATGAAACATGACATGCCTTTGCATGTACATATACTAGTATGCTCTATTCACTGCTCAAGTTGCACCTGGCGATTGCAGACAGGCATGCATGGCAGACAGGCATGCATGGCAGACAGGCACTGCATGGCAGACAGGGACTGCATGGCAGACAGGCACTGCATGTCATACTGGCTTACAATCAAGAAGGTATATACCATATAATGAGTTGACCTTTGTTGTTATTTTGTCTGTGCGTGTTTTAGCTGCTGTTGCTGGTGCAAATTCATCTTTCTTCTCGTAAAAAAAAGAAGAAGAAAAAAGTAAATTATCGTATCCGTTCCCGAAGGGAACTCACGACGGCCACTAACACCCAATAAACCCTAGCGGCAGATGCAGCGCCTAACAGTTTCTTCTCGTGATGCCAATAAAGATCAAAGTGTGCGAGGGAGAGATAGCAAGGCAAGATTGAGTAGGTGGGGACTAAGTACATACGGGTGGGGGTGGGCTGTAGTTGTAGTTGTTGTTGTTGTTGTTGTTGTTGTTGTTGTTGTTGTTGTTGTTGTTGTTGTTGTTGTTGTTGTTGTTGTTGTTGTTGTTGTTGTTGTTGTTGTTGTTGTTGTTGTTGTTGTGCAGTGAATACAGTTCAGTTCAGCACACTTCCAACCCTACCTGGAGTTCTACATTCACCGAAGCCAGTACATCCAGGATTGCTTGGAACACGGTGCTTCCGTCTGCAAGCCGATGACGACCACCAGTTCGCCCTGTCGGAGACGCTTGGCGCTGGGAACGCGCAGCAGTGCTGGGCAGATGCTCTTGCAGCCGCTGGACAACTTCATGCGTTTCCTGTAGCTCCAATGATAGTTCTGTGTTGAGCTGCTCAGCGTCATGAAGCCTGGCCGAGAGCGCTGTGTTGTGTGACGCCTGAAGAATTTGTTAACACACACAGCCTAGTTGATGACGGAGAGCATTGCAAAACACGCCATGCAAAAATTAAGGGGTTTGTTCATCCTCAAACTCCTCAAACTGAGGCTAGAGTTTCAGCACAGAATGACGAGGGAAATCAATCATTGGCCACTGGGAGCACATCAGAGTTGTAACAGAGGATAATACATAGTAAAAGTTTGCATCTTCACATAACCTTGGGAACAATCAGTTGAGACTCGATAATTCCGAGGCTCGGTATTCCTCAGCTATGTATAGTTTTGTTGAGCTACCTTCGAGAAAAGTTTCAGTTTTCTCCTTCTCGTGCATTGGCCGAAATTTAAAAGCCGGCGGTTAGCCTCCATTTGCCTCCGGAGAATCCTTGAAAATATAATATCAACCTCATCCTACTCGGATATTGGTTGTCATGGAGATGGTAAGTGAAATGATGTATACACGAACGAACGAAGCTAGTTGCCTACCTGCTCGCTTATCCTGGCTTCAAGGTTTCTGTTTTCTTTGGCGAGCTGGTCTCTTCGACCAGCGACTGCATTCAAGTGGAGAGCAGCAAGCTTCTGTGACGTGGACGTGGTCGACTTTAGGCTGTTCAGTTGCGATGTGATCATGTCTCCGGCTTGGGAAAGATCTCTGAAAACAGACACACACACACACCATTGGACCATTGGACGCCCATCGCCGGAGGCGATGATAGCGATGCTACAGCAGAAGCCATAGCAACTTGTGCTGGGATTGCACCATTCAACAGCTTGCAAGGCTGAAGAATTGGCCGCCACTATTCAGCCTGGTCTACACCACACAGCTATGAAACGGCTTTTTCTAGCCAGTGAATCCCTACTTTTTGGTCTTTTTTTATTTATTTTTCCCGCACATGCATCACACCACATACTCCGGCATGCACTGGCTGTTGGTAACCACCCAGGAGAATGAAAGAAAAGTGAGGAGGAGTCTGAGAAAGAGAAGAAAGATGTGTGTGACCATAATCATCGGGAATCGAACCCGCAACCTATCGATTAGAAATGGCTGCACATACCACTGCACCATATGGGACACACACACACACACACACACACACACACACACACACACACACACACACACACGCACATACTGTTGTTGCATGTTTTGCTGTAAATCACAGATTGCAAGATCCGACCATTACAACATACATGTATGCTGGACTCAGTAGGCAGTCCGGCCCCTATAATATATATGAGGAAGGGAGCGTCTCGGCTTCCACGGACCAAGACCATTCGACTCAGTACCCCGAACACTACAACTAGTGAAAATTTGATTTAGGTAGACCAGACCTCTGTCTTACCTGCATACAGAGGCTTTCATCTGGTGTAGGTCATTCTGTGTGGCCTGCACTGCCGCCGACAGCTTCCTCACACAAGACTTCAGTTGATCGTTCTCCTGCACAATGATAGCCGTTGCAAATAGTGACACAATAACCAAACAAAGTTGCGCATGTATTTTTAACTTTTAGGTTAGAACGCAAGAAGCACACAGGAAACTGATACATGCGGAAGCCATCATGAATGGCTAGATCAGCTTTTGGTGAGCAGCACAAGCGTAACTTTTCATTGGGCAGCAGGTATGGGTAGCTGCATGCAGCGTTGAAACTCACAAATTCACAGGCCTGCAGCCGTTGAACCTGCTGCTGTAACCGACAATTCTCCTCCAGCAATGTACCGTGTGACGCCGAGGCTTTGACACTTTCGTGCGACCGTGTTTCAACGTCTTGCTCCAGTCGGCGGCATTTCTCCTCCACCTGCCTATTGCTAAGAAGCAGACCATACAAATGAACAGCAGAACAAGTCGGACAGTTTGATCGAACTGAGTCTGTTGCCAGAGGCTACTCACAACACACATAGGCAATAACGTTCTTACAATAATGTCATTCACTGGTTTGAGGAAAAGACACAAACGGGAAATGTCCAAAGAAAAAAATGACTGCCACCACCAGGATTCGAACCAGGGACCATGTCATAATACATGTATGAAAACTGAGACCCCTGCACTACATGTATAGCATGCAGTATACAAGGTTATGCAGAACAATATTCAGTGTTCACTGATGTCACATGATGCCATCTAGTACAGTAGATTCTACAAGGTGCACCGTTGATCAATGATTATCCAACATAACGTATTGGTTACAAAGCAGCACTCCGAGCCTCCTTACATGATGAGTATCGGCCAAACTAACTTACCGCACTTCCTGGTCCTGTAGAGTTTTCAATGCGATAGTCAACTCTGTGGACTGTTCACTGAATGCTTCCAGTTGGTACTGTGAAGTTTCCAGCTGAGGTAACAACATATTCACATCCATTCATAAGAAGGTGAGGAAAGGTTGAACCAAAAGACTCCCCCACATTGAACTTTCATCCCTCATCCATGAAACCTCACCAGCCCCTCCTCCCCTCATCCTCAATGCACCCCACCCCCTCCTCCCCTCATCCATCCATTCCCCCCCCCCCCCCCCGCACTCATTCTCATTCATGCATCCCTCCCCCCTTCCTCCTCTCATCAATGTACCCCCTCCTCTCATCATCCATTAACCTCTCCTCCTCCTCCCATTATCCACACCCTCTTGCACTCATCTATGCACGCACCCCTCCCCCCCCCCTTCCACACTCATCCATGCACCCCTTCTTCCGCTAATCCATGCACCCCCTCCTCCTCCTCCCCTCATCAATGTGGCCCCCGTCTGCACTGATCCATGCACCCCCCCCCCCCCCCCCTCTCTCCTCCCCTCGGCCATGCGGCTCCCACACCTCCCCTCCCCACACTCATCCATACCCCCCCCCCCCCCCTCACACACACACATTCAAAAAGACATGTTACTAGTATATACAGCATACCCGTTTCTGAAGCTGCTCTCGATCTGCAGTCCGCTCCTTTACAAGAGAGTGAAGCTGAGTTGAACGGGACTTGTAGGTCAAACACTGCAGCACAGCGGCACAGCACACACGACATACACATACATGTACATGTACACCATACTACCAATACTGAATAGGCACTAGTGCAAGAAAGCAAGAGGGCCAAGCTAGTGTATCAGGTCTGCGTGTCGCAGCTAAATTTCCTGGATCACAGCAAAGCTGATACAGATGTATGGTGCCAAGGGATGTCGTGGACATCACAAAGCCACAGTTATGTAGCAGGAGACCTACATGCTTGAACCTCACATGCACACAGCACTTCACAATAATGATAAAGTCCAGGAATTTCTCCGTGATGGCCATCCATCCCAGGCCAGCTGCATCCTCTCGGGCTCTGGCTTTCGAAGTACAAGACAATTGGGCAGTGAAGAATGTGCAGGTCAGGAACAATAGGAACACCTGTGTCGTAAAGACACGAATACAGCTCGGTGCTTAACCCACCGTGTTCGTTTGTTTTCGCTACCTTAATCTGGGCCTTAGCATCCTCAGCCCCGAAGTCAAACACAATAACCTTGGTACACATCCTGTTCACAACCTTGTCCGTACCTTCTCCTTCAACAGGTTAACCAGTTTTGCGTGCTTGACTTGGGTTGAGCGATAGGCCTCCACTTGGCGCTGGTATGTCTCGTCGCGTTTCTGCAGTTCTGAGCTGACAGTGAGCAGCTGAGTCTGCACAGATTTCAGCTGTTCTGACATTGCCCTCTCGCGATCTTGAGCCACCATGGACTTCTCGATCTGCGGTGGAAATAATAATAATAATAAGCAGCCCCACAACTGCTGACTAACATACTCATGCTAGTACAGTGTCTGGTGTTTAAAGGCGTGCTCCGCTAGTCATACTATTCGCTGTCTGTCTCCACTATGGCAAAGGTGAAAACGGGTCACAGTCTATGAAGGCTACACGCTACAAATGGGCTGGTGATTCATATGTAGGCTCAGGTATTGAGCAAGGAGCAGCTGCATATTATACCATTCACCGGCGTCGTGACGTGACCAATTCGGCAAGGGTTAACTGTCTACACCACAGTCACATGTGGTGCTCTTTTTTTTCTTTTCTTTTTACAAAATCCACATATCTCCAGACACTGGGGTGAATAATGGAGTGTGGTGGTGGGGCCTATTAAGCTCAGTCGACCGGTGTAAACACATACAGCTGTGAACCCGCTTCAGAGACCATGGCACACGTACATTTTATCTGCGTTACGGCTAAGCAGGTTTATGCTTCACTCCGCTACAGTCAGTGTTTCTCCTTCATGCCACTGTGCAAACCCAGTAAACGACTTTGAGAACCATAACGACCAGGGGGGGGGGGGGGGGGGGACTTGCAATATTCTACAGTAAACAAGAGGGAATCTTTGCAACGCTAACCTCTTCACTGACTGCGACATACTTCTCGCCCAGGCTCTGTCGTTCCCGTGTCATCTTGGACAGCAGCTGACTAGCTTTGGCCAGCTCTTGCTGCAGCAAAGACTTCTCCTCTGTCAGCGACGCAATACTGACACTGTCATCGAAATCCACCAGCAGCGGCAGTGGCTGCGTTTGGAGCTGGGACAGTGACATGAAATCATCGCCGTCGCCGTCGTCCGACAGTCCCAGGCTCGATTCTGCCTTCTCCAAATCCGTGAGCGGTGGCGGAACAAGGCCAACAGCAGTCGCACTGACCTGAGCGGTGTACGCCGCAGTCGATGCAGCAGCACCTGTGCTGATACCGGCAAAGGCCGACGATTGCTTTGCTCTGGCGTTCGGAGTGGCCAGATTTGTAGTCAGGAATCCAGGAGCGGCGCCCCCGTGCGCGGCCAAGGGTCTGGTACAGTGATGCTGTGCTATTGGCTGCGCGCTAGTGGTGGAGCCATTCCAGCCCGCACTTACAGTGGTCCCGGTGGTGGTGGTGGTGGATGTGCTGGTATTGTTCAGGTGTTGTGCTATGATCTCCAGTACCCTGTCAGGGACCCGATGGTGACTAGCTGGACTGCGGCGTAGCACTTGAAGGGCTGGGTCTGAGCTGATAGCACGGCAACTTTCCTCCAATGTCTGTGAAGACACAATAGGAAGAGGCGGAAAAGTAGTTTTGCCAAAAACTGGCCTCAAATAAAAGCGGAAAGTAAATGGAGAGTGCCAAATCGATGCTACTGACACTGCAATGCACACACACGCACAAGCGCACACACGCACAAGCGCACACGCACAAGCGCACAAGCGCGCACGCACAAGCGCGCACGCACAAGCGCGCACGCGCACACGCACAAGCGCACATGCACATATACACACACGCACGCACACACACGCGCGTGCACTCTCTCTCTCTCTCTCTCCTTCTCCATCCCGTGGCCCTGTTCTGTCGAATCCGACCCATGTAGTTATATCTGTGTAGCGCATAGAGCATTTAAAAAGCGTGGTGAGTATGTGCATCATGGATGTAATCTGAAACAAGGCTAGGTCTTCATGCATGGAGAAAGATTACAAGGAACTCCTCGACTTGGCCATATTCAGGGTTCAGGGATGGACAACATTACTTGAGAATGCGTCAAATAATATTACCGTAAAATCCCGCCAGAGCGCCCCTACCTCCTCGACGCTTCAGGTGGGGAGGGGCGGATGGGCGAGTCCTACTTGCCGCATTCAGTGCTACATGAAAAAGTACTCACCCTACGAAAACTGGTCGTGCATCTCGTACACCGACCAAAGGTCAAGAGCCAGGAGTCGTACAGACCCGACAAAACGCAGGGTTTGTGCGATCCCTGGTCAAGAGGGTGGGCACTGTTGCGTACATTTCCAACGGGGTTGAGCACGCGTCTGCAGTACAGTACGGCATCACAGACTGCGACAGAGTCATACGAGGATACAATCAATCACGTCCCTGACAAGAAGTCAGGGAGGGGCGGATGGGAGAGACGGGGCGCTCTGGCGGGATTTTACGGTATTTTTATATTTCAAAATTTTGAAGGACGCTTCACGCAGCTTCATTATACTTGAATTGTTTGCAGGCAACCTGCCTACACTCAAGAGAGCACTGCATTTCACACAAATGCATTGGTATCCTTACAACGTTTCGGTCTTTATGACCATCATCAGGAATGAAGTGGACATGGAAAGAACAGCAGTATAAAAGAAGGAGGCAAGCAAGCAAAGCGCGGTACATAGTGACAGCGCGCGTAGAGAAGTGCAAAGCACGTCATGGCGGGTGTGCATTACTACATGTACATGACAACACAAGCACAAACGGCGAGGAAAGTAGATACTGCGCTACAGCAGTGATAACAGCCCAGTTCCAGTCTCACACCACCAATGAGGTGTGTAGAGCCCCGCTTCCACATTCTACCATGGTCTGCAATCATCTTTCTTGCTCAGCTACATTTAGCATCATGCATGGGATGTTGTACTGACCTGTGCGCTTTGCCGGCGCTGAATACAGCTGTTATTTACTGCGAGTGGCGCGGGGCTCTACACACCTCACTGGTGGTGTGAGACTGGAACTGGGCTGTTATCAATGCTGTAGCGCAGTATCTACTTTCCTCGCCGTTTGTGCTTGTGTTGTCATGTATATGTAGTAATGCACACCCGCCATGACGTGCTTTGCACTTCTCTACGCGCGCTGTCACTATGTACCGCGCTTTGCCTGCCTGCCTCCTTCTTTTATACTGCTGTTCTCTCCATGTCCACTTCATTCTTGATGATGGTCATAAAGACCGAAACGTTGTAACGATACCAATGGATTTGTGTGAAATGCAGTGCTCTCTTGAGTGTAGGCAGGTTGCCTGCAAACAATTCAAGTATTTTTATATTATTACTAGCAGCACCCCCGGCCAGCGTTGCCTGGCCGAATGTGGCGGCATGCGGGTGAAGCAAGTACATGAACAGCACACGTGCTCAGCACGTGGTGGTGGCCAGACCGCTGAAGTCCTGGTGCACCGTACCGGTGAGGGAGGTTCTTCATCGTTGGAAGGAGAAGGAGGGACGTCTGTTACCATGGTTACGCCTTCGGGAGGCTGGTCAGAGTTGTCCATCACCTGGTGGCGGATGAAGCGGCTCAAAAAATTCATAAAATTACGAACAAAAGTGCGATGCGCGCTCTTCACTGCAGATCAGATGCAGAGTGCAGTCAGTGCAGATCTTTTGAATCCTTTTGTTGCAGATGCATGTTTCTATTTGCAGAGAACGGTTCACGTGGTCCGCAGCGCTTGTGCGGCTGCTAGTGCTACCTATGCCATGATGGCCTGGGCTAGGTGGCTACATGATTCGCACGCTTCGCGTGCTCAGTGCTTCTGCGCGCGCGGCTGCTAATACCGCTACACGTACTGATCGTGTCTGCATGCTACCACCTACACTGTTCGCACGCTTCGCGTGCTCAGCACGTGGTGGTGGCTACACGATTCGCACGCTTCGCGTGCTCAGTGCTTCTGTGGCTGCTTCCGCTAGCTACACTGTGCTACACTGTTCGCACGCTTCGCGTGCTCAGGGCAGCGCTGCTCCGCAGCGCTTCAGCATGACACAAAAACACACGTCACAGGTGCCTCTTCTCTATAAGGAGCGTGACACACACACACACACACACAGACACACGTCACAGGTGCCTCTCTTTTATAAGTAAAGATATTACGGATGAAACTTGGGTACGAGTGTACAGAGAGCCGGCGTGGAAACCTCAGCCCCATTGGCATCGGTACCACATCTCTGCATGTATTGTAGTGATGTAGAAGAACGGTATTCTGATTCCTGAAATCATTAATTTTTAGACCGCTAGCTTACCCTCAAGATTTGTGAGAACTTGGGCGCAAACGACCCACTAGCCGCTAGTACTTGATCGGGCCGCAGAGATTCTGTCATCTTGGTTTAGAAGTAGCGAACTCGCGTATCGAATGGCCATGTATGTAGGAATCAACAAGAACGAGAGCTCAGCAACAAAAGACGTAGATCTACCATTCATTCACGATTGCCACGAAATGATAGCAATTATTAAATTTTGATTTTTGATCTGAGCATTTTTCTCAAAAACTTGAAAAGGGTGCACAATGGATATGATGTCTCCTTGGTAACACTAACAGTCTAGTCTGTGCAGCCTGCAGACCATGGCAGACGACTGCATGCAGTGCAGGTGTGAGAAGACGAGCAGTGCCAGTACAGTACTAGTCAGTAGCCAGGTTTGGTTCTTGCCAATCTTGGTGCCGATCTACACTGCGTGCCAGGTTCAGCATGCAGGACGTCGTTGATCATTGTCAATGATCGCGCGTCGGGCTTTCAGGAAATGCACTGGTACAAATTAAATCGCTGCTCCCTTCATGAGGCCGCTAAGATCAAGACTCGGCCGGACACACTGGTAAAGCACTCGGCGGTTAGCACAACATCACTGAATCAGGGAAGAAAATCACCGGCAGCAAAAGACTATAAGTATGCGGCCCAGGAGGAGACCTGTCACCCGTCCGAAGCAGCGCACCGCTCAGGCCAAAAAGTCGCAGCAAACCGGCGATGACGGCGACGGCGTGGTGAATTTGGACGATCCAGAAGCTGTGGCAGCGGCCTATGAAGAATATAGAAAGGCGCTCATCTCGCAGCAATTGTATCCAGGCGGTGCGCCTATCGTGGTGGAGGCAACACGCAGGAAACATTCGGCCACGCTGATCTTCCTGCACGGCATCTTCAACGCCGTCGAGGAATGGAAGAGGCTGCTGACGGTCACCCGCGCTCGGCCTGGGCATATACGCATTGTGATTCTGCAGGCCCCGAAGATCACAGCGCGCTGGTACATGGGCCCCAAGGATCCATCTTGGTTCAAAGTAAAGGACTACGGGAAGGGAAAGACCCCTGTGGAGGACGAGGCAAGCCTGAAGGAGGCCGCTACACTGATGCACGGCGTGATCGGAGAAGAGTCAGCACGGGTACCACTCAGCCGTATTGTCCTTGCAGGCTTTGGCCAGGGCGCGGCCCTTGCCCTGTATGCAGGACTATCCTATACAAACACACTGGCCGGTATCCTAGCTCTCAGTGGCTGGCTGCCGTTTGCAGACAAAATCGGCAGTTGGTGTTCGGCCGAGAGCCACGGAACGCCTATTCTGCAGTGCCACGGAGGCAAGGATGATGTCATCCCGCCGGACAAAGGTAAGCTATCCTACGATGCTCTAATCGCCAATTGTCCCGGCTCAGCTAATCACCTGGAACTCAGGATATACCCCGACGTGGGCCACCACCTGTCACTCTTTGAGTTGCACGACATCCGCCAGTGGCTAGAGAAGCGTATCCCGGTGGCCCTTCCTCACACCCGTACCAGAAAGGCTACGCATACGCGCGCTTCGCGCCCGTGAGCGGTTTCAACATGCGGCGATCATGTGACGAGGTTATCTGGGAGCATTTTTCTGCCCATCCGGACATGCCGCATGACTCAGTAGATTCGGCTGGTAACGCAGCGAGGTGTAGTGTTTGTCATTGACAAGCAGATAGTCGATGATTCAGTGTGCCCTCAGTGACCTGAACAGAGGCATTCGGTAACTCTTTCGAAAGCCGCTTACTTGTGGAGCTGTCGTAGTTAGTGGGTTGGCTGTTACTAGCCTTCATTGTACTGTCCAACGGGTCACGGTTCAGGGTGTTCAGGGTGCCACGGTTCAGGGCCGAGTACGAAAACATGTCTAGACCCGTTTTGGCGCCGTGGCTCTCCCAAGTCATCACCATGACATTATAGTTATCGTTCTGCGCTCATACCCGGGTACCAGGACTTTGCATGCCTATTATAAATGTTAGCCTACGGTGCCGCAGGCCAGCCGGAACCGGTCCGCTTGGTCAGGTTAATACCCGCCTAACTTTGTGGCCACCAACGCATGCTTACTGCTGAGGAGGGCCTACGTCCCCGCCATATTACACACAACGTATGAAAGACTATGGTAAGACCGGACCAATTGAAAACTGCTTCCGGCGGTCCTGATCGGCAAGGGACGGGATCAGCCTCGGCATCCCGCGTGATATCAGTCATTGGTCACTACTGGCACTACTGTTGCAACTAGAGTTGTTCGCTGCCGCCGCGTTTCACTGAGCTTACCGTGACAGGCAGTTGGCCCCTGTTTTGGTGGAATTTCTGAGAAACGGCAGCATTTCATCAGCTGGTCATCCTTAATGGAACTTCACACCGTCAAGTCACTCCGCAGTACAGTTCTGTTGAACTCGGCAGGAACTGGTAGAGCTTTGAAAGTTTTACTCAGTCACCGTGTGCCTCCGAGGTGGTTCAGTGTTGTCACGTGGAGCCCACTAATTTTCGTCAGGAAGTCACATGATTCAAACGAATGGAACATCATTCTGGCAACAACTGAACTGTGCAAAGTGGGGCTGGTATGAACCGTGAGACCGTATCATCATATGCAGGGAGTCGTCAAACACCTACCGTAATGTCGCGTATAAAAGTAGGTGCTTACGGTCGTATAAGCCGATATCCGTGCTAGGCTTCTATTCAAGTCAGGCTTCTATTCAAACCATGTCTCTCTATGTACAAGTATGTCAACACTAAACCAGGCTTATGTGCTGACAGTGTATCTTGAAAATCAGGCTTCTATACAAGACAGGCTTCTATACAAGACACTACAGTATTTGACGACTCCCTGCTCGAATACATGTACATGTATGCGAATATCAAGAGTAGGCATGTTGCGATGGATAGCGCTAACGCCGAGACCCTAGGTCGGCGTTGCTAGTCCCGCCTCACCGGCACAGGCTCCCTGAGAGCCCCTACTAGTACATTGTCTGTCTTCCTCCTTTGTTGTCTCGATCACTATTGTCTTTTGTCTTCTTCTTCTCCTCTCTTTGTTATGGTCTATCAGCAGGAGGTGCATTCTGTAAATTAAAAAAAATAATGTAGTCCTTCAAGGGGGTTATCATGTTACCGTGAAAGTCCGTAAATAAGTACCTGCCCGAAAGAAATACCCCCTTCATTCTTTTGGCTCTGTCTGTTGAAGTCAAGTCAAGCCCGATAAACATACTGCCCGAAATAAGTACCGGTACGGTGCGCACATGCAGCACGTAGCATGTACATCTACATGAAAATGACCTCTCCACTACACACAAGTCAGGTCCGAAAGTTAGTTCGCGCCCGAAAGTCAGTACCCGCCCGAAAGTCAGTACCCGCCCGAAAGTCAGTACCCGCCCGAAAGTTAGTACGGGTGTGGTCACTAAATTCGAAAGTAAATACGTACTTATTTACGGACTTTTACGGTATTATGACTGGCCCCAGAGTACGCTGGCTCCATCCCTTATCTCCTAAGCTACCACCCCCGTGCGCCTGCCCAGTGTTGACTCCGAGACCCACGGTCGCCGGGATGAGCTGCCCAGGCCTCACCACCACTGCTGTTTCTGTGCTGCCTTCTCGATACATACGTATGTACACTGTATATCATGTGCACATTCACATGTCTGAAGGTTTGTGGTTTTTCAATTAAAAAAACCCGAAACAAAACAAAAAACATAACTTCATAAGACTAGTACATGTAATAGTTACCCCACTGATCTTGCTGATTGGATGATTCGTTTTGTAGACCACAAATGGCACTAGCCACTATTACATTATACACACAGTACTGTGAACGTGATGACTGATGTCCTGGCACGCTAGCAGGCCAGGCCTGGGCGTGGGACAACTCACTGCCTGAACCTGCTACCGGTAGCTGCTGGGATAAAAAGAAAAGAAAAAGGGGAATCTGGCACGGTAGGTACTTGTATTTGTAGGCAGTAGATCTACCGGTACGCGGTAGTCATGGCCCTTGCCTGAGCTGATGACGTAGATAGACTGGCATTGGGTGTCATCATTGTTTTTCAAAAAATTAATGTACGAGTCTCGTATGCACTGGATCGTTTTTCACCAGCCAGCAGCTGCATTTGACTTGTTGCTTTTATTTTGCTTGAAAAGCAGAAGTCAGAGATTGCAGTGACCGAGCGACAAATTGTAGTGCTTGTGACAAGAGGTAGCCATCGCGATCGGTTACTATACTTGTAGCGGAAGAAAAACATAAATCTAACCTAAGTTATAGTAGATCTATCCAGGACGCTGCCGATTCTCATCAGTTCTGCACAGTCACGTCACTCAGGAAAATAATTGTTTCATTCCACGAGGACTTCTGTCCTATTTTTCGACGATCTTATGCTAAGACAAGTACTGCCACGGCCCGGCAAGTCCTACGGATTGGGACGGACTGCTGCTGTCCGCTGGTTTGTTTGTGGCAGTATCTGGTGGAGCTGCTCGCACACGTCAGCGCAGAGTCAAACTGCAGCAAGTTCAAGCTGCCCCACTCGCTCCAGACACACTAGTAGCAGTAGTGCAAACACGCACAGCAGAATGCCCAGTAAACCAGTAATCGTGGAGCCGAAAGGCAAGCACTCGGCCACGCTGATCTTCTTGCATGGCCTAGGCGACACTGGCCATGGCTGGAGTGAAAGCTTCAGAACTATTCAACCAGACTATCTTCGCATTGTGTGCCCCAATGCCCCTACTCAATCGGTCACGCTGAACATGGGAATGAGTATGCCATCTTGGTTTGATATCTTCGGTCTCGGTGCCAATGCCAAACAGGACGAGGAGGGTATCAAGAAGGCAGCAGGCGATCTGAAGGCGTTAATTGAAGAGGAGGAGAAGCGCGTACCAGCCGAGCGTATTGTCATCGGTGGCTTCTCTCAAGGCGGTGCCGTTGCCCTACTGGCAGGCCTAAGCTCTGCAAAGAAACTAGCCGGTATTGCCGCCTTCAGCACCTGGCTGCCGATTCATGAGAAGGTTGAGCCGCTGGCCACCGACGCTGGCCGTTCTATCCCGATCCTTCAGTGCCACGGCGGCATTGATCCCATGGTATCCATCACAGTGGGCCAGATGACTGCGCAGGGCCTGTCAGCCATGTGCAAGACGCACGAGCTGAAAGTGTACCCGAACATGCAGCATAGCTCATCGCTGGAAGAGCTGCAGGACCTGAGAGGATGGCTTGGTAAACGTGTGCCCCCTATGTAGGCTGGAAGAGACTGTGTGCACTTTCAGAACTACGTCCAATATGAAACACTTCTGGGTTGTTGCTTTTTTTTAATATCTTCATGCCCAAAGTCCATAACTATTGTATGGTACACCAAGCAGGTATCCGGCATTTACAAATTCAAGACAATATGCGATCTTCATCAGTTTTTCATAGCACTACAAGATTTTTACCGTTTTAACTTGTGATTCTATTATTAGCACCCTGATGGTATTTCGGGTGATATCGAATGCTGTCATCCGTTATATCCGGCTCGAAATGCTGAAGCAAGTTTGGTCATTTCAAGACTGAAATTATTCAGCACAGAGGCCCATTGTTGGGCTTTTAGCTCTATGATTATTTAGCTCATCAGGTGGCGCCCATGGCAGGCATCTGTTATTGAGTTGTGAAATGAGCATGGTACGGCACCACTGTCCAGCTGCATGAGTTGTTTGTATCTTCTACACAAGTCACTCCTTAGTAATGAATACTTGGTACTAGTATATCATGGCCGGTCTATTGTACTGTCGGCTGCCGAAGAACCGAGGGGTCAGCCTCATCGCCTAGGCTGTTCTTATAATATTTACATGTACAGCAGCCTATGCACAGTTCAATACATCGGTATGCTGGTGAAATCGTAGCCCATGACGTGTGCATTTGCTGCTCCGAGCATTTGCCAGTAGAGCAGTGTACAGCATACAGCAGGGAGTACTCTCTGACATACAGTACTGTAAAAGCCATATATATAACGAAGTGCTAACTCTAACGACTTAACGAGCAGAAATCTGTCGTTATTATAAAAATAGAAATCGTTATACAGAAATCTATACATTTACTGTCCTATTGAGCGTTGAGAATAGGTGAGAGTCGTTACCTCTGGTACACGTAAACCAGTCGATTTTGGGAAATTGTTATATATGCGCCTCGTTAGAATAATGGCTTTTACAGTATCTGCCCAACTCCAAGTACAAGCGAAGCGAACGGTAACCGAAAGGATTCCCGTCCTGCACTCTGCCATGCACCTCTGCATTATGCATTTTATTCACACTTTTTTTTACGAACCCCTGCCCAACGGAGGGGGGAGTACAAGCAAGACCGGACGTCTACTCTACTGCATGCCCAGAGTCGCTGGTTCCTGCCCCATGCGGAGTGAGAGCTGACTTGACAGCTAAACCACATGAAGGTGAAAACGCATGCTCAATCGCCTCCACAACTGCTAAACTTCTCCGCTGCACAGTATTGCACTGCTAACTGTTCATCATATCAAAGTAACTGCACGTCGTACAAGTACATGTAGAAGAAATTAGATCAACCGTGGTATATTGAACACGCTTAAAAAATAAATAAACTGTGCACAGCCTAGATACTAAACAATGTCGTTTCAGATAAGTATACGGCCAGCGCGTGATTGGGTGACAGCAACACTGAAACGGCTCAATATCTTCCATCGTCAACCTAGACCATGCGGATTTTTCACGGCACAATTCAAAATGAAAATGCTCGGCAAACACGACAAGAAAGACATCAAGACAGGAACACAATCAGAGTCGTTGGAACAAAAAAAGCCTTGCCCAGCAAGGAGTCGGTTCTAGTTCATAAAAAAATCTCATATCTCGTGAAGGATTAGAAGAATGCCCTGAGAGCAGCATCAAATCAAGAATGCTGCCAGCAGCACACTGCACCAGAACTGGCGTAAGTGTAAGAACAGAGAGCATGCCACAGCTATGGTCCGCAGCTACTGCTACCTACTGGTACGCTACGTTACGGAAACGTGGTCAAAGAGGTCGTCGCCAATATTCCATGGAGAAAACTTCCGTGACGCCGGCTAAGAACTGTTCATGGTTGCGTCAGATGACTTACGTATTCAGTCGCGAACAGGGACTAAAACATGGAGATGGGTTTCGAAAACACTCAGAATGAATGGTGTCAGCGAGGTGCATTACCGTGGGTTGGCAGTCGTCGATGAAGCTATCCGACGCGCTAGATTGGCGTTGTGCTGCTGCAAATATCGGATCATGTCGGCCTGCTTCTCGAGCACTTCGTCCAGGTAGTCGCCTTCCCGCAGGCCAATGTCACCCTCGGTGCCGCCGTCCACCCAGGGCGTTGAGTACGGCAAGGATAGGTCCTCTTCCACGTCCGGCGCGGGCCGTGAATAATTGAACTTGAACACTCTGACCAGGTAATAGACCTGACATGGCAGTGCTATGAGCATTTCCGACGAGACCAAGATCTGTAAAGCAGAGCGACGACATAGAGCACACCACCACCAACACATGCACGCACGTAAAACCAGTTAGTACATGTACGCAGAGACAGTCAGCTCACTGAGAACTACGGTTACGATTCATTGCAGGCAATATCCGCCCTTTAGTAGTGCATATTGGATAGCCAGGACCTGTGCGAGCCTTCATGGCCTGGAAGTAGAATGTAGGAAATGAAATGTGATAATTCGAACATCGAACTGGGCATGTCCGGTTAATCAGGAGTCCCATAGAATCCAGTTCCATTATCAGGATTCCACCTGTAGTTGACAATCATGTGCTTAGGTCTAAATTAGCCGTAGCCATGGCCTTGTCGCCCAAGTCCTGGGTCCTACACAATCTCAATGAACTGATCTCATATCTTTTATCATGTTCCATTCCAGCTGAATGCGGAATGCTTTCTACAATCTGAAATAATGACACTTTGAGCAACGCAAACGTGTGGCGGTCTATATCTGCACTGTTGTTATCGGAACACAGCAAAATCGCTTGCCCCGAATATCGGAGTCTTTTGGCTCATGACAAAAAAGATCAGCCCTGGCCGAAAGTTACCATGACCCCGAGTACCCGAACATGCCAACGTCTTGGCGGTCTTGCTGATCCCAATACATGCTCACGCAGGATCATCGGCGGAAGCACTCGAACAACAACGTTGCAAGATGAACTACAGTGTGCTAGTGCACGTCATTATCATGACGATGACCCCCCTCCCCCCCCCCCCCCCCGTACTAGTATTCACAACACGGCTCCTACTAACCAAAAGCACTTCCATCCACTTCATCCCGGAGAAGGAGCAGTCGGTCGTGGTGCAGTTCTTGAACTGGGTCAGCACAAGCAGCACGGCATTTCCAGCAGACAGAACGACAAAAGGCATGCGCCGTAGCAGCCGATTGCGCCGATAGAAATCCAAGTAGCCACGCCGCCGCACTTGCTGGTGAAATATTTGAACAACTCGATCGCTGGCGGCAACGACTAGCCATAGAACGGCGTGCATTACAACATAGAAGGGGAATGGTAACTGGTCTGCTAGAGTAGTGGATTTGGGCCACGTCGGGCTTTCCATAGGAATAGCTACTGCCACAATCAACGCAGCCAAGTAGCCTGTGATGAGCAGTGTCTCCACAAGGGCAACCCAAAAACTCTTCAACGGCTTGAATGTGGACGTGCTCGACGTGAGCAAGCTGTGATCAGCAGCAACACTCTCTGCGTCGGTCTGGCTCTCATCACCGAGGAAAAATCCCCCTTGAAAGTTGCGATCGTTTGCATTCAGACTGACCATGGTTGTCGAATAAAGAAAGTGCAGGCTAAGTCTTGACCAGAGGTTTCGTCTTTGCTATGTACACGGCATCCAAAAGTTGCCAGAATATGCCACTTATGCCTGCTCCATTATCCCTAGAGGTTCTCTGCCATTACTAGTCTAGTCGAGCGTGGGTGAGACTTGGCCTTGATAGATAAAGGTCGACAAGCACCGTCCAGCGAATTCAAAAACAATCCAATCCAAATTCACTCTCTGATATTGACACGGGTGGTAGTCCAGGGCCACGGTAAGTGTCACAGCAATCGTAGAGCTAGATCTACTGAAGCTGTAGTAATTTCTCGTGAGGAACAAATGTGAGGTACTGGGTGGGCGAGGATAGCCTATCAAAAGAAATTTCAACACTTCAAATCAAAGAATGGAAGAGATGAAGGACGATTACGCGTATCCGTAGCAAGACTGACAATCATAAAATTAAAACCGTAGGCGTAGAATGCATGACAGATACGAAAAAGCCGTTGCACTGATTTTACCGTACTAGTACATAAAATTCGTGATCAGGGATCTAGGGAGTCGTATTTATACGACTCCTGTGTCAGACTCAGTGTACCGGTACTCGTCTTGGCGACTCCCCGAGCAGGCGAGCACACCGCGCGGTACCGGTACACCATCAACATGACTGATGATTGTATCAATTTCAAATAAATTTGCTTTCACTCACTCATTACCATGATTACTGCACGTTTCCAATTCCATGCAGCACAGCACTTTTCCCTAAAAAGGAGCATTTACTTACTTCATCTATGTCATGCTCAGTGTAGTGTGCCTACGTCTAAGTGGTATTATAAAAACATGTACTCCTTTTTAGGGAAAGTGCAGGTCAACATAATAATTTCTTCAAGCAATTGCAGGTGTTGGAAGCTGTGTATATTCGTACTCGTGACCCTGTGCTATGTAAACAGAAAGAAAACGTTGTATCACTCACACTCTTCAAGTAATACACACGCACCATTACATTCATTCACACAGTATCACATTCATCTGCCACTACCTTCCTCACATACACTATATTCACACATTGCAAAGGTGCAAACTTCGCTTTTTGTACTTGTTAGCTGCTGTATTTCTACCTGAAACCATATTAGCTACATGTATATAAGTGTGTGTTTTAGTTATTACATTTTTATGTGACGGCGTTCCACTGATGACAGTCACAAGAAAACGTTATGGAACTTGACTTTCTTCATTTTTGCTGTTGTTATGAGTGCACAATTTATCTTATTTATTGCCATTTTACGACTATTGTCTCCTCGTCGATTGTTTAAACATAATAATTATGTATAATAAAATTTAATGTGCAAGTAGTAGCCTCACTGCTCAGGCCAGGATTTATTGCAATTACAGACCAGTTATAAACCAGTTATATAGCAGCATTGCCAGCAATAAATCCTTCGGCTCAACATTAATTTTATTATTATGTACATATTGAAAACAGTCAGAACAGAACAACAAGGACAATCAAGGCTTGTTTGCTGCGACTTCAAGTTTCAGGCTCTCGCAATCATCAGGTAACAATATTGAAAACAGTCATTCACACAAGTACAAGCAAAGAAGTACAAGACTTGTACGAGTACTCTTGAAACAGCAGTGTAGACATCCCAACCAACACTCAACAGCTAGTTACACATGCACTATTGACAGATGTTCCGAATATTGACATTTGATTGATTTTTATTTTGGATTGACCGAAGGCTACGGGAGGCTACCAAGGGGCTCTCCTGTGTAGTGGAAGGAAAGATGAGGAAGAGAGGAAAGTAGTGATGAATGTCATGTACTCCTGCACTGCAGATTTTCTGGGGAAGAACCAATGCACGAGTCGAAGCACAGACACACCAGCACAGCAAGGAGCTCTGTCGCAACGTTTATTCTGTACTCGTGTTACCAGACTTTCGAGGATCGTAACCAGGCCAGAAAGCCATGGAACATACACAAGCACACGAGCGGGTGGAACTCAATCAATCCAGCACCGCTGAAAGTAGGACAAATGCCTATTAAAGCAACTAAAATAGTTGAAAGCACGGGACAACAGATTGAAAAGTAAGAGACTAGTGGAAATTAAATCGCAGGATCATAATCACCTTTCAACAGCACACGCTCAGCAGACAGACAAGACGAGGAAGATCACCAGCCTAGTGACGTCGGGCCCAGGACACAAGGAAATACGAATTGCAAACAGTGGTGGACACATGATGACTTGCACACAATTGTCACACCAGTGCAGTCGGCAGTGTCCACAGTTCAGAACTAGACAACGTGGCAGCTACTGCATGCCCGGACAGTTCAGCGCGTTCACACTATGCAGCAGCAGCGGCATGCCACACACGCGCGCGCGCGCGCGCACACACACGCACAAGTGTTACCACTGCCACTGTGCCAGCTCGCACTACTCACCACTGTCCTCTAACCTAGGCACACACAGTTGATAAAACAAACATTGACAGGATGGTACAAATGATCAAAACAGCAGCAGTGCAGCTGTAACGGTGGTATTGACTATTCAGACAGCGCTTGACGCACGCACACAAAATAAAACGGGCCGTAGAGAAGTTATTAGCAATGGCAAGGCATTGAACCAGATTTAAAAAAAACTCTCTAAAAGCAGCACTCAGTGCTGTGGGAGGTACTAGCACTAACTGTTAGCTGCACGCCTGGCAGCAATTTGTGCATGTTGAGAGCCGGGTTGTGCTGGCTGCATGGATTGTAGGCAGCGGTCAGCATAGTGCGTAGGCATGTGAACAGACATGCCAGGTGGCTGGACAGATGGGTCACTCGCAAAGCCGTCACAACGGTACAGAGATTAGACTTGTGGGGTTTTGATGCCGTGTGGCCTGCGCAGAGGCTGAGCTGGACCTGCTCGGACTCCACGACCGCGGCCGATGTCCCGCTTCGGTCGGCGAGTATCCACAACTTCCCAGCCGCCGGCGTCAGCAGGAGGAACTCCAGTATCAGACATATCCTGGCCAACAGCAGAATGCTCTGCAGGGGACGTCATTGCACTAGAACCCCATGTGGCGCCTGTGTCGGGTGGCCGCACGGCACCACGGGGAGGTCGCACTGATGTTGCTGTTGCTCCTGATCCTGCTGGTGCCCTGGAAGAAGCCGGAGCAACGCTGGGAGTGCTAGACCAGCCGCTGGAGCCATTAGCTGGGGTCTGCTCAAGGCCTCCAACGTCCACTGCAGAGAACTGTTTCTCCAGCTCTCTTACATCCAGAGCAGCAAACTGTGCATTAGACGCATTGACACGTGCATTGGCAGCAGCAGCAACACTATGTGTACTTGCACTGGGTCCAGCGTGGTAAGCAGAGGATGAGGCAGCGGCGCTAGGACCGGCTGGCGGAGCAGCCCACGCGGCTGTACCCGGGGGCCGTGTCGTACCGGGTGGTCTGGTCTGTGCTGGCGCCCCTGAAAGTGAAGGTGATGATGCCATACCTCCAGGAGGAGGACCTGAAGAGGAAGCAGCTGGCCAAGAACGAGTGCCAGGAGCAGCTGTGCTGGGCACGGCTCCACGACCGCCACCTCTTCCAGCGGGAGGCGTGGGCCGAACGCTATCAACAAGCTGCTGCTGGCCAGCTAGTTGTTGGGAGCGTGACGGGGCAAACGTAGACGGTGCACGCTGCTGTGATGTATTGTGATGTCGCTGCTGCTGCTGATGATGTGGAGATGAATGGAAGGGCGACACCGGCAATAAGGGAAAGGAGGACGTGGTAAAACCACCCTGACCCAGGTTGGGAAGATGACTCTCCGTGAGATCGACGCCGAAAGCTGGGCAGAGCCTCTCAGCCAGCATGTACCTACACACGGTCAACATCAAAAAATAGAGCGGAGCAGTGAGGACACACACACACACACACACACACACACACACACACACACACACACACACACACACACACACACACACACACACACACACACACACACACACACAGGGTCAACATCAAAGTGGAACAGAGTAGTGAGGACACGTACATAGAGTTAACATCAGAAAGAGATGGAGGAGTGGGGATACCCAAAGGCGAAAAGTAGCTAAAAAAGCTAAGGCTGGGATCGTTTTGTTGGATCCGGATCAAGATGCCCGTGGAGAATCCATAGATACAAAATACAAATACAAATCCAGACCCCAGATCCACTGGATCCCTCAGAATCAACCGATCACATTCGGAACACACTGCTATCGTGACCATGCTGAGGTACAAACCCACGCTCGAAAAGTTACTCCAGGTTCGTACTTGTTGTACTCATCTGCACGGTGTGACGCGTTTCCATGTGTATATGTACCAAATGCGTATAACAATGATTGTTATCCGCCAAACACGTACAAACGTCATGCTCGGCAAAAATGAATCCGTTGGATCCAGTCAACCCTGCTCCCAGGACAGGGTTGCTCGGATCCAAATCCGAAGGATCGGGATTCGACCAATCGATCACTGCGGATCCAGTGGATCCTATGGATCTGGATCCGACCAAACGATCACGGCCTTGGTAAGAGGCGAGTTAGAGAGCAAGATCTGCCAGTACAGCTTTTGAATTCTTTATTCTCACAATGGCACCATCGCCAATAAAAGATGGCTTATTTGGCTCGTTGATTAGGACTGCACGTGCGTGTTCTAGATCGGCCAGAACATGTTCTGCCTGCTCTGGTTTGCAGGTCAGAACAGCCGGAGCGGTTTACACATTTCTCAGTGAGCCTGGCAGGAGAGTATCGATCTTGTCAGAAAGGATCACAACGCACACGCCCTCCACGTGTGCGTTGCAGTTGCATGCTCTCTTGCCGTCGTGTACACCGAGGCTGTGTGTTGCAGTTGCATGCTCTCTTGCCGTAGTGTGCGCCGAGGCTGTGTGTTGCAGTTGCATGCTCTCTTGCCGTCGTGTACACCGAGGCTATGCGTTGCAGTTGCATGCTCTCTTGCCGTCGTGTACACCGAGGCTGTGCGTTGCAGTTGCATGCTCTCTTGCCGTAGTGTACACCGAGGCTGTGCGTTGCAGTTGCATGCTCTCTTGCCGTCGTGTACACCGAGGCTGTGCGTTGCAGTTGCATGCTCTCTTGCTGTCGTGTACACCGAGGCTGTGTGTTCACATGAGAATTTTCAACACTGGTTGAAAGTCTGGACGGTGGAAAAAAATTCACCCTAGAATAGCCTACTAGTAGATTACTGCTGACCCCTACACCAGCTGTTCGATCCTGTTCTGGATTACACTAACCAAACGTACCCTAGCATACTGCAGAGTACAGGCTCTGCGCCAGCTGTTCGATCCTGTTCTGGATTGCACCAACCAAACGTACCCTAGCATACTGCAGAGTACAGGCTCTGCGCCAGCTGTTCGATCCTGTTCTGGATTGCACCAACCAAACGTACCCTAGCATACTGCAGAGTACAGGCTCTGCGCCAGCCGTTCGATCCTTTTCCAGATCGCACCAACCGAATACACCCTAGCTTATTGCCGACACTACTGTAATACACAGTGCTGGCCGACAAATGCCGAGTTTTCAGCAGCCCAGAGGCAAGCTGCCGCTGACAGCCTGAAGGCATGCGGCCCTGATCATGTTCTCACTTGACAAAATCGCGACACAGTTCTCTAGATCTACTGGGATTGCAGCATTCACCAGCCTGCAGCCTGCAGGGCTGAACATTGACGAAGCCCTAGACAGTAAATCCATTAGTTGGAGGGAGGTGAAATTCAGGAAAGGAAAGCAAAAGTCAGCACACGAAGCACACGAAACACACAAGTAGCCGTGGTGAGACCACACGCACGCACGCGCGCGCGCACACACGCACAGAAAACAGCACCTACCCAAATTTCTTAGCTCCAATCATAGCACAGTCGCACACGCCGTCAATCTCTCTGTGAAAGGAACACCTGACAAGGACACAGAAACAAACAACAGAAGTTGTAAGAAGTGCAGAGTGACTTCATTGTACTTGTTTTGCCGTGGCAAATGAGTGCATACAGTGGCACACACTCACATTCTGTCCTTGGCCACACGGGAATGTTCAATTTTTCCTAATAATTGTCACCCAGAAGGGCATCATCAGGGAACAATAGCTGGCCATAAAAAAGCTAAAGGTTACGGTATTCTATGAGAGCAATCAAGAATCACTATTGCAGATATCACCGCACTAGGTGTTACAGTTTGAAGAGTTTTAATGTGTTGTCGAAATTCAAGAATCGATTTTCACGTTCGTTGTGCGGTCTGCAACGTTGGTAGTCTTCATTGCTATCATGAAATGATTGTCTCCACTCCAATTGTAAATGTACTCCATATACATGTGATGAGTTTCGAAGACCGACATGTATGTCATGCTCAGTTTGAGGCGAGTGGCATAATTGAGAACGGCTGCCACTACTTTCTTCGCCACCCAGTTGGCCACAGAACATGGAAATTCCCAGCGTGCGTTGCATACATAACGACCCAAAGTGTCCAACTGCGTAGGGTAGCATTTCATCCAAACTCCCATGCCATGTAATTCGGCTGTGTCGACCCGTCCAAGCTGAGGATATCCTCAGTTCACAAGTACACAAGACCCTCCACTAGTGAGTGCAGTGCTCCAGTGCAGTCTGTGTGATCCCATGCTATACACAGCCTGTGATCCCTTGATATACACAGCCTGTGATCCCATGCTATGCACAGCCTGTAATCCCATGCTATGCACAGCCTGTGATCCCATGCTATGCACAGCCTGCGATCCCATGCTATGCACAGCCTGCGATCCCATGCTATGCACAGCCTGTGATCCCTTGCTATGCACAGCCTGTGATCCCATGCTATGCACAGCCTGTGATCCCATGCTATGCACAGCCTGTGATCCCATGCTATGCACAGCCTGTGATCCCATGCTATGCACAGCCTGTGATCCCATGCTATGCACAGCCTGTGATCCCATGCTATGCACAGCCTGTGATCCCATGCTATGCACAGCCTGTGATCCCATGCTATGCACAGCCTGTGATCCCATGATATACACAGCCTGCGATCCCTTGATACACACAGCCTGCAATCCCTTGCTATGCACAGCCTGTGATCCCATGCTATACAGCCTGTGATCCCATGCTATGCACAGCCTGCGATCCCTTGATATACACAGCCTGCGATCCCTTGATATACACAGCCTGCGATCCCTTGATATACGCAGCCTGCGATCCCATGCTATGCACAGCCTGTGATCCCTTGATATACACAGCATGTGAACCCTTGATATACACAGCCTGCGATCCCTTGCTATACACAGCCTGTGATCCCTTGCTATACACAGGTAGAAAAGCAATGATGTGGAACACGTATTTCGAAGACACCGAGCATGCATCAATGTTGCACACTCTAGGAGGAAACCCTCTAGGTTTTAGTGAAGTGAACATTACTAAAAGAAGGTGGATGGAATCGCATTCGAAAGCCAATCCAGTTTACATGTACCGTAATTTCACAAATTTTCAGTGTACTTTTATTTTCGGTACTTTCGGTGCATCTGTTTCATGCCTAAAATTTCAATACACCGAACAAACACTAGCACACATAATCCAATAGGGAACTGCTTCTCTGTACCTAAAATTTCTGTTCACCTAACCTGGCCGTTTGCCCTCATACCGAAAATATTGAGCACCGAAAATTTCTGAAATTAGAGTATTGCGTCGGGATGTACAAGTAGGAGGACTGAATAGCATGCCAATCAACTACATTGTAACTTGTAAGCATAGAACATACATGTACTTCAAGTACATTTGATTCGTTATGCCAGCAAGAAAAGGGCGGGGAGGGAGACAGGCAGACAGGCAGAAACAGACAGAGAGAGGGACAGAGCGAGAGAGAGAGAGAGAGCGAGAGCGAGAGAGAGAGAGAGAGAGAGAGAGAGAGAGAGAGAGAGAGAGAGAGAGAGAGAGAGAGAGAGAGAGAGAGAGAGAGAGAGAGAGAGAGAGAGAGAGAGAGAGAGGGAGGGAGAGAGACAGAGAGAGAGACAGAGGGAGAGAGAGAGATAGGGAGGGAGGGAGAGAGAGAGAGAGAGGGAGAGACAGAGGGAGAGACAGAGAGAGAGAGAGAGAGAGAGAGAGAGAGAGAGAGAGAGAGAGAGAGAGAGAGAGAGAGAGAGAGAGAGAGAGAGAGAGAGAGAGAGAGGGAGGGAGAGAGAGAGGGAGAGAGAGAGGGAGAGAGAGGGAGAGAGAGACAGGGGACAGGTAAATCGTTTTTGGATTACCTAAAAATTGAAGAGTCGTATGCTGTGCTGGCATGATCAATGCACTTCTCAGTCACCTGCAGCGGCATGCGGTACTTTTCGCCACCAGAGATGTCTGCGGCATGGTCACCTAATACCGAGCATAGTGATTCCACTTCGAAGATTTTCTCCTTTAAACGATTCGGAACGCCTACAGGAAATATTTGTGTACACACCACACCACACCGCAACACAACAATCACCATCAACAGCAGTCACCTGCGACTTCAGCTATAAACATGCTACACACAGGAGTTGGCAGCATCAAATGCATGCTCAGTAGCACTTAGAAGTAGTGTGGGGAGCACAGCGCTCGCAACAATGGCCTGCCATTCTAAAACAATGTGCGACGACCAAGATCTTACCAGCGTTCTGTGCGACGTAGCCAACGAGCTGCTCCACACACTGAGCAGACAAGGCCTGGTGAAGCATAAGAGAATTCACGCAAAGACACAGCGCTAAACAATGTCATCTAGATGCATGTGAATGGTAAGAATTCACTCACACGTAAGTTATGACCAAAAGTTGACACATTTGTGTGAAAATGTCTTTTGCTAAATAGCGGAGTTATCGCGGAGCCAAAGGGTTCAGAAGGGAGAAGTATGGTGCTCCGTAACCACATGGATCGACAACATCAAGAATGACGTAAAGACATAGATTTCCATTGCCGAAGCGGAAGCAAAAGCTACAGTCCCAACGGAACAAAGAATGTCGATTGTTACTGGACGATGACGAGACCAGTACGATATTTGACAAAGCGGTCTAACTACAATTCGAAGCAGCAAAGCAGCACACCACCCAACTTGGGTGGGTCATAAATATCAAAGATAAGTAAAGAAATGGGAAGCTTTGCGAAAACGAATTGTACAAGCCAAAAGCCAAACTCCTACAGCACTCCTCATGCATGACATTGTGATGGACTAGTTGACTATAAAACAAGTTGTTTCACACGACGTACGTTTCGCCGTATGGTTCGTGACGGCTCATCAGGTGTGCAATTTGAAACTCGGATGTTGAGCCATAAATAAATGTAGAAAGGAAAAGGACATATGGATACGAGTTAAGAGTAACTCTTCATCACTGTAACATGATACTATATACAGTCAGAAAGTGCAATAACTAGGCACAAAACTGACAGAGTACTGAGACATTCGACGTCCTGACACCTAGCTTCAACACATCTCCGTAGCGCTAATCGACGGCCTTCCAACTTGGAAGGTTCAAGGTTATGGAAAGACCATGCCCTTTTCCTTTCTACATTTATTTATGGCTCAACATGGCTGGTTATCGCCCTCATCTCTGGGGTTGCTCCCCACATTAGCAATGCGTGCACATGCTACGAGATTGAGTTTAATAATAATAATAATAGTAGAAAGGAAAAGGACATATGGAAACGAGTTAAGAGTAACTCTCCACCACTGTAACTAGATACTATATACAGTCAGAAAGTGCAACAACTAGGCACAAAACTGACAGACTCTTTTCCTTTCTACTTTTATTATTGGCTCAATACCCGAGTTTCAAATAATAATAATAATAATAATAATAACATCCGAGTTTCAAATTATTATTATTATGGTGCTCTTATGGGAAGTACTGTGCTTTATGGGGAACAGATGGTGCTCTTATGTGGAAACATGGTGCTCTTAGGGAGGGGGTGCATACGGAGGGGACAGCAGGGTGCCCTGATCATGTCACTCAGCAGTACGCGATCTACAGCAGTAGCAGCAGTAGCAACAACAGGAACAGCAGCCACAACAACAACAGGAACAGCAGCCACAACAACAACAGGAACAGCAGCCACAACAACAACAGGAACAGCAGCCACAACAACAACAGGAACAGCAGCCACAACAACAACAGGAACAGCAGCCACAACAACAACAGGAACAGCAGCCACAACAACAACAGGAACAGCAGCCACAACAACAACAACAGGAACAGCAGCCACAACAACAACAACATCAATCTCTTACCCCACTGTAAAGGGGCCGCAGGTAGGTGTTGTCGGGCTGGTCAAACTTAGACACCGAGGAAAGCTGCACAATCCTATCCCAGATCTTCTGATAGTTCTCTTCATACCTGTCAAAACCAAAAGTAGGAACTTTATGACTCTCCTCGCCTGCAAGCAGGGAATCAGAAAACAAACATGCAAGAAAACGCAATGAATCAGTACATCGTAGTTCAACAGTACACATGTACATTGTGACAGTTTGTCAAGTCTGAAAACAGTCTGGCTCCTGCAGGCCTTGGCTGCGCCGCTTGAAAACCTTCGATGGAACCTCATACACTCGGACGTCTCTTATCCGGGCGCCTTGGGACCAGGCACTGCCCGTATCTCAGATTTGCCCGTATCTCAGGATAACTCATCTATCACGTACCATATCAGTTTTTGATGAAGTTTATTTGGCACGTATTGCACATGCTCAAGATAAAAAAAAAAAAATCCACTGATGATACTGTGTGGATTACACAAGTTGGCAGTGACAAGTATGCAATTGTGCATACGAAAAAAGGGTCAAAATCCCCAAATTCGAAGCATTTTGCAATAGGAACTCGAGCTGAAGGTGCCCGGTAAAGAGACGTGTCCGTATCTGAGGCGTCCGGATAAGAGACGTTTGAGTGCACACGCAGCACTTAAGTAGGTGCATGCCTACTCCCAACCCGGCACGAGGTGGGGGCAATGGGTCAATGATGCATACATCCGCACGTCCGCACGTACAGCATACTGAATCGCTCAAACCACTTTGGAGGTGAAAAAAACGTTTACAGAAATGCTTTCTCTGTTCGAAATTGTTCTCTAGCATGCATGGACTGCGGAAATGCTATTCCTATGGGGGATACCTATGCATTTTGTTGTACTTATGGGGCCTCGAAGTTACGAAAATAGCGTTTTTCGTACTTTCAAGTAACCATAAGTACAACAAAATGCATAAGTATCCCCCATGGGAATAGCATTTCCGCAGTCCATGCATGCTAGAGAACAACTTTACTTAGAGCAGAGAAAACAGCACTTCTTCTGTAAAAGTTGTTTCACGGCCAAAGTGGTTTGAGCTACCTTAAGTTCTAGGGGTGAAACAATTATACCGAATATTCGAGTACTCGCTCAGTTTTTTCAAAAATAATCGTGCTTGGAATAAATCAGAGTACTCATTCATACATCGTACATGCATTTACCACAGGAATCTGCAGTTTCAGAGCAGCAGTCAGTAGATATTGATGTGCAGACTGTGCGGTGAACATGCGTACACGAGTAGAGAGAGAGAGAGAGAGAGAGAGAGAGAGAGAGAGAGAGAGAGAGAGAGAGAGCCGGAGAGAGAGAGAGAGAGAGAGAGAGAGAGAGAGAGAGAGAAAGAGAGAGAGAGAGAGAGAAAGAGAAAGAGAGAGCCCAAATGATCCCCCAATCAACATGTATACCCCAGCAAATTGACTGCCAAGCGGTTCGACCCGGGTTGTATCACGTGATTTTTAAAGCCCGTGGTGTACAATTTTTAGGTGATGAAGAATACTCGAATACTCGAATACTCGTAGAAAGGAAAAGGACATATGGATACGAGTTAAGAGTAACTGTCCACCACTGTAACTAGATACTAGATACAGTCAGACAGTGCAACAACTAGGCACCAAACTGACAGAGTACTGAGATATCTCTCGTTGGTCTCTCCTTAACCTTGAACCTTCCGAGTCGGAAGGCTGCTGGATAGCGCTACGGAGATGTGTTGAAGCTAGGTGCCAGGACGTCGAATGTCTCAGTACTCTGTCAGTTCTGTGCCTAGTCATTTCACTTTCTGACTGTATATAGTCTCTAGATACAGTGATGGACAGTTACTCGTATCCATATTTCCTTTTCCTTTCCACATTTATTATTGGTTCAAGATCCGAGTTTCAAACTCGAATATTCGATCGGAGAAAAATCAGAGTACTCGAGCTCAGGATCTCAGTGCCAACGTTCATCCTAACTCTTAACGCCATACGGCAACAAGTCAGTCAACGCCTTTTCTGAGTCTGTTTGGAAATGCAGACATGCAACTGCATATAACCGGGTCATGCTGAGCCAGGCTGAAAAGGAAACTTCCTCGTGGTTTGATCAAACAGATCCCAGAGCAGGCGGGGTGCAGTCCCGCATCCCGGTACAGAGTAGGCCATGCACGGGGCAGTTTGAGTACACACTAACGCTACAAGCACAAGTGGAGGGTTGTGCGGCTGCCCAGTCACAGTGGCCAAGTGGGCAAACTGCACAAACTACTCCTCTCCGATACACAGCTACACGCGTATGGTACGTGCACGTGTCACAGGGCTCTTATTCTTTAACCCTTAGCGGTGCATCAGTCATTAACGACTGATATTGTGTACGTACCGTAAAACTGTCGTAACTCCATCGATTTTTGTCCTGTTGCAAATATCGAAATATGTAGATCAAAGAGGAAGCTCCAAGCTTTCCAATGGTGTAATCGCTTTTGCGATAGGAGAAACGATGATAAAGATATGACGCTCGAAAGTTTGATCGCGGCACTAAATTGTTCAAACGTCTCAAAATCATTTTTTTGCCTCGTGCTTCGGGGATTTCCCGTGGATCACGTGGTGTGCAGCCAGCTGATGACGTGCGGGTGTAATGACGTCGAAACTACTGATTGAGATGCAAAAAAATCCAGAGCTGTGCAAGAAACGACAGCGAAATGGCATTGGGATGAAATTTAGAAGTATTTCTTTCAACACGAGGCCCGACCTATGGCGATTCCCTGCGCTCTGGAGCAGGCTTTGTGGCACCCACGGAGTTGAGCGTGGCGTCATTCTCTTGGCAGCGGAAAGAGCGTTTCAAAGAGCCCTAGACTGTCAAAATCAAGCAAACAGAACGTAAGTTATGATGGAAATGGTGGAGTGAACTGCAATTGCGCATTTTCACGCGTTCAGTGGCACCTCAAAGGGTTAAACAAAAAATGTTTACGCAATGCAGCAGCGCCAAACCTGCACCAGCTGCACTTCAGGGGGTGAGGGCAAGGTCAATCTGGTAATAAGTAAACAAAAAAGCACATGACTAGACTAGTTCGTTGAACTGCAGTCCGTCCAAGAGAAATAATATGTGGCTTACTTGCATCCTTCACTTTTGCCTTTGAACCCACTGGAAGCCTCCCTGCAGCACAACAGCAAGTAGAACATCCAGCATTCCAGTAACTGAGTTCGAACGTGTTACCGAGATAGAATCACACTGCGGACAACACAACAGTGGTCATTAAACTGTTACTAACTTAGCATCCCGTAGTGCTGTGGTGCACTAAACCAGGGCTTCCAAGAACATAAGTCATAACCTCTCAGATGACAGTTTTCAACCTGGCTCGTTTTAAGATCGCAGGCAGCGTCTCCATATAACTCCAGTGCGTAGCTCAGGTGTGCTCTATGCAGCTCTTAGCTTCAGCCGCCAAGGGTTTTCTCTCAGGGTCTCTCAGGCCGGACATTCTGGGATCCACATTCTTGGCACCTTGAGCCTAGAGGAAAATGAGCCTCCCGACCCCGAAAGGCGGCAATGTAATTTTTAGGGGTGAAACGATTACACTTTATGACTACCGAATAACCTAAACCTTCATCGATCGGTTCTCGGTTATTTTTTGATTATTTCTTCCACAGATAAAAGAAGTATTAGAAGCTGAAAAATGCGAAAATTTAGAACTATAAAATTGATCCCGTGGAGAAGAGAATTTTTCCTCGCACATCGGTATTCACAGAGTTAGGACTGTTTGAACAGCAGTATTCACAGAGTTAGGACTGGTTGAACAGCTGTATTCACAGAGTTAGGACTGGTTGAACAGCTGTATTCACAGAGTTAGGACTGGTTGAACAGCAGTATTCACAGAGTTAGGACTGTTTGAACAGCTGTATTCACAGAGTTAGGACTGGTTGAACAAAAAAATTGATTTGAAATTTTGACGTTTTTTTGGTTTGGGTTTGAAATTCTTTATTTTAAACATGCATTTTTCTGATTTCTTCTCCAGTGTATGATTTATTGCATTATATATTGACCTTTGAAAAATACCCACACTCATTAGTGACTACACCATCAACAGTATCAAATTCAAATAAATTTGCTTGACTCAATAAATACCACTGTACTTTTACATGCAGCACTGCACTTTTCCCTAAAAAGGAGTATTTTATAAACAGTATTTATTGGCTCAAAAGCCAATAAATACTGTTTATAAAATACCACTAGGCCAATAAATACTGTTTCCTCTGAGACAAAAATGCGATAATACTTGTGTCATTATTGCAATTTTCGCTGTTTACTTTAGCTATCTTCTTTCTTTCTTTCTTTCTTTTTGCGCTGTTTTACCACCTTCTTACTGTATTTAATCCACTGTTCCTGTTCCTTTTCCCTTGCCTGTATTTCACCTGATGAGAAGGCTTGAAAGTATACTTGTGAAGACAAAAACTTTCAAGATGTTTGTAATGAGCCTGAAGTGTGTCCTTTTTATGAGTATTACCAATAAATACTGTTTATAAAATACTCCTTTTTAGGGAAAGTGAAGGTCAACATATGTATAATAAATGTAGTAGCCTCAGGATTTATTGCAATTACATACCAGTTGTAAAAACCTCGGGGGACCTCGGTTTTTATACTGGTATGTAATTGCAATAAATCCTTCGGCTCTACATTTATTATAATTATACTTAAACCATTGCGTAAATCTGCCCGTAAAAGAGGACTGGTTGAACAGCTGTATTCATAGAGTTAGGACTGGTTGAACAGCAGCATTCATAGAGTTAGGACTGTTTGAACAGCTGTATTCACAGAGTTACACCTGTGTTAGGTACCTCCTCCCGTACAATCTTACCTACAACCTTTCCTAAGCTGGCCGGCCTGCATGCACCCGTACTACGTCATACTCACCTTTCGTTCCGTTGGCCTGGGTAGCTACTTGCGTGCCCATGTTTGCCATAGCTACCCAGGCCCTTTACTGTATAAGCAGAAATATGCGTCTGGAATTTAATTTCGTCGTTTTCGTCCAAGGAGCTTTTAGACTAAAAAAAAAGTAGGACTAATGTCGATTTGCCCTGCTTTTCTATACACTTTTATGGTCCATGGACGAAATTTTCAACCGGACGAACTCCTTTTCTTTGGAGTTGGACGAAATTATTGACCGACGAAATTTTCTGCCTGTAAAGTATATTGCGTTGTTTCTCAGTCGAGCTCTCTCTCTTCAATAATCTCGCTCTTGTCAATAATCACAATGTAGTCGTAGTAGTTCGTCTTTGTCTCCGTCTCTTCGTCTACCCTAATAAATGTCGTTCCACCTACCTGTCCCGTTGTGAATTGTGTCTGGAGAATATTGGGTCTAATTCATACTCAACATTGGCGCCCAACGTGGGGCTCGAACCCACGACCCTGAGATTAAGAGTCTCATGCTCTACCGACTGAGCTAGCCGGGCTGACTAGAAAGGATTGGTCTCAGCGGCGCTAGCAAGCTGGCCCCGAAAGGTGGTGGTGACTGCCAGCATTGACGTCCTTGGTTGTCAAAGCAACCATGGCTACGGCAAAGGAGGACCCTACCATGGACAGTCCTTGGAAAAGAAAGGAGTTCTGTCACTGGATGCCCCACCTGCAAGGCGCGCTCAGCTGTGGGACAATTCGTACAGCATGCTTCGCGAAGCATCTGATTTCTGAAGGACAGTGGAAGGACCTGCAGGCCATAGAAGACCCAGCAAAACACAATGAGCTCTTGCTGGATAGGCTAAGATGTGGTACAGCTGAGTCCCTTCGCATTTTTCGCTCTCAATAATCACAATGTAGTCGTAGTAGTTCGTCTTTGTCTCCGTCTCTTCGTCTACCCTAATAAATGTCGTTCCACCTACCTGTCCCGTTGTGAATTGTATCTGGAGAATATTGGGTCTAATTCATACTCAACACTGGCGCCCAACGTGGGGCTCGAACCCACGACCCTGAGATTAAGAGTCTCATGCTCTACCGACTGAGCTAGCCGGGCTGACTAGAAAGGATTGGTCTCAGCGGCGCTAGCGAGCTGGCCCCGAAAGGTGGTGGTGACTGCCAGCATTGACGTCCTTGGTTGTCAAAGCAACCATGGCTACGGCAAAGGAGGACCCTACCATGGACAGTCCTTGGAAAAGAAAGGAGTTCTGTCACTGGATGCCCCACCTGCAAGGCGCGCTCAGCTGTAGGACAATTCGTACAGCATGCTTCGCGAAGCATCTGATTTCTGAAGGACAGTGGAAGGACCTGCAGGCCATAGAAGACCCAGCAAAACACAATGAGCTCTTGCTGGATAGGCTAAGATGTGGTACAGCTGAGTCCCTTCGCATTTTTCGCTCTCAATAATCACAATGTAGTCGTAGTAGTTCGTCTTTGTCTCCGTCTCTTCGTCTACCCTAATAAATGTCGTTCCACCTACCTGTCCCGTTGTGAATTGTGTCTGGAGAATATTGGGTCTAATTCATACTCAACACTGGCGCCCAACTTGGGGCTCGAACCCACGACCCTGAGATTAAGAGTCTCATGCTCTACCGACTGAGCTAGCCGGGCTGACTAGAAAGGATTGGTCTCAGCGGCGCTAGCGAGCTGGCCCCGAAAGGTGGTGGTGACTGCCAGCATTGACGTCCTTGGTTGTCAAAGCAACCATGGCTACGGCAAAGGAGGACCCTACCATGGACAGTCCTTGGAAAAGAAAGGAGTTCTGTCACTGGATGCCCCACCTGCAAGGCGCGCTCAGCTGTAGGACAATTCGTACAGCATGCTTCGCGAAGCATCTGATTTCTGAAGGACAGTGGAAGGACCTGCAGGCTATAGAAGACCCAGCAAAACACAATGAGCTCTTGCTGGATAGGCTAAGATGTGGTACAGCTGAGTCCCTTTGCATATTTTGCGACGTTGTCCGTGACAACGAACCTGCATCAAATTTTGCTAGTTTCCTGGGAGAGATGAAGACGTTGGAGAGTTTTATTGGGGTTTCTCCAGAATGCAAGAAGGACTGTGATCCAGTTGTAAGTCTGATGAAGGAATTCCCTTCAACAGAACGCCGAACTTGTCGAAGATGCTCAAGTCTCGCACTGTCCAAAACAAGAAAGTCATTCACTTGCCCAAGCCCACCTCAACAATATCGGTTGACTTGCTAAGCAAGCTGTCCACCGAGAAAGAACAGCGAAATGCTCTGATGACAGCCGAGATTGAACAGTTGTAATCCAGCGCTGCAATATTTGATGGCGATGGAGTTCAGCAATCTCGGTTCACAGGACAATCTCGCTTTCGTCAATAATCACAATGTAGTCGTAGTAATGGACTCGGATGGAGAGCCAAGGTTTAACTTATAGCGTAACTTGTAGTTCCTTGGTCTTTCTCTTTTGTAGTCGTAGTAGTTCGTCTTTGTCTCCGTCTCTTCGTCTACCCTAATAAATGTCGTTCCACCTACCTGTCCCGTTGTGAATTGTGTCTGGAGAATATTGGGTCTAATCCATACTCAACACCTGTTTGAACAGCAGTATTCACGAGTTAGGACTGTTTGAACAGCTGTATTCACAAAGTTAGGACTGGCTGGATAAGAAGAGCTCCCGATAAGACAAACAAACTTGTTTCACAGAGTTAGGACTGGTTGAACAGCAGTATTCAAGAGTTAGGACTGTTTGAACAGCTGTATTCACAGAGTTAGGACTGGTTGAACAGCTGTATTCACAGAGTTAGGACTGTTTGAACCGCGGTATTCACAGATTTAGGACTGGTTGAACAGCTGTATTCACAGAGTTAGGACTGGTTGAACGGCGGTATTCACAGAGTTAGGACTGTTTGAACAGCAGTATTCACATCTCTCAATACAGTACACTCAACTTTCCAATGCACTTTCCTCAACATTGCTCAACCTTGTGGTAGTTACTACAGTCAAACCTGGTTAGGACGAACTTCAAGGGACCGAACAAGTTTGTTTGTCTTATCGGGAGCTCTTCTTATCCAGATCTGACAAAAAAATTGATATGCATATCATATGGATTGTATTTATGTGCATGCTGTGGCAAATGTAAAACATTTTTTCGTAACAAAACCTAGCAACAGGCAAGTTCAATGTGTAAGGAATTCATGACAGCATTACATCCGACTTGTGACATGTTTTGCCACTACAAGAGGCCTCTACTATCGGGAAAAACTACAGCCAGCGTACCCACGGAGACCGAAAGTTCGTACTACACGCTGATTTTGTTCAAATGACGCTTGAAATTAGTTCGTCTTCACGAAAGTTCGCCGTACAGAGTAATTTTGACTTGATATGATGCCTGGCCAACCATAGAGTTGACCCTAGTTCGTACTAAAGGAAAGTTCGCCTTATCAGTGTTCGTCCTAACGAGGTTCGGTCTAAAAATTACAATTTCCTATGTCAAATATCAGTTGTTGTAGACAAAATGAAATCGGTGACCCCTTGTTTTTCTTTTTTGGAGGTTATTGCCCACACGTTTTGGTAATTGAAACATGAGAATTATCAGGCTGGGGCATCTGACCCTCTGTTTTGATCGCTTAGACCGTTGGTTGCGCATCGGCTAAATCAGCCCTAAAAGTTGGCTAAAACCCTTCATCGTGGCTTAATCACAAAAAATAAACTTACATTTTGAGAATAATCGACGCGGAGACAACAATTTTATAATAGCTATAAAGAGAACAAATTCTGCTGTCATCGCCACACTACAACAAAGTCATGAAGGTTTACCAAAATCGATTTTCTTGTCACAATCATCAGTGGAAAGCCGTGACTGAAGAGTACAGCGCTTCAAGAAGATAATATTATGTGAAATGTTTCAAGCTACGTAGCGTTTGCGCAGAACATCATCCGATGATTGTGACAAGAAAATCGATTTTGGTAAACCTTCATGACTTTGTTGTAGTGTGGCGATGACAGCAGAATTTGTTCTCTTTATAGCTATTATAAAATTGTTGTCTCCGCGTCGATTATTCACATATTTTAAACGGAGATACTCTAGGAGTCAGGTTGAAATCCTGAATGATGTTCTGCGCAAACGCTACGTAGCTAGAAACATTTCACATAATATTATCTTCTTGAAGCGCTGTACTCTTCAGTCACGGCTTTCCACTGATGATTGTGACAAGAAAATCGATTTTGGTAAACCTTCATGACTTTGTTGTAGTGTGGCGATGACAGCAGAATTTGTTCTCTTTATAGCTATTACATTTTGAGGTTGAGATTTTCAGAAAAATGAGTTCCGTGCTGCCCTTTTTTCTTTGAGATTGGCATTCCTCATACATGTTTTCCTTTGATTCAGCCTCTTTGGTCAGAAATTAACTAGACTATGACATAGATGCAAACCACCTTAGGGATTCTGGAGCCTCAAATTGTAGTTACACTCACCCTAACCACTTGGCATGGTGTATGCCAGCATGCGTACCCCTCACACTCTGATGATCCAACTCTACTTGCACAGACAGTGCAAACTCTGATCAGTGTTGTCAGACTTTACAAACAAAACATGGCCACTAGAATCTTGCAGCACTCACCGGGGTGAACAAACTCATGGTAGGTCTCGTGGATGCCACCTCCCAGAGAAAACTCAACGATGCACAGCTCACACGGGTACCATATTTCATCAATCTCCACCAGTGGAATGAAGGAAATGAACAGAAACTTCTGGTCACGCATATCTATGACACACGAATAGAAGCAGAATGTGGACGACAAGCATGCAGTGATCAATTTAGGAACAGCAATAATGAATTTATAAACATGAGGCCAGCACCCTCTCTGTTCCTCTGTCTCTCTGTGTGCCTGTCTGTCGGTCCGTTTCTCTGTCTCTGTCTGTCTGTATCTGTCTGTTTCTCTGTCTCTATCTGTCTCTATCCGTCTCTGACTGTCTGACTCTGTGTCTCTCTCTGTCTCTCTCACACGGCACACGCTGAAGGTGAGAAAGAAAGATTGGACACCACAATAACCTCGAGGATCAATGCAGTCAAAACACAAACCATACACTGCAATACACGCTCACCACAGCCTGGTTGCAGGTGCTTGCGGATGTGCGCCAGTTCTTTCACACGCCGTTTACTGAGTTCCTCAAGGGGATTGACACGATCCTAAAGCACACAAGGAAGAAACAAGTACAGAACCGTTCCGCTTTTTCAGACACTTTGGACAACCAGAGAGAACAGGCACACGCCATTCTGGCGAGCAGCCCTAGAAATGCCAATACCGTTGACAATATTCCATGCTGTTCCTTGAATTCGCGCTTTTTGAGCTTCGTTTTAGATATCCGTCCTTTCCTCATCACGCCAGAGTGGAGCCGTTAGGAGCAGAAGTGTATGACAACAAAATTAAATCCTTTTTTCTAGACTAAGAGCGGTACAAACTATAAAAGGACGAAAAAAGACTAAGAGCGGTAGACAGAGACACAGTTTGTGATTTTACAAGACTTTTCCAGACGTATCGTCGTCCAAAACAAAAATTGTCAGTGGACAAAAGAATGCAGGGCTCTGGGTGGTGGCATGAATTAATAGGCAGCAGATAGCGATGAGATGGGGCGAGAGGTGCAGGTGAGAAAATCTCTTGCCTAGTGGTGAAGGAGTGGTGTAAGGCAAGTGCTGTGGGATGATGCAAGTAGGAGAGAGTGAACTCTAAAGGTAGGAAAGAAGATTAGCAGCAGGTGCTCGTGTGAGTGGAAGGCTGACTGGTGCAATGGAAGTGTTGCGGGCCGATACAGGTGAGAGAGAGAGAGTCTAGGCGGAAGTGCAGACTAGCAATAGCCAATAGGTGTTGGTGTGCGTGGAAGGTAGCAGTGGCAAAAGGTGTTCGCGACAGGGATAGTGGGACGATACAAGTGGAAAAGTAAAGTAAATTATCGTGTCCGTTCCCAAAGGGAACTCATGACGGCCGCTAACACCCGGTAAACCCTAGCGGCAGATGCAGCGCCTAACGGTGGGGGTGAGTGGATACGTCTCACAACCACTGGCACAAGTGCCGAGAAACCCCGTTAGCTGCATCTATGTGTGGGTAAGAGTAAACCGTGCAGGCAGGAGTGTAGACTAGCAGTAGGTGTTGGTGTGCGTGGAAGGTTGAGTGGTGCAATGGAAGTGTAGCGGGTTGATAAATGTGTGTGTGTGTGTGTGTGTGTGTGTGTGTGTGTGTGTGTGTGTGTGTGTGTGTGTGTGTGTGTGTGTGTGTGAAATTAGTGGTGGCCAATTCATCAGCCTTGCAAGCTGTTGAATGGTGTAATCCCAGCACAAGTTGCTATGTCTAACATAGCTGTTCGCTATCATCGCTTCCGCGATAGGCAGGTGTGAGGTGAGGTGTGTGTGTGTGTGTGTGCGCGTGTGTGAGAGAGAGAGAGAGAGAGAGTCTAGGTACGAGTGTAGATTAGCAATAGGTGTTGGTGTGCGTGGAAGGTAGAAGTGGCAAAAGGTGCGCGCGATAGGGTTAGGATTGATGGTGTGGCGTCTTCTGCGATCAGGTGAACAAAGTGAGAGGTGATGGTCGGGACTAAAATAGAGAGGCTATGATTGAAAGAAAAATACTGTACCCGTACATGTAATAGAGATCAGTGTATACAAGGAGGGGTGTGCAGGCACTGTGGCTGAGTTCTGTTGGGTTTGGGGGCGGGTGACAGGGTGCTGGATGTTATGCCAGGAATAAGATTTGATAACATTGCATTCTCTATATTCATATGCTACTGGCTCTCAACGTCTGCTTAGCACAACTCCATGAGCGACTCTGATTCACACTGCTACCTGGGGCCTCACGAGGTGTTTGTCGCGCTGGAAAGGGAGGGTATCTGTAAGTTTGCATCCTGGTGATGGTTTGGCCCGGAGAGCACTATGTATCTGGTGCTTTTCAGGCACAATCTTCCTCAGCCCACTCAAGCTCAACTGATGAGGGGTGAAAAGGACTACACTATAGGAGTGGCAGTCAATGTGGCCCCGGAAGATTGGTGCACGATACTTGACTTCGGTAATACCGTAAAGTACCGCCAGAGCGCCCCGTCTCGCGAGAGCGCCCCACCTTGATTTTACAGCCAAGGGAAGAAAATCGTATGGCAGAATGCTACTAAGTTTGTACGATGTGAGAACTTTCGTGTACTAAGGTCACACTTGGTATGCTTTTATGTGGAGCTCGAAGGTAAACTGGGTACGGATTGACTGCACAATGTGCAATGTTTGTACAAGGTCCGTGTCGTATGACCTACAGACAGGAATCCACCTCCACAAGGCGGCCATGAAAGGACGAGATGGTGGGGCGCTCTGGCGGTACTTTACGGTACTACTGGACACCCTTTACGATTCTCCCTCTTTCAATGGCTCATTGTCTGATGCGCAGATAGTGAGGCTGCGGGTTCTGCTGAATGGAGCAGCCCGCACTGTCTACGGCGTACCCAAGCGACAATCAGCTGAGCCTCCGCTGACATGGCTGCGAGTTTTCCAGGTGTCAGGGCACTTCTACCAGATCACCCTAGCTCTTGTAGAGAAAAGCATGCATGGCAACGAAACACCGCATTCCATCATGTAACTATTGAGTCCTCTAAAAGAACAAACAGAGAAACTTGACTTCAGCAGCAGGGCGGACTTCATCTCCCACTTGCAGGAACGAATGCAGACAGGCCGACAGACAGGCCCGTTCGTACCCCATGCATACGCGCCACACACATGCCTGGGCTCATTCCACTGAGTACACTCAGGAACTCTAACTTACGACAAGCAGCTTGCCAGTGGAGTCCATACGGTGGTCGTTCTTTCCAATCTGTGTCGAGTCATCGCAAACAATCGGTACATAAGACACCGGTGCGCTCTTGGCTCTCTCTTTATACAGCTCTTTCTCTGATTCTGGTAAGGCCTGTTCATAAACAAACACAACGAGAAAGAGACGGTTGAAGACATGCAAGCTACACATGTCAACAGAAGAAAACAATGTACAGTAGTATGCAGTAGAACAAAAACGTTCAAGGAAATCTAACTTGTGCGAATGCAACAGTGAACATTCCAGTGTAGGGCTGCACAGCGACTGGCGCGTGCTGGGTTCACGCGATCGGATTTCATTGAGCAGCACTGCACAACCCTATTCTTTGCATGAAAAGTAGGCCCAGTGGATGGGAATATCCAGAAGAGGAATGTCCGGATAAAGATAGAAAAGTAGGCCCAATGGATGGGAACATCCAGAAGAGGAACGTCCGGATTAAGATAGTCAAAGAGTCTACAGGGTTTCGGCACCTTTCAAATAGTACACTACAGTATAGGAATAGCTTGCATCCCTGATGATTGCGTCTAGGCATGAAACTGTGCGTTGAGATTTATTTTTGTTCCACTGGATTTTCTTTTGTTAGGAGTATAGGGTGTGGGCGACAATTGCAGTCGATTGGAGATACAGCAGCTGCAGTCAACCTGGTGAATACCGAGCACGGGTATAACAACAGCTCACGAAGAACAACACAATCTTCAGACAAAGTTAGTTCTCCGGGGTCTTCCGAGGCATGCGGCGGAAGAGATTCTTTCTTGCTAATTCTATCCAAATCAAACTTTCCTTATTCGTTCTACAAAAAGCAAACAGCTGGCTACTCTCTATTCTATTCAAGACTCTGGCAGTTTCTCAAGACCCTTTCGCGAATGCACCTCCAAAGATTGATTTGGACTTCACTTTGGCAACGCGAACAAGGAACGACATGGGAAAGGACGGGATGTCTTACGAATACGACATCCATTCTTATTTGCTCTTAGTCAGTTTCAAAACTGCACTGGTTGTAATGTATGCATTACACTAGAGTCACGCGTCCAAGAACGTTGTTTCCAAGGGACGTTCTTATTTTGTTGGGCAATCTGGCTGCGTTCTTATAGCACGTTCTTAGAAACAATTCTTACTGGATCATGTCTATCCCAAACTGAGCTGCCGGAAAACCAAAACCGCCATTCTTAACTTTAGGCTGTGGCGTTCTTAGCATTTCAGGCTGGACGTTCTTCACCGCGCGAGTCTACTGTAGCTTCATCAGATTTCACACAATATCGTCTGCATGAGCACAAATGTCACATGTTTTCCAACTTGATAATGCGTAAGTTACGGAATATCAAGGCTTTCCCACCTGTACAAGGTCACGGACCGACATGTCACTAGTACGTGTGTCCATGAGCGCTGTGCTAAAGTAGCGTTAGGATACTTTGTCTACTTTTCGGGAGCCTTATCTTGTTCACGCCAGTCTATTTGATTTACTTGCAGCAATTTTCCTGAAGCGCTATACTCAGAATTCTTGAGATAGTTTTCTGAATCTGCTTTGAGCTCTGTGGTGTTGCTCTTGTCTGCTCTACTGCACAAATGAAATTTCTGTACGTGTTTCTGATTTTTTTAAATACAGAGAGTGCTTGCAACTGCCTAGTCTAATTCTGAAGTTCGTTTATTCAAAGAGAATCAACTTTTACCTTCCAGTCGTGTTGGCAAAGCTGAATAATATGTGGTTGCGTGCCATCCCAAAATCCATTCTTCTTGAACCGAGGCTTCTGGTCGTCACAAAACAGTGTGTACGCATTCTTTTTCTTCAGCTTCTTGAGTTTCGGAGCAGCATCAGCACCTTTTGTACCTGGAGCAGCCATAGCTCACAGTCTAAAGTAATCAAACAAGCCTGCGCGGACGAAACTGATCCAGCTAATATTATAAAGTAATTTTAGTTGCTTCTCCTGTGGCCCAGTGTGGGGACCTGGGCGGCTGGGGAACTGCAAGCCGCAAACACCAAACAATTACTATCAGCGACACCTGTCATGTACTAGACTGTAGACTGTTGACAAGTAACAGTGTTGTGTAGGCTAGGACCAAATTCTATCTTATCTTTGTCTCACGTTATGTTACTAGACTGCTGTATCAGTTTGTGAATTCAAACAACTCAACATCGGCGTAAAAAAAAGAGGCTTTGGAAAAAAAGAAGAAAAAAAGTTTGATAGGGCCTAGCGCCTAGCTCGCTAGGACCGCGGCCGGGGCCCGGGGCCCACGCGTGCACGCGCACGTGCACGCCCAGCGCTAGTGCCCAGCGACTGGTATTCATGGTGCATGGTGCGGTACATGGTACAGTAGTCATCATTTAGAAAAGCGATCCTGTCAGCTTTTCTATTATTGTGTTCACATGGCAGAAAAAACGACATCGCTATGCTACGTAAGTTTCTACGTAAGGTGCTCGGTATTTCACTTAGGCTACGTAAGTCTCTACGTAAGGTGCTCGGTATTAGATCTACCAACGCGTGGTAGCCGTGTGCTGTGCACACGTGCACGGCAGACATTGTGTTCAGTGCATGCAGTCCGCGGATCCGTGTTCGGATGTGCATGCGCGAGGAACTTTACTTCCTTCTTTGGAACTGCTTCTTGCATGAACTGTTTCGGATATTTCGTCTCCTGGCCTGGCTTATTTCGTTTCGGCGCTGCTGAGACCTCCTTTCGCGGAATATTACTCAATGACAGGTGAGTTGACCAGTTGCCTTTGATTCTGCTTGTGTTGACTCTTTCATTCAGGAAAAGTGTGCTGATTTTAGGGCGGAAATTAATAATGGAAAAGTTGACAGGATCTCTTTTCTAAATTTTGCTCTTCTGCTGCCGAGCTGCGAGGCCGCCTTTTACGGAATACTCGATGACAGGTGATCTCTAAGTTGACCGGTTTCCTTCGATTCATTTGCTTATGTTCACCTTTCATTTACGGAAACGTGTGCTGATTTTATTCGGATTTAGATCCATTTTTATCTCTTTGCCCTTGTCTACAGTGTGCGAAGAACGCGAGTTCACCTTCTTGACGGTAAGGCTTATGTTAGATGTGTTGTCGAAATACTCATATTCATTGCACATTGGTACGTTACAAGTAAGGCACTGGTCAGTGGCATACTATCGTTGGCAGTTCCCAATCTGGAGGGAAAGGTTCAAGTACCAATTGACCGAGTTTGCAAAATAAATTCGCATATCAGGGGAAATCTCTATTGTGGAGAGGTTCAGTAACTTGTTTGTTTCATACGAAACAAGCCAATGGGTGCAGTCTCGTGAAAATCTCGAACTTGTATGATTGGATTTGTTTACTCAAGTCTGGGCTGTTTGATTTGTGAGTACCGCCGAGATTGCACTGCCCCAAATAAAGTTTCGTGCCGCCAAAGCAAGAATTGCGATCTGCAATCTGTTTGTAGTACCTGTAAGAATGTGGAGTACATGGATCGTACTTTCTCTGTTGCTGTTTCAGTTGCCGTCATGTTGCTAAAGAAAGGTTCAGTAGAGAGGTTCTGCAAAACGAAAATTCGAACGAAGTTTCGCGACAGTCCTTGCGAAAGTGTGTGCGAATTTTTGCACGAACTTTGCGTTCTGCACATTTTCGTAGTTTGCGCGGGCCAAGTGCACGTACGCCATGACCCGATCTCACGAAATTTCCTACGACAGTTCATTTCGCGTTCCCTGCAAGTTTCGCACTTCATGATGTAGAGCGAAAGTTTGTACGCATTTCGTTTTGCAGAATCTCTCTAGTGACTCAATTGTTTCATACGAGACGAGTCAATGAGTCGGTGTGGCTAAGAATCTTTCGCTGTAGAAGAAATCTATTCGTATGTCTATTGGAGATATAATTGTGTTCTCTGGTTATAAAATAGGTTAAGCTCACAGAATAAATACCATCGTTCCCTTGGTGTTCGTCCTAAAGAGGTCCTAAAGAGGACTAGATATCATTCATACTCACCAAAAGATGTGTAAGACTTTATTATTGTGGAGTGCCTTGTTTATCTCTCAGTACCTCCAACCATAGCCTTGCCCCTTTTCTCCTCAGGATCAGTGTAGTTGTTGGAACGAGGTTTTGGACTCAGCAATGTATTCGTTTACATTTTAATACATGTTTATTGTTCCTCCTTTGCTGTGTTGTTTTAGACAATCGTGGACTAACAGTTTGAAGTCATTTAACTACTTCCAACAGTTGTATCGACAGGATTACGATTTCAGTTTCAATATGATGCTGGATGACCTCATCACGATAACCCATGACTATAAATCATTATAAACACAGAATCAACAAAAACATCTGCGACACGCACCTGGCGCGTGGCTACATTTCTCAAATAAATCTGATTGAGGGTGGAGAAATCTGAAAGGCAAGACAATTTCATGAAATTCTGCAACAGCAACATGCACAGAATGGCCTCCGTATAAAAAAGTATCACCACCACTGCTCACATGTTTCCCCGCAGAAGAACATGCATTATGCTAGTGCCATTTTCTGCAAGAAAAGGCTTGCACATCAATGCGTATAATATGGTATTGATATGATGTGAAGGCCATCATTTACATATTGATATAGGGCATTCCATTGATTGGTACATGGTGACAGAAAAAACAAAAGAAATTATAGCAATAAAAACTGCTTTATGGCAGTTTTCTAAAAAAGGTTATTGTGTTCTAGTCCATGGACCCCGTCTAAAAAGTAAGAAATTAACGAAATGTGATAGCTGAAAATTAAAATTTCACACAAAACCTCACAATAATCACACACAGAATGAAAAGCTACATGCAGAAGACATTTTCCCCTCGTGATCCTCTTTCCTATGCATGCATGTTGGCAATTGTTGGTGCAGTACAAGTTTAGTGTTGAAAGCAGCATTTCAAGTGTTGTGATTATTGTGAGGTTTTGTGTGAAATTTTAATTTTCAGCTATCACATTTCGTTAATTTCTTACTTTTTAGACGGGGTCCATGGACTAGAACACAATAACCTTTTTTAGAAAACTGCCATAAAGCAGTTTTTATTGCTATAATGGTCATGGTACCGGTAGTGGTAAAAAGAGAATAAAATATAAAAGACGGATATTTCACAGGAAGTTATGAAAATGGGGACATGGGATATGGTGCAAGTCAGGGAGTCGTCAAATACTTGTACTCCCTGGTGCAAGTAGTTACTGTAGCCAGGTCTCACAGCGCCAAGCCACACTGCACAACAGCCAAAGCTGCTGATCAACGGCAGATGAAGAGGCTGGACGTCGATGACCACGAATGGCAGCGGCAGCTGCTCGGACGAGGGCAAAGCCCAACCTCACGCGAAGAAAGGCAATCACCGACGAAAAAGACTCTCCTGTCTTCTCCGATACCATGGACGCAACCCTGCGGTAGAGAGCCTTCGCTGCTTTGCCTTGCCCGCCAGTGCAACTGAGGACGATGGGGACAAAATGACATGCATTTGGAATGCACTCCTTGTATACATGTACCGTATGAAGTGAATTGATAGTGAATTGATAGCAGGGAGTCGTAAAATAAGGTATTTTACGAAAATAAGGTATTTTACGACTCCCAGATTGATAGTGTATGACGAATTCAACCAAATTTGGCGCACTTTTCACGCATGTACATGACTGTACTCTGCTGAGTGCTGACACAACTGCAAGCGTAAGCAGCCTACGTGGTCTTCACCACTGTCCTGCGCCATAGATGGTCCTTCTTAGCAAGGACAATGCCGGGTGTCAACGAGTATTTTCACCCACTGGAGCGGACTATTGCAACGAAGCTCATCCCGGCTCTGACTGGTCGATCACCACTTGGAGCAGAGGAGCGGTCAATTCTCGCAATGCCTTGTCGCCACGGAGGTCTAGGGATAGTCTCCCCTCCCTCGCTGACCACCGAGTTTGGTGCTTCCGTGAAGATCACAGAGGCCCTCGTCATGAAGATCCGGAGACAAGACATGTCGCTAGAAGGTGTTCCTGAGCAAACTCGCATAGCCAAGCCTGCTGTCCGGGAGGCTCATAGACAACAAGAAGACCAGCACCGAAAGGATGTCTTCAACAGCGTCTCTCCCGACCTGCAGCGGTGCATGGAGCTTGCGGCGGAGAAGGGCGCATCCAACTGGCTAACCTGCCGCCCTTTGGCACGGTTTGGCTTTGCGCTCTCCGAGGCCGAGTTCCGGGATGCCCTCTGTCTGCGCTATGGCTGACAGCCTAACAATCTCCCCACCAAGTGTGTGTGCGGGCAGCAGTTCACAGTCACCCATGCTCTGTCTTGCCCCAATGGCGGCTTTCCCAGCATTCGGCACAATAGAGGATCAGGGATGTGTTTGCAGAGTGTTTGGTGAAAGTCGCTCATGCAGTGGAGATCGAGCCACATCTAGAGCCCGTTTTGGCCTTAGTGGAGAGCACCTTCAGCCATGCACCGCGGTGAGAGGCGACCAAGCTCGATTGGATGTGGTGGCAAATGGAGTGTACGGCGGTCGTTTTGAGCGTTCATTTTTGGATGTAAGGGTTTTCAACCCCTATGCTCGCTCCAATTCATCGTCGTCCATTGTCTCTGTCTACCGCAAACACGAGCAGGAGAAGCGCCACTTATATGAAGCACGTGTGCGAGAGGTGGAACATGCCTCCTTCATCCCTGTCGTCTACGCTACATCTGGTGGAACAGGTCGAAGTGCTAATGCTTTGGTGAAGAGGATCGCAAGTCTCATGGCAGAGAAGAAGTTGCAGCCCTACTCACAAGTGATGGCTTGGCTGAGGTCGAAGATCAGCATCTCTCTCGTCAGAGCCTCTATCCTATGCCTGCGCGGTTCAAGACGTCCTAGGGGACGCATCCATCTCACCCAGACAATCTTGGTCTGGAGGTGGTTGAGGCTCGGCTTTCCTCATAGACGGACTCATCATGGCTTCTTCTTTTGTGATCAGTGTGCAATTGAACTGTCTTTTTCGTCCTTTCTGATTGATTGTTACTGGCCATGGCATCACGGCAGGGCCGGCGCCACTGGTGCGGCCATGGCCGTACCAGCTTTCACCAACTCCAGCGTTCATATGATCATGGGCTGCTCAGTGCGCACTTGATTATCTGCGGGAAGTACCAGTAATAAGCTATCCTCATACACTCCTTCCTAGTCTAGAGTCTCTACCTCCTCAACTGTTCTTCCTGTCCAGTTGAGTCTACTGTGATAGCTGACATATCTGTTGCTAGAGGAAATGTGCAGCTGAAACAAACAGACAATGCATAGAGGTAGAGATGTATCCTCCCAGGATTTTGAAATTGGGCATGCGGAAATAGCCGGTATTGTAGCCGACCTGGGGCCGTACCACGCCCCAGGAGCTGGCTCCGGGCCTGCATGGTACGGATCGTATCATGCGTAGCACGACATGCACCGTTCTTTCTTTTCTAGGACTACTATTAGATCTGTGGTATTCGGTATTCGGTATAGTCTTTGATCTTGCGGTCTTGCTACACGTAGCTAGCTACGTAGATCTATGCTATAGGCAACAACAACAACAAAAAACTACAATTTTTGTAGTCGACTGCTGAAATACCTGTTTATTTCCTGGTTTCTGGAATACATACAGTACGAGTCAGGGAGTCGTAACAGAATTTTTACGACTCCCTGATTATGCCTACTTGTCATGTTGTATACATTGTATACTTCAATAATATTTACTCAATCTGCGGAAAATAATAATTTGGTATTAGGGAGGTTTCGCTCTACGTAATTACGTATGAAAATCCGTATGTCGTACGCGCCGGGGAGCGAGGGCAACTTTCATACGTAAATCTCTCTACGGATTTCCGTAGGAAAGCTCTTTCCTACGTTGGGTCCTCCGTAGGACTTTTTGAAATATATTTTCGCATTTTCCGCATTTGTCCATGGCAACATTCAAGCCGCGCGAAACACAAGGTACACACACCGTACACCACGTGCAAAATATCATGGAAAACGCGGTTTCGGTTCATGGTGCATACGGTGGGCGCATGCAGCCAACGCGTCTCCAAAGCAACAACGCATGTTGAGCAGTCGTGGAGAAATCACGTAGAGCGAAACCCAACAGCTCTGATTTTCACGTATGAAAATTCCGTGCAGTTCATACGTTATTTTCATACGTAATTCCGTAGAGCGAAACCTCCCTATTATCAAGAGTAGGAGGAGGGGGCGGGGGGTATGGGCTCTTGGTAGTACTGTACAAGTGCTTTAAAGCTAAGCTTAGCTTTGCACCTTTTGCTATTCCACCTTTGTGTTTCTTTCCAATACAGTAGAGTCGCGCACTGAAGACATGGAGCACAAGATCGTCCAGCCTGGAAAACTACGAACGCCACAGCCACATATGATTCAGTAGGGATTCTTTCTAAGAACGCGTTATATTATATGAACGCAGCCAGATTGCTGAAAAAGTAAGAACGTCCCAGGCTAGCCCCTTGGAAACAACGTTCTTGGGCTCGTGACTCTTCTGTGAAGGGTTTTGAGTACAGTAGAGTGGAGCGTCCAAGAAGGATGTTTCCAAGGGGTTAGCTTGGGGCGTTCTCGTTTTTCAGCAAACAGGCTGCGCGCGCGTTCTTAGAAGCAAGTCATACTGCACTGGATCATATGGATCTCAAAAGCTGCCGGAAAACCAATATCGCCATTTTTAAGGGGTGTGACGTTCAGAGTTAGCATTTCAGGCTGGGCTTTCTTGGGCTCAACGTTCTTCGGCGCGCGACTCTACTGTAGTAAGACAAAGTGTTGTATTGGTTCATCAAATAATAATTATATTATGTCATGTGGAAACCTATCGGCTTGTACATGCACATGGCTCCCCGTCGTCCCCGAAATAGCCCAGCTACAATCTTTTAAACTTTGCAGCATCTAAAAAACAATTTTACATGCAGCACTTCAGTCCAGTGTCACCAAATGTCATGATCGGGGAGTGGGCCAGACATACTCTCAGGATTCTACAATTCCAGGTTCTTTATGGAAATATACCAGGAGTCCAGATACCCATTCCTCACCCTCACCACACAAGAAGATCAAAGCTTCACTCTAGGACCAAGTAAGTTCCAAGCAACAAGGGAGTAGTACAATACCAGTATTGTACTACTCCCGGGAAGCAACAACCTATCGACGCAAAGCATCGAGCTATATACTACAAGTACGAGCAGCGTGCAAAGCCCACTCCCCGGTCATCTCTAGCAGCCTGTATGCTTTTACTTTAGCACCACAAGGTGCAGTATTCAACATTTCCATTAAAAATAATTGGCGTTTAATACTTGCCTGTATACAGTTCCACAGCTATCCCCACTTTTTATTGGAGAATACGAACCCAAAATCACTGCTTTTAATGGCATACATACACGTATACAATACATTAATTATGTTAGAATGCTACATAGTGCAACGTGTGGCAATTTGTCAAATGACACCACTTTCCCCCCGACCATGGAGCGAAAGAACTAGACCACCCAGGGTGAAATAAATCACAACCTAAAGGTAAGAACTACGGTGTTGTAGCAGCTACTGTCCCACATAACGTAGTAGTGTGTGCATACGATGCAGTGCAAAATGCAACCAAGTCGTTCAAAGATATGAGGGCCCCGGGTTGACCTGGAAATGACGTTCTAATATTGCAATCACCAGGGGAGAGAGCCAAATTCCAAAGAACTGGTTCCTTCACAAAAATGTGTAAGTAGTTGACTGATTTGCCCATCATACCTCAGGGCCCTGTGCTACATACTGGTCTTCCAGATAAAGATTTGCAAGAATTGGACTGCCCAACGACACATGCAATAAACAGGCATACCACCGGAAATTCCAGAAGGACTACCGCCAAGCGAGATGTGGGTGGCACTGAAGTTGAACCTGCCCCGAAACCCTTCACAGAAACATTCACCAGGGCATCAAGACAGATGATGCTAGAAGATCCTCAAGGTTTGCTGCTAGTTAATAATCCTAATGAGTACCTGAGAAGCAACTCATAGAAATTTTAAAACCCAAAGGCAATCACATGCAAGACCTATACAACAATAGACCTATAGAGTGGATCAGAAGGCAAACCCCCTGGGTACTGGTTACAAAACGACACAAACGCATAGTGTAGCTCTTATGAGGAGATCACTACTCTCAGCTAACGTGACTGCATGAACGTACAAGAAAACTCAGCGTGCCAGCTCAACGTAACATAGCACTTGAAGTACAGATGGAAAGCAAGATATGATGTCATTATAGTGTCACCAAGTCTAACAAAAGTCTTCGAATTAGAAGTAGGTGAGAATACGTCAGGAGTGCAATTTCTCTGTCTCTGCCTCCTTTCTTTATTTTGCTTCCTATAGTCTAGTTGTCGTTGTCTGCGTCCTCACCCTCGTGACTGTCAGATGTCCACAAAGTGAGATTGTCGCGGAGGAGCTGCATGATGAGAGTGCTGTCCTTGTACGACTCCTCGCTGAGGGTGTCGAGTTCGGCGATAGCATCATCGAAAGCCTGCTTGGCGAGCTTGCATGCCTTTTCGGGTGAGTTCAGGATCTCGTAGTAGAACACTGAGAAGTTGAGGGCAAGTCCCAGACGGATGGGGTGAGTGGGCTGCATGTTGGAGCGGGCAATCTCCACAGCTTCCTGGTAGGCATGCTCAGAGTCACCCATGATCGAGTCGCGGTCAGCACCAAGGGCAACCTCAGCGAGATAACGGTGGTAATCTCCCTTCATCTTCAAGTAGAAGACCTTGGAGTCGGGGGTGGTGGAGTTCTGGATGAGGTGTCCAGAAAGGAGTTTCTATTAGCACAAAAAGAAGACAACAGACAGGGTATTTTAGCACGACGATCAACAACATAATAAAATTGTCAAGCAAATACCGCATATCCATGCTCGAAAACGAAGCTACTTTGAGTGTTTAGGATAAAGGCGGGGTGATGCCCATCCAGTGTAGGAGAAGTTACAATATGGATGGACGAATCCCGGAAAAACTTACCAACACCTCGTCGCAGATGTTGCGGAGCTCCGTCTCGACCTTCTCACGGTACTCCTTGGCGAGAGCCTGCTTCTGCTCAGAGCCATCAGCCTTCTGCTCAATGCTGGAGATGACACGCCATGATGAACGGCGGGCACCAACCACGTTCTTGTAAGCTACGCTCAAGAGGTTTCTCTCCTCGGGAGAAAGCTCACCACCAGCTTCCGTCACAGACTTCATTGCTCCGGCCATGTCATCGTACCGTTCGGCCTGCTCGGCAATCTTAGCCTTCTGCACCAAAGTTTCCCTGTCTGCCATCGTGAACGAAAAGAGTATAGACTGGCAAGAACAAACCACCCTTGCAACAACAGGAGAGAGAAGTGACTGAAGGACGGCTCTGCGCCCGCGCACTCCTTCTCTATATTTTTTTCGTACAGATCGTACGCAGTCCCGTGTCTGTTTGGGTTTGCGGTTACCTAAACCTATCTGTTCCGGGGGGATTAATTTTCAAAAGCGAAACGATTTGGTTTTCAGGATTTAATTTGACCTAATGTTCACAAAGCTGTGCCCCAAACATGAATTGCTTGCGATTTTCCATTGGTATTTCGAAATGCAATCGCGAAGAAAACGCGGAAGACGACGTTTGAAAGCATCCAGCGCGCCTTTGACAGCGAGCTCACCTCTCCTTTCGCGCGCCCCCCGTTGTACTCCGTAATCCACGTAGGTCAAGACCAGGGAGCCCCGACCCCGGGAGAGAAACGACACTGATTTTCGATTTTCCGTGGATTGTGGATCAGGGATCCGGGATCAGGCCCCTACTATACTACCCGAGATTCCCGATCCCGGGTCTACCACGGCACTGGTCTACCAAATGCAAAGTCTGTGCACTCGTACTTCCTCCGCGATCCGGTCATGGTCATGGTCAACTTCCGGAGCTGGTGTGGCGCATGAACGAGCCCCGTATTCAATCCGTAGCGTAAAAGGATGAAGGATGGGGTGGAGGGCTGTTTTTGGAAGTCTGGTGAGAGCCGATCGAGTGCGTATATTTGGGGCGCCCTTCAACGAAACGGAAGTCCAGCTTCGCCATTTTTGCTACCTTGCAGTTTGTGCAGTTTGCAAGTTTCCTTCCCGTTGCACTCGCCACCTCCTCCTTTGAGATGAGCAAGGCCTCCTTTGAAAACCTTCTAAATTAGTTTCAGCTCCTCGCTCTTGGACAGTTGGGTGTTGTTGACAGTACAGCCATCATGCAGCACTGCTACTAGTGCTAGCTCGAAACCACAGTGAGAGTTTTTTGTTTCTTCGTGAGAAAATGACAAATCATTTGTCAACAGTGTTTTGTCCATAACGTTACATTGTGGATATAAATAATTTAATTATCCAGTTAAGAGTAGAGAGCCCACACGCTCTCTTCCACTAACACCGCAATAGTTCAACTCATTTCACAATAATTATTCCAACGTTTCGGCAAATTGCCTTCATCAGGTTCACCTCATTGTGAGAGCGTGTGGGCTCTACTCTTAACTGTCTATGAAACTGCAGGAAGCCTCCCTACTTTTACTTTGATATAAATTATGTTTTGTGTAAATACAGACCGTCCAAAGTCAAGTTAACATCTTCAAAAAATATTGCTCAGCTTTTTGACATCTAGATCTGTGCTCAATAACCGTGTTCAGAAGATGTGTTAGGCTAGTGTGAATTGCCGTGCTAATTTTTACTTGACTTTGGCTATTCAGTCAGCAATGAGCCATCCATACCTTTCCTACTGTATACTCATTGCAGTGTAATGACTAGCCGCCCCACTTTCTGGAAGCTTTTCGTCATGTTATCAAGACAAGAGTACATACAGTCCACAAAGGACGAAACAGTTCTGTCCGCAGATTGAACACTGTCCGCAGATTGTGTAGTACATGTATGTACTTTTCACATTATCCCTATACTGTCTTTCATCGCATTGGTTTCTACGGTAATCCGATAGATAGTGTTCACATTTCCAAGGAGACATAAATGATAGTGTGGCATCAGAAGCTCCACCGCACGCGGTTGCCTCGCACCCAGCGGAGATCCGCTTGCAGCAGACTACAGCACACGCTTTAATGCAATGCATTCATCTCATGCGAGAATGATGTAATCTTGTTAACGATTAACCAGCTCCCTCACCAGATCAAGACAAGAGCACATAACTGCAGTCACAAACGATGTTGTAGAGAGCCGAATCGTGTTAGCCAATGAGACTTCATCAGTGTGTGCCCAAGAACGTGGCTTCCGAGGGTGTCGCCCGGGATGTTCTTTTTTCTCACAAATCTCAGGCTGGCTGCGCCCTGCAGTACAGTCGTTCGCCAAAGAAAGTCGGTGTTGGATTTGAATTTTCTGTCATTGTTGAGATACCTAAACATAGGACATGACTGTGTTTATTGTACAGAGGCGAAAGGCTGTGTAGCTCTAACTAACATTAAGTTTCACGCATTTCAGCGATCGCTGAAATGCGTGAAACTTAAAGTTACAGCCACACAGCCTTTCGCCTATGTTGTGACAGTGTGTGTGTGTATACTGCTCTGCACATTTGTGCATTGAGCACTCTACTCGAGCCGCCTAGACCAGCCTTGTTTATGTTTATTGTATGACTATACTGTGTGTATGATCACGTGCGAATTGTTTCTACTTTGAAGTAAGAATGTGCTATAAGAACGCAGCAAGTTTGCTCAAAGATCAGAACGCAGCCAGCCTGCCACCTTGGTCATGAGACTCAACCGTAATATCATTTCCTTACTTCTGAGAAACAACTCGTTCTGCTTCATACGTTCACCTTATTACATTGTAACATACGCATGTACCTCATTCTGAGCCCCGTGTTCTTCAGCGCATGCCTCTACTGTGACTAGTCTGTAGGGTGTTATATTAATACTTCAAGAAGTAATCTATGTACTCTCGCCAAGATGCTATGTGCTCCGCCCATTTATCTAGCTCCCTCGCCTAGCCCCAAGGGCATACACTTACGTCGGCAGTTTCCTTCATACGGCTCACTACGCTCCCCGCACAACCGACACGGCAACAGAAGCAGCTGTTGCACAAGAAAGACCCATGGGCGTTAGTGACATACCGCTAAGGCTACCGGGGATCACACAGCCATGGTCCCTTCTTGCTGCTCTGTTCTCCGTCCCAAATGCATATGTTTGTACTGATAAGAAGAGCCTTTTGGACAAGGGTCACAAATTGTGACGATGTTGATCACAGCCGTTTGTTGAATTGTGCGAGCGATTTGATATGAAGAAAAAAAAGACTTGGACTATCCCATGTACTACCACCAGTCACCCTCGTCTGTGTGATGGCAATATCGAGCGAGCTAGCGGTGCCATCCAAGCCATGCTATGAGCTTTTGTTATAGATTCTGTCTTTTCACCTCTGCCTCTGGGGCGCATTGTATGGATTTCCAGCTGAGAGTGTGTTCTCGTTGTCGAGTGTTTACCTTGTATTGGTGTGATTGTGTCTTCTTCGTTTTCTTTTTCCTTTTAAATGTGGGGGGTTTCTTGGTCGTGGGGCTATGTTTCCCCATGGGGGAAGGCAGTGTTATAAAGCTTATTCCCTATAACGTTTATAATAATAATAATAATATTCGCGGGATCCGCGTTAGCATCACTTGAATGTTCAAAACACACAAGCTATGCCTTCACTTCCGCAGGCCACCACTATGCCTTTACACCTTAGTGGCGAATGCAGACCTCACAAGTGAGTCAGGGCTTATTCCTACTAGGAGTAAATTGAAATTAGTTCGAGGAAACATGTCTGATGCGTTCACACTCCGTACAAACATTGTAAATCAGTCTCGCGAGGAGCATTGCATCAACTAGAAATTCTGTCGGCACAGCAAGGTATGCGGGAGTTGCACACTCTGGGGGGGGGCTATGCACTCTTGGTATATCCTTATTTGAAGCCCATAGGCATAATAAATTCTGTTCCTTTGGAAAAAACGCAGCAAATTTCGCGGGGAAAAGATCGATACCGGTAGTTATTCTGCAGTGAAATCAAAATCTGCGGCACTTTCTGCCAGTTTTCACCCACCTTGTAGAGGATATGACAACTCGTTGCATGAAGGAGTACTTTTCACACTACCAGTATCCTTTGCTGTCACCATCTGAATGGGAGAGACCTGCACTCACCTTCACTGGCAACAGAATGTGCTCAAACAAATCCCAAATTAGCTTTTCCGCTGCTTTCTGAGTAGTAATTTTACTAATTTACCTGCAAAATTCAGATTCTGCGAGCAAAAGTGTGGATTCCGTAATTTCCGCGGATGATTGCAATTTCCGCGAAAATTGCCGCGGTCGCGGAATCGCGTTTTTTTTCAAGGGGACAGAATAATACAATAGAACTTGTACTATACAAATAACTGCACCCACGGCACACGATTGATTACATCGCACTGGAACCACGAGGATTGTCCCCGATGAAAGCCGGGCACAATCACAAAGATCTCTTCCCTCGTGCACGTGTCTCTAGCCCTGTTCGTTTGCCCCCCCCCCCCCCGGATTAGATATACCCCGCCCCGGACACTTTAGTACTGGCCGCTTATGTCGAAAGGCCACGTTGGTGGGTCCAGGCACATTGGCCGGGTTTCGGCGGCCAGAAGCGCAGCTAGCCGACGCCCCTACAAATACTATCACAAAATAATAATTGTACACATCACGTGATCATGCACATTATACTATGTACACTATGTACATGATTGTACTTCATTTACACCGTATTACCGAGGATGCACCCATGTGTGTGTACATACATGTACAGTGCGTATCGGTTATAGTGTGGTCGTATACAAGAATATACTGCTTACAAGAATGAACACTCATTTTTTCATAATCATAACACATATTTTATGTGCATATTTATTCTTACAAGCAGTATTATCGCATAGTAGAATATATCGGCCCTAAGAATGGATTTTGTGTAGCAAAATATGCCAGATTAGCGCAAAGTGTATCGCCTGTAGTAATAACATCTGTACTCTGTGCATACTCAATACAATAATTCAACACAAAAAGAGAGTTATGTCCAAGGGAGCATTGGAGAATCACTTTTTCTGTCCAATCGGACTCTTTCTTTCGACTTCTCTCGTATCCGCTGCTCCGCAGTCGCCTAGCACGACCGCGAGTCTGATTGATCCGTGTGTACATGTACGTGTCCACATGCCAAACGTGCGCGCATATGATATGTCACACGTGATTTATCGTGTGTAAGAAATATCGGCAATAAGAATCAAATGTCGTTTTTCAAACACCCACGCTCTAACCGATACCTACTGTACTAGTATTAGAAATGTCCATGGTTGGCCAAACAAATGGGACAATTGCCATGCAGAAGAAAAGGGTCGGCCGGGCCCCTCCTCCGCCCCCCCCCCCCCCCACACATCCTGTTGCAATCAGAGCGTAGTAAAATATTTTACTACTCCCTGATTGCAAGTCAAACGTTGCCCGGTCTCTTCGAGAACACAGCTCAAACGGTTCGGCCAATTGTGGCGAGGTCAGGATTTGCAACTGAGGTATAGGTACATAGAATACAATTATAAAAGAAAGACACAGCAGCCGACATGAGCACGGCGTTATTGTTTGAAGAAATAAAACAATAATACTGCTTTCGAGGGCGAGAAAACCCATAGGCAAAAGAAGATAGGATGAAACAGTGTCACTGTGTGTTTATAATGAGTGAAAGGGATGCAAAGGCCTGCACGTGCGCACTTGCATTTATTTAGTATACGTTCACCAGAGGAAAACAGCTTTCTCGGTTCAGTGCTGTTGGAGAATGGGAGAAAAGACGCGTAACATGCTTGACAAAAGTATCGAAAAGCTGCCAAATAACTAGAAACTCGGGGGAGAAGGTGTACAAGTACAAGCTACTTCGTGTACTCCAATTACAGCAGTGCATTGCAACAGATACAAGAATAATCACGGTGAAAGCTTGTCGAACAAACAACTCGTAAAACAATAATAAAAAGGCAAATTCATGTCTAAAAACAATCTTACACAATGGGAGTAGAAAATTGGATACGGAAAAGTAAAACACATGGAATAAAAATGGAATACTGTAAAGGGAAGCGGGAGGACAAAGAAGCTCCACTGAACAAAAGGCATTCACAGAAGCGTAAAAAAAGAAAAGAAAAAAAGAAAACATAAAGGTTTGAATGAAGACCTTTCGAGAGCTGTTCAAGCGTTGCTGGAAGTCAAACCTGGTCAGCCAATGCTCTCTACTTTTGGATGAGAGCCATCAGTCGCTGCCGAGTCATCTGAGTCCAAACAAATGCAAACAAAACCATTGCTTACTTTTCGCCCCAATTATTGGCTACCACTGGGACTTCTGATGAAACAATGTCCTTCAGGTCCCTGCTAGGGACCATCGCAAAAGTTCCCAAAAGCCCACGAAAACGAACAACATTCGTTTCCGGCGAGACCACCCAAAACATTATTTTTGGCATTTTGGCCAGTACAAAGGGGTGCATCGACGTGTTGAGTAACGTTGACGTTCTTCCGGATAATCGTATCAATGCCTCATTGGTTGAGGGTTGTAGCGTTCCCACGATGGTGGAAAAGTCTGTCCGACCAACTCTCATGCTAGTCGTGAAATATAAGATCGCCAAAGTCCAGTGAAGTTTGTTTCAAACAAGGACGTAGAGATGTGGGCAAGCGGCTTAGTCTTCTTGACACAATCAATATTTTTTTATCCAAATGCCACACAAAACATGCTGCACAAAAGCAAACGTCGCAGCCATATATACCAACACCTTACACAGCACAGCTTCTATCTGTACCGCAGTCATATGAGCACATACCTGGGCAGCCTCTTTAGATGGCATCTTCAGCTTCCTTGTTTCAGATGACTTGGAAAAGATAGTGACGGCCTTTACCTACACGAGAGAGAGAGAGAGAGAGAGAGAGAGAGAGAGAGAGAGAGAGAGAGAGAGAGAGAGAGAGAGAGAGAGAGAGAGAGAGAGAGAGAGAGAGAGAGAGATAGAGAGAGATAGACAGAGAGAGAGACAGAGAGAGAGAGAGACAGAGAGAGAGAGAGAGACAGAGAGAGAGAGAGAGAGAGACAGAGACAGAGACAGAGACAGAGACAGAGACAGAGACAGAGACAGACAGACAGAGAGAGAGAGAGAGAGAGAGAGAGAGAGAGAGAGAGAGAGAGAGAGAGAGAGAGAGAGAGAGAGAGAGACGTACAGCTAGCTACAACTTGGAACCGAGACACCAAGAGAACAGAGCACATTGTACATGCCACAATAGTCACAAAGTTGCCAGGAGCTACGGCACTGGAATCAACATAAAAAACAGGGAGAATATTTTAAGAGAATAAAGAAAGGAGAACACCTATAAATAAAGTAGACAACTCCGGCAGATCTGTACCTTGTGTGTGAACTCAAAGAAATTCGGTCCAGCCTGCGGCGGCTTGGTTGTCACATCGACGTCAGTGAGCAGGCAGTGCCACTCTGGAGACACACTCTCCTCCACATTCATGAAGGAGTACGGCAGCTCCACAAGGATCACGTAACTGCAAACAACGGGAAGAGATCAGAATCACCGTTGTGACAAGACAGTCACACTCACGATACACATCGGTACATGCACACACATACACCGGCATGGATCCATAAATACGACACACTAAATCTGCGGACAGAACTAAAAACTCAATACGACATATAAGTTGATTATAACGTTACTTCTGCTGTGATGTACGGGTAAGTCTACGCTTCCTACCGTAAAAGCCCGTGTATAGGCCCCGGGCGTATAGAATAGCAGCCTCGATTTCCTGGGTGTGTACAAGGGCACGGGCGTTATTTCGGAACCGGGCGTATACTTGGAATAGGAATAGCAGTAGGTATTGGGTATCAGTACCTGTACATGTGCTGGTGTTGCCGGTATACCTGGGCGTATACATGGGCATGGGCGCTATTTTGAAACAAAAGTGTTGACTTCCCCTGACTGGGCATGTACACGGAGGGTGGGCGTAATTTCGAGTGGGCGAATACAGGGGCTTTTACGGTATCCCATGTACACCGGGACGGCGCAGTGACCATAGCTCACATGGAAGACTACTGTAGAAGCATGGTAGACCGCACTCATTGGCAGATTGAAAACATGCATCGAGTAGCAGCATGGCAGACCGCACTCATTGGCAGATTGAAAACATGCATCGAGTAGCAGCATTGGAGGCAGGATCAAACGCGGGAAATAGGCCTCGTAAGCATGTGCATGCTGCTAGTCGAGGTTTCATACCTGGTATTATGAAAGAGATGCTGTGAGTCAAGCTTGTACAGTAAGATTGGGCGCCGAAGAACGCAGGGGCTCGAGCGCAGCCTAGGAAAGTTCTTTTTTTGAAAATTTTTGATTCTAGCCAGACCGTTCTTATTCACACGCGCGCGGCGAGTCGAGTGACGTCATGACGTTTGTCATGTACGTGTACATGTACATGTAGTGCAATGTAGTACTTCTAAACTAGTGGGTGTCGTAAATGGGAATGACTGTACATGTAGCAGTAACTGTTTACACGTGTACATGACATGTACTCACCTCCCATACATGTACAATGTAGATCTACGTACAATGTAGATCAAGTGTTCTTAAATCTGATAATTCTAGCCTGGACTGTTCTTAAATTTTGCCGGTTTTCCAGCCTGGGTGTTCTTCGGCGAGGTGTTCTTCGGCGCCCGATCTTACTGTATGACTGATATAGACACAAGTGGAAAGTACATTCCCTCGAGCACAACTAGTCAACTACACATACGAGCACGCACAAGAGTGCACACGAGCAGAGCGAGCATACGAGAGCACACGCAAGGGCGCGCACACGAGAACACACACGAGAACACACAAGCGAGCGCACATGCGAGCACATTCCCTCACGCACAGCTACACATACGAGCGCACACACGAGAACACACAGACAAGAACACACACAAGAACACACGGGCACGACGTGCACCAGGTAGTGACTTACCGCGAGGTTGCCAACAAGATGTACTGAGAGTCTTTGGTATTGCTGACAAGCTGTTGGAACTGGAAGTCACCGATGGGCAAGGGCACATCGTCAGAGCACACTATGGCGGCTAGGATCATGTTGCCAAATGAAAGTGATGATGAGAAGGGAGTTACCGCCTGCAAGAACACATACACATATACCCGTCCACACATGCACACATGTACACAAAACGTACACACATGTACATACATGTACATACATGCATCCGTACACATACAACAACTTACACACATGTACACACACATACCGTAAAGTCGCGGATAAAAGCCGGGCTTATAAGCACATAAGCCGCTTTCTGCATCAGGCTTTAATGCAAGCCAGACTTGTATGCAAACCATGCTTATATGCACCACTGATATTTTTGCCAGGCTTGTATGCACATGGAAGCCAGGCTTCTACGCGCGACACGCGTAGATCTACCACTGACTACCGGTATTGGCGGCAGTTTTACTATGCACCGTACATAGCGCATGCACTCTTGACCTACCCGATCCGCGCTTGCATAGAAGCCAGGCTTCTACGCGCGACAGGCTTATATGCATTTGACCCGTTTGATTTTCAGGCTTCTATCCGCGATGTGCTTGTATGCAAACCCGGCTTTTATCCGCGACTTTACGGTATGTCCATACTGGTACATACATAATTATATGCACAAGGCATACACATGTTTCGTATTTGCGCAGAACATCAGCAGTGGTACGTGTTGAAGCGCCAGAACAGGTAGCATGTTGCTGGAGTGCTCTGCAGACATCTCCACATAGAACACATGCAGGCTGCACGAGAATTTCTTGTTCAAAGTAGTCGACAACCCTCTCCCTGTCTATCTCTCTTCTCATCCCCTATTCCACACGGCGTTCACCCCTTCCACCGCCTTGTTGCATAGTTGGCCTGCCTGTCTGGCCCGGCAAAGACAGAGGGTGACACGCAAGCACGCACGCTCACCACGTCGACTGCTCGGCAAGAGGTTTCACGCACGTGCAGTGTATTACGCAACTTACACCGTCCGGTAAGAGGAACCTCCGTGCGCGTAGTCGTACCCACTTGTCATCAGCAAGTTCAATTTGCCTGCAGCAGCAACAGCAGCAGCAGCAGCAAAAGCAGCAGCAACAAAGAATAGCCTCACACATGTCATGCTCGGGAAAGCAGGGAAGCAACTGTGTACAATATGCAGAGATGATTCTACTTGGCACAGGAAGGTTCTATTGAAATAATTGTTGTTCCTTATCAAAGTGCCACAAAACACAGTGCATCTCTACCCAACACACACAGAGCACATAGTGGATCACTATAGACCACAGCACACAACGGAGCACATAGTGGATCACTATAGACCACAGCACACAACGGAGCACATGGTGGATCACAATAGACCACAGCACACAACGGAGCACATGGTGGATCACTATAGACCACAGCACACAACGGAGCTGTACAGAATGTGCAGGATATCCTGGCCTTACTTCTTGATGCCTTCGAATGTGCTGCCGGCAAAGTCGATGACACCACCGACCGGCCGTGCAACCACACCGATTAGTCCCTTGCCAACTCCCTTGAAGAAACCTTCAGCACCCTCAGCCAGAGCACCTGAAAAGGGAGACCACACACACGTAGGGTGAACAGCAGAGTAAAAACAACAATGGAGGCACATACATCCATGTTGGAACAGAACGGGTTTGCAATGTCGCGGGTTCGCAGCATGAAAATTATCTGTGACTCCATACAGAGCATTCTATTGAAGAAGTGTCTGCCAACGAATTCTGCAGCACCACCAGCAGCAGTGCCAATGGCAGCAGCAGTTTTGCCCGTACACGAGGCTTTAGCAGCAGCAACACTAGTAAGGAAGTAATCACCGCATTGCACTAGCATCAAAGCTCAGGGTTCAATGCAAAGATGGACACACAAAACCAGCTAGTACACATACATGTATGCAGTTCTCAGACAGGTGTTTTTACCTTCCACTGGTTTGCGTACAATGCCTGTGATGCCATCAAAGAGACCCTGGAAAGTAAAAAAAGTAAAAAAAAAAGGAACAAAAGGATTTCTCACACACTCACACACCAATCTCACACCTAAACCAATTGGGCCAAGAGTCAAGAACTGTTGCTATCCAGCCACACTGGTGAGTTATCACATGCTAGAAGTTCTGCTTGGGCCAAGGCAGTGAGGATTGGTGCAGGGCAAGGAGATACATAGTCTACCACAAGGACATCTAGTGTGCCACCGTACCCAGCATCACATGGTGCAAGCAGAATTTCCCTCTTTTTCAACAGCTGCAATTCTATCTGAAGCTGGGCTAAGAATAACGGCTGGTCCATGAGGAGTTGTTATGGTCTAGTACATCAGAAGTAACTCACCCAACCGAGGCTCTTTCCACCCTGGACGAGGCCGCTGGCGGCATCCTTCAGCTCACCCTGTCGACGTCGACGCTCCTCAATGAACTTCTGATCGAGAGTAAGACGTGCAATTCCACCACCCACAGCACCAGCAATCTTGCCCACTGCACCAAATATACCACCTGTACAGGAGTAGATTGTACATGCAGGGTAACATATAATATTAAATATTACTTCAAAGGGGAGTTAGAGAGTTCCTAGGAACAGTTTTCAAAGTGTTAGTCCAAAGAAGCCCATTTCCTTTCTGCTGTGTGTGTGTGTGTGTGTGTGTGTGTGTGTTGTGTGTGTGTGTGTGTGTGTGTGTGTGTGTGTGCGTGTGCGTGTGTACGTAGCATGGTGAAGACTAGTGTAGCAGTACCGCACAAGTAGACATGCTCACGCCCACCACCCCCACCCCCCCCCCCCCCCCCCAGTCATCCAGAGCACATTGACAATGCCGTGTAATATACATGTACAGTGATTTCCTGTAGTCAACACGAACACCACATCACTTACCAACCGAGGCACCGACAAAGCTCCGTCCTCCGAGCAGAAGTCCCTGCGCAAACTCTTCTGGACCCTGTACAGCTCCCTGTCATGGCAGAGCGTGGAGAGACAATGCCAGAAACAGAGCTATGCTAATGATCGTAGCAGCTTGAAACTCTAACAAGCAGTGGGTTTTCCTCTTTCCTCTCTGCTATTTAGCGAGGCCAATAGAACACTCGCCGAAGGTGATACCAAGCACGTTCGCAATTTGATGGAGCGGAGTTAAACATTGTGTACAGTAGGACTTGCTCAGTACAGCCACACAAGTCTGAACACGAACTGAGCTACTAACACACTGCATGTGCAACGATGGCAATACGCTCCCCATCTTAGGGGTCGTCGCAAAAGTTTTCTGTCGTCCCTGAAACGAACATCGTTCATTTCGTACTTGGACCCCCTCCCCTCCCTCTGAAACGAACACAGCTTGCTATGCTGGAGGACGAAAATCGCATGCATGTACATGTCATGTGTACAGTGTCGGTCGACTTGCGATTTTGGCTCGCACCCCCTCCCCCCCAAATGAATCATGTTCGTTTCAGGGACGACAAAAAACTTTTGCGACGACCCCTTAGTATGCTCGTTGACAGTTGGGAAATATAGAGCATGCGGGCACACTTACCTGGTACGGTTCATAGAACAAGTCGACGAGACCGTCTTTGAAGCCTCTGACCAGGCCGAAAGGATTGCCGAGGACGTCCAGTCCGAGAACAAAGACGTACAACTGATTGATGCCCTGCAGTGGTAGAAGTCGCAATGTTCCATGAAACGAAAACCGATGAACAGCAAAGCATACACATATGTTCACCCGCACGTACACGCACACGACGTTGGTGGGTGCCACCCGATCTGGCTACGGCTGCTAGCCGGACTAATTCTCGGTCCACCAATCATAATTATATTCACTGCAATGAAAGCAGAGAAAGTTGCCAATGGCATGCTTCTTACACTGGCTATTTTTGCCTATTTGGTCATTGTTGGATGCACGGAGCAGTTCTACACAAAGCACTATGTACATGATTGACTATGCAGATACAAAAAGGATACTCACAAAGAGTACAATCATACACTTGGATTTGGGTGTGTCACTAGACTCACTACACATACACATACACACACACTGACACACAACACCATTGGCAATGGCATGTAGATATGAAGCTTGCGTGCAAAATCTACGTGTGGACTGGACCAAGGGCAGTACACGCATTACAACTTACCTGGGTCTTGTAATGGTTAACAATGATCTTGGTCAGCTGACCTTGTGTCATTACCTCACTGTCAACTTCAAAGAAGGCCAACCTGACATGACGGAGGAGAGCAGCCAACAATAAATACCGGAACAAGTAAGCAAAGACAGCAACAACAGACAAACAGCAACGGCAGACAAGCAGCAACAGCAGCAAAAACGGACAAGCAGCAGCAGAAGCGGCAGCAGCAGTGACGGCGGCAACAGCAGCAGCAGCAGAAGCAGCAACAGGAGGAGGAGCAGCAGCAACAGCAGCAGCAACAGCAGCAGCAATGACAGCAACAGCAGCAGCAACAACAGCAGTAGTAGCAACAGCAGCAGCACCAGCAGCAGCAACAGCAGCAACAACAGCAGCAGCAACAGCAGCAGCAACAGCAGCAGCAACAGCTGTGACGACAGACAAGCAATAGCAGAAGCGGCGGCGGCAACAGCAGTGATTGCAGTGACGGTGGCAGCAGCAGTGATTGCAGTGACGGTGGCAGCAGCAGTGATTGCAGTGACGGCGGCAGTAGCTTACTTGAGTTGGATGTCGGTGGCCTCTGATAGCGTGACGCCGATGGAGTGGAGCAAGGAGACAAGCAGCTCTACGTGAGGATCACGGGAATCTACCAGTACTTTGTCAGCGGCGTGCAGAGAGAAACTGATGGTCATCTGTACACAAACACATAATACAAAGATTCGTGGTCATCCGTACACAGACACACATGTTTACAAACACAGTGGTCATCTGTACACAACACACCCATAATTATTAAATTTTTCAAACACAGTGTTCATCTGTACACAGACACATATGTTTAAAAACTTATTTTTCATTGCTATCAGGTTCGGCCCCATTCTCTCCGCGCTGTGCTGATGAGTCCACGGAGGATGACAAAATTCTGTCCCCAGATCGACTATTCACACACACAGTGGTCCACACTAAAAGAGGACTCCATCAGAAATCACCAAGGCCACAACAGAGTGAGTTGCCAGTGATAAAGAGTCTACAGCAACAGCAGCAGCTGTTCTTTGCTGTACTGGCTATGGCAGGTAGCATACCTTCAGTGGCGACAGATGGACATAGTCGTAGAAGGTCCGTGTGTCTTTTTGCACAGCCTGTGGCAGGTAGAGGCAAGACAGGGCAAGTAGCAGAAGAAGAGCGTAGCAGCAGCAGCACCAGTAACAGCAGCAGCAGCAGCAGCAGCAGCAGCAACAACACACAGTAACACAGAACATCACACCAGCGGTAAGGAAATGAAAACAACACGACAAAAAGATGGCGATTAGCTTGACGACCCACTAAACAGAGCATGAACCCATTGCTTAGGTCCTCTACGTGAATAATACACATTTACAAACACATGATAACATACCGTAATGAGTTGTGGATGTTGACAAACTGAGGCACCTGCCACCAACACAAATACCTACCCACTATCACCTGAGTGGGAACAACACTACAACAGTACACATACCTGCACCGCTGCAGTCTCCGACAGACCACCAGTCAGCATCTCCATCGTGTTCTTAACTTGCGCAGTCTAAACAGAATACGAGACAGTAGAGGCAGAAAGAAAAGAAAGGGAGACTTTTAAATAAGGCAAAGGGCTCCTCTAGTACCATGCATAGTGCCACCATGAATAACACTTTGCCCAAAGAATACGCAAACATTCGTGGAAGCCACGCGTAGTGGAAAATGTCCGCATCTTACTGAAGTAAACCTGACAACCAACATTCAACTAATGATAATTCCACAAACAAAAAGACATTGCTGGTAGCTAGAAAGCTATTCAGCTCAGAGCATTCCGAGTAGCGGCAGCAGCAGTACGAACAGCAGCAGCAACACAGTACCGGAGATCAATGCCTACAGCAAGACGCACAATGACTACAGCAAGGCACAGGCAAAAGGCTGCAAACTCACACGTCGATCCGGGTCCATGTCCTTGGCGAAGACGTTGAGAATGGCCATGACAAAGCCAATGTCGACCTTGACGTGCATGGCCTGTATCAGCAGTACCATATACCTGCACATGGTACAACAGATAACACACACATGCACACACACACACACACACACACACACACACACACACACACACACACACACACACACACACACACACACACACACACACACACACACACACACACACACACACACACACACACACACACACACACACACACACACACACACACACACACACACACACACACACACACACACACATGCACACACACACACACATACACACACACACACACACACGCACATGCACACACCCACGCATGCGCATGCACGCACACACACACACACACACACACACACGCATGCGCATGCACGCACACACACACACACACACACACACACACACACACACACACACACACACACACACACACACACAGAGCACACAGCACACATACACACAGCACACATGCACACAGCACACATACACACAGCACACATACACACAGCACACAGCACAGATGCACAGACATTGCACATGTAAGGAGTGCAAATCTGTCTATCAGTAGCTGTGACTATCACATCACATCGCATCACATCCTGCATTGCATCACATCCTGCATTCACGGGGTTAGTATGGTATGATCTTGGACTGGGTCATCAGCTACTGGTGAGAAGGCAGTCCTGCCTGTGCTTTAAGCAATTTGAAATAAAAGAATACAACAACAAGTCAACAACATCACAACGTGTCACCTCACCACACAGCACACACGCATGCAGTACAAACACACACACACACACACAACACACAGCACACACGCTTGCAGTACAAACACACACACACACACAACACACAGCACACACGCATGCAGTACAAACACACACACACACACACAACACACAGCACACACGCATGCAGTACAAACACACACACAGCACACAGCACTGTTAACCACGGTCTACAGCATACAGTGCGACTCACTTGATTTGCTTGGCCGTTCCGTCCTCGCTGATGTTCTGCATGAAGCTGAACTCAATGAAAGGCTTGGGGGCTGCAAGGATACACACATGTAGAGGTGCACGGAGAAAGAAATCCACGCCAGTCCAATCTGACACACCGGTGAAATCCACGCACACGGAGCACGGTAATCTGTGCTGGGTCAACGGACGGTTGGGAAAACAGCCTGGCTACCACTCTGCCACGTACATGCCAGTATTTAGCATGGCAGCACCACCGCCATTGCATACCACCGCCATTGCATACCACCGCCATTGCATACCAACGCCATTGCATACCAACGCCATTGCATACCAACGCCATTGCATACCAACGCCATTGCATACCAACGCCATTGCATACCAACGCCATTGCACACCAACGCCATTGCATACCAACGCCATTGCATACCAACGCCATTGCATACCACCGCCATTGCATACCACCGCCATTGCATAGCAACGCCATTGCATACCACCGCCATTGCATACCAATGCCATTGCATACCAACGCCATTGCATACCAACGCCATTGCATACCAACGCCATTGCATACCAACGCCATTGCATACCAACGCCATTGCACACCAACGCCATTGCATACCACCGCCATTGCATACCACCGCCATTGCATACCAACGCCATTGCATACCACTGCCATTGCATACCAACGCCATTGCATACCAACGCCATTGCATACCAACGCCATTGCATACCAACGCCATTGCATACCAACGCCATTGCATACCAACGCCATTGCATACCAACGCCATTGCATACCAACACCATTGATTACACCAACACCATTGATTATACCAACACCATTGATTATACCAACACCATTGCTAACCTGACTGCAGTGCCACTGTCTTGGGCGGTGCCATTGGATAAAACACTCCTGGGTAGCCAGCATCACGCAGTTGATTGTCAATCTGAGGAATACCCACACCCACACACAGTACAATACAAACTCAATATGCCAGCACCGCGAAAGTACAGCAATGTCGCGTGTGTCTCCGCTTCAGGCTGTTATGTTATGACGTAATGTCGTACCACATTAGCTCTACTGTGTACGCACGCACGCATGTTTCGGTTAGTGATGTTATTATTCTCAAGATCCTATCCAGTATGGGGAAGACCGCCTACCTGTACTTTGTTGATGCTGGCGTGCAGCTTAGTCTGGTGGTCAGAGTGAGTCAGGCGCAACGAGACGCCCTGGTGGAAGGAGCGACGGAGCAGGCCCTTGTGTGGCTTGGTCATGTACAGCTCCTTACCCAACCACTCAACCTGTTGTACAGCAACAACCACAGCAGCAACAACAGCAGCAGCAACAACAGCAGCAGCAACAACAGCAGCAGCAACAGTGGCTCTGTAGCCTCATAGCTATGCAAACAAAACATAGACTTGACTACTGCGAAGGCAGCCATGGTGCAACACGCAGAGAAATTATCAATCAATAGCAAGTGGGGTCATTACACTTCTGGACTGTGCAGATGAACAGAAATCTAGAAAGGTGCATGGTGTAATCTTGAGGGCCGTGTGATGTCATCTTGAGGGCTGTGTGATGTCATCGTGGGGCTGTGTGATGTCATCTTGAGGGCTGTGTGATGTCATCTTGGGGCTGTGTGATGTGATCTTGCGGCTGTGTGATGTGATCTTGAGGGCTGTGAGATGCGATCTTGAGGGCTGTGTGGTGTGATCTTGAGGCCTGCTGTGCAACGCAAATCAGTACATTGGGTGCAGCAGTAAGCACTCATAACGAGGATAGTACATTGCCAGAGCATAGCATGATGTCGATATGTCTAGAAGTGAGTGTTCCGCGTACCACAAAGTCACCATCCCTTTCTTTGTCTGGCGCAACACCATCGTGTATCTTCTCTACACGAAGGCACTCGGACATTGTCAGCGTCTTCCACTTCTCCTGTCCGTTCTTGTCCTTGCTGCGCAGTACTTGCCAGATAGCTCCACTACTGCTCATTGGGAACAGCATATATACATCGACAATACACAACGCATGTACATCGACAACACACAACGCACAACACAGGTACAACACACAACACACAACACACAACACACAACACACAACACACAACACGCACCACGCACCACACGACACACGACACACACCACACAACACACGACACACAACACACAACACGCACCACGCACCACACGGCACACGACACACGACACACGACACACGACACACGACACACAACACACAACACACAACACACAACACACCACGCACAACACACACAACACACAACACACAACACACAACACACAACACACAACACACAACACATGTACAACACACAACACACGACACACAACACACAACACGCACCACGCACCACACGACACACGACACACACCACACAACACACAACACACAACACACAACACACAACACACAACACACACAACACACAACACACAACACACAACACACAACACATGTACAACACACAACACACGACACACAACACGCAACACGCACCACGCACCACACGACACACGACACACACCACACAACACACAACACACAACACGCAACACACAACACACACAACACACAACACACACAACACACAACACACAACACCTGCGTGAGACACTAACAGGCAGTAGAGTTTGCATTGCACTGCAGCCAACAACAGTACGATACCGCCGGCAGGACCTGCTGTTAGCTCTACGGACAGCCAACATGAGTATACAGCAGAGCACCTGCACTGCGTACAGCCAACAGCAGTACACGTATCTCCAGTATTACAATACCTGGTGTTAGCTCTGCGGACGCTCAACACGAGTACACCGCAGAGCACTTGCACTGCGTACAGCCAACAGCAGTTTTTTTCTTCCAGTGTCCCCAAGCCTCTTGCACGGGCAAAATAAACACAAGCGCAACCTCAACAGGGAGAAAATGAGCTAAAATCAGTAAAATGTAGGGAGGGAGCTAACATGGCTGTGAAAACAGTCTAATTCCGAGGGTGCTAAACGTATGGTACATGGCTAGCTAGCGTTCAAAGGCAGCCTCCATGGTAACCAGTGACGCCGGTGGGCAACCAACAACAGTACACGCATCTACAGTATTACATTACCTGGTGATAGCCATGTAGAGGATCTCAGTGGACGTGGAGTTGTTGACAAGAGATAGGCCCACGCCAGGTAACTCAATGCTGAAGTCTTGATTGACACGCTCCACCAGATCACTCTGTGCAGCAGCAGCAGTAGCACCGGCAGCAGCAACAGCAGCAGCAGCAGCAATAGGTAACACAGTGAGCAACAGTGGACTAGCTATCAAAATAAGGCTGTAAGGAATTGTGCACCAGAGTCTCAGCCTAAGCAGAGACGGGCCATAGCAAAAAGCAGAAAAAGGTGAATACTGGAGAGCTTGGCAGGAAGAAACACCATTCAAAGTGGTGATGGCTGCATTGAGAGACTATTACCCATGGTACTAGTAATCACATGCAAGCTTCCATGGTGGAAGCAGCCTACATACCTCATAGGCCTGATCAGCGACATATTTGTTAGGTGTGAAGAGCAGTACACGCTGCAGGCCATCAATCAGTGACACCCAGTAGATCTTGCCAGGTCTACCATTGAACTCTTCACCACCCGGTGAGTCAAACTCACCCCGGTTGTTCTGTAACAGGGCACAACATATTGAGCACAATGCAGTACAACTAAGACACCGTTACGCAATGATTTCAGTCGCTAACAGTCAAGAAACCAAAAACTGACGCAATCTGGACAAATCCCCAGGGCAAAAAGAACAAACGGTCAGGATGAGTTCATGCATCCGTGGGTCGTGCGTTCGCGTGTGAGTGGGTCGTGCGTTCGCGTGTGCGTGGGTGCCTGTGTGAGGACTGCAAAACACCATCATAGCGCACCGCATAAAGCACCCAGGAGGATTGTTGGCAGAGTATATCTCTTACCTCCATGAGGTCTTCCGTGAGAGAGTAGGTTCCCTTCTCGTTGGTCGTGCTCCAAACCAGCTCTCTCTTGCCAGTAGGGTTGTTCCAAACAAAGAGACACTCGCTGCCTGGGCCAAGCTGAGTAACAGCATCATCATCTCTGCAAACAAGAGTGAGAGTGAGTGAGACAGAGAGAGAGAGAGAGAGAGAGAGAGAGAGAGAGAGAGAGAGAGAGAGAGAGAGAGAGAGAAAGAGAGAGAGAGACAAGTAAGGGGTGGGATCAATCTGGATCCTTGCAACGATTCCAATAGACTACCTGCACGCTACATCCAACAGCCTAACGTCAATGATGATTATAAGCGTTTAGCAAGTCTACTTCAGAAATATAGAGACATCAGAAGCAAAACCATAGGAGCACAATCGGACAACATTGGCCTCAAATTATATGGATGTGCACCAGCAAACGGTCTTACTTCTGTTGTAGTGTGAATGTGGTGTCCTTGCAGAAGTTCTCGATACGACCGGGTGCAGCACCGCTGAAGTAGTTCTCAATGGTGATGACAGTCACAGCGTTGCTTACATCCACAGACACAATGAGTACATTCGACTGCATAACACAGTGTGAGAGTACAGTGTCACAGCACATGCAAGCAAACACAGACATAGATACAGACACAGACACAGACACAGACAGACAGACAGACAGACAGGCAGGAAGACAGACAGACACACACAGACAGACACACAGACAGACAGACAGACACACACACACACACAAACACACATGCACGCACATCAGTAATGCAAACGACCACGAGCGTCGCAGCTTGACGCGGCTGCACAACCCCGGCTAAACACCCATCAAAAATGCAGGTCACCAGCAGCATTTCATGCCAATACAACAATGGAATCCTGCAGCTGAGAACAAGGTGTTCTAATGGACACACACAGCTGTCAAATCTCACTGCAGCACTGGACGTGTCACATTGGCTTTGATAGTTTTATTTGTTTTTTGATGATGTGCAATTCATTTTGCCCGTACAACAGGCTGTAAAAACAATAAAAAGCCTCTTAAAAAGCCTCTTGTGCGGGCAAAATGAATTGCACATCATCAAAAAAATTCAAATTCAGATAACTACTTTGAAATACAAAAATCAATTTAAATGCTAGTAAATCAACCCTGGCTTTGCTACTTTGACCCGGGGCAGCATTGTACAGTGGAACTCTGGATATGATACTCCATGGGCAGCAGGAAAGTATACTTACAGTCCATTCATAAAAAGATGGGTCCTGGCTCTGGCGAGCTCCCGTATTTGGCGATTTTTCGTGATTTCATCGTACACAGTGCAGTGCTGCGAACTTTGAAATTTGAAAAAGGGTCCAAAAAGGGTGCCTGAACTGGGGTTCGAACCGCAGAATGCACTGTTGCAGGCGGGGTCAAACGGCCTGGATTTTGATGGTTTTCCCAATTCAGTGCTTTTGGGGCAAAACCTGGCCGAAATCCTATTCTTGCTATGGCTTGCTTTTTGGACAAAAAAACTTCAGAAACATAATTGGAAGAGGATTCCATATGGGATTGCAGAAAAAAATTCTAAAAAAACTCAACGTTTGACCCATTTATGGCCAAAAGCTAGAAGTTCATTTTTTTCTGAATGGACTGTAGTATCTGAACATACTTCTTATCCTAACATACTTCAGTATGGATCACTACACCTGTGTTGCGGACAATATCCATACTAAGCAAGAGTACCCGTATATTCTCTATTATATGCGCCGTGCTTCTATTTTTTCAACACCCCTCTACCCCGTGCTTATATTGGAGACCGCGCTTATATTGGAAACCGTGCTTATATTTTTTCAACCAATACATCCATACAGAGCAAGAAGAAATACATGCTAGATATCATGCATGCAGCATTGATTTCCACCAAGACCGTGCCAATAATAGAGACGGTGCTTATAATGTTTCGAAAGGTGCTCACAGTGTGCTAGTATTAGAGACTGTGCTAGTAATGGAGAATATGTTGTAGTACGTTATTTTGTGTACGTCGTGTGTACGTCATGTTGGTCCATGCGCGTGTTGCTGTGGTATGAAAAGCTGTCTTCGTCTTGAGTTCATCGTGTCTTCGTCTTGAGTTCGTCATGTATAGTTGTGTTTCGTCGTCGTGTCAATAAACAGTCTTCTAAATGTAGTTATCGTCGTCCATTTGTACAAGTGTGGAGATGGCACGGAACTGGGAGCAGGAAGAGAAAGCGAGTTACAACATTGGTGGCAGCGGTAATGGAAATTGTTGTACACTTCAACTTCTGGATTCGTCCTGCGTGGCCTTCGCTCCCAGTTTCCGATGTCATCTCCAGTCGTCCTATCGTCACAGTTTTGTCCGTCTTGAAGAAGTTCGTCCGTCGTTCTCGTCCTTCATCATTCGTCTCTCCCGTCTCTTGTCAGTCGTCGTCAGTCGTCGTCACTGGTGGTCCCGGACACGACGTAAAACTGTGCCCAGAAGAAGAGGAAAAGAAAAAGAAGGATGGATGGTCCCGGACACGACGTAAAACTGTGCCCAGAAAACCTGAAAAAGAAAAGAAAAAAGAAGGATGGAAGGTGAAGAGAAGAAGAAGAGGCTGCAGAAGTGAGGATGTCGACGCTGAGCAGCGCTCCTGGAGATGGTGGACGACATGGCAGACGGCGTGAGGAGTTTCGTTGGTGAGAGGGTACGTGTGTTGTTGTGAATGTGATGAGAATGTGAGTTTTGTATTTTCTGTTCTCCCAACATTTTGTTCTTTATTATTTGCTCTCCTCGAGGGTAAAGAGGCGCCCGCACAGCGCGTGTGTTCTGTTTGTTTCTTTATTTGCTCTTCTATGAGGATAACTAGAGGCCCCCACAGAGCCAGTGGATTTTGTTCTTTTTGTTATTCATATGATTTGTGCTCTCACATTTTTAGAATTTTTGCGTGATCGTGAGGTGGTGTGTTGTGTGAAGTAGAGTTTTTGAGGTTATCAGTTCCTACACGTGTGACAGCGATCGTGGCTGGTGTTCTGGGTGGGCGGACAGAGTTTTTGTAATCTGCAGTGCAGGCAGAGGTATTTTATTTCTGGGTGTGACTGGTGTGGTATGATTGAGTGATTTGTGTGATCTTTTCCTCTTTTTACTCTGTTTTATTATTAGAATCGAGGACGATTCTACTCTTGGGAGGGAGTTATGTTGTAGTACGTTATTTTGTGTACGTCGTGTGTACGTCATGTTGGTCCATGCGCGTGTTGCTGTGGTATGAAAAGCTGTCTTCGTCTTGAGTTCATCGTGTCTTCGTCTTGAGTTCGTCATGTATAGTTGTGTTTCGTCGTCGTGTCAATAAACAGTCTTCTAAATGTAGTTATCGTCGTCCATTTGTACAAGTGTGGAGATGGCACGGAACTGGGAGCAGGAAGAGAAAGCGAGTTACAACAAATATACGGTATGTCTTACCAGGGTACCTATTGTCATGGACATGGAAATCCGGTCGAATGACCGGGCCCGGCGCCCTCAGTGCGTACAGAACGCTGCATGCAGTAGTGCACATGTTGATCGTACGCGTGCTCATGGCGGCATGGCCAGCGCCCTGGGGCCGCTCGACCTCCGACTGGATTTCCATGTCCACGCCAGTACTAAGTGGGTTCCCCTGTAGTTTGGTCAGGTCACGGCTGTTACTGCCATGATCAAATTAGCGGTGATAAATACGGTATATGTCTGTATTTCGTGACAAAGATGGGGGGGGGGGGCTAGCGGCTTATTCTCCGGAAAATACGGTATTCCCAAATTAAGCATTCTACTCTTTGTCAAAATCTCGAGTGTTCAGTCTCCCACGGGGCCACCACCATGGCTATCTGACCTAATATTACTGTGTAGCTGTCATCTAACAAGGGCCCGGTATGTCCTACATGCCGTGGCGGATCTGATGTTGCCACAAGACTTTGCGAGTGTGGTGTCGAACCTCCCCTGCGACAAAATGCCCGCTTGGTCTCACATTATCACGGTGAAAGAAAGCACCGCTCGTAAAAAAATCCGCCGCAGCTCCCGGTCGTTTCCAGAATGTGAACTTGGTGGAGACTGTATACACCTTCACTTTGAGGTGTTTGATAGTTTTGTTTTTCTGAGTATCAAGCTACCGTATTGCTCCTAGTCCAATAGGGTGGTGGCATTCCTACGGATGCGGAAAAACGCGGTCTTTGGCCGAGTCTCACGCGAACCGTGAATTTTTTTAAGCTACCGTATTCACTCACATATACATCCACGGGCTTATAACTTAGTTGGTATATTGCTGTTTTCGTCACTTCGAACGTGGAAAAAATTCGCTTTCACGTGCATGTGCGTTCGTTGCCCAAAACCACTGTTGTCTTCTCCAGATTTGTTTTCTTGCTGAAAGTAAAGTTTACCAGTAGTTTTTCATGTTCTCCGGCTGCCATGGGCAAACACCGGCTGCCATGGGCAAACACCGGCTGCCATGGGCAAACACCGGCTGCCATGGGCAAACACCGGCTGCCATGGGCAAACACCGGCTGCCATGGGCAAACACCGGCTGCCATGGGCAAACAGAAGTCGTATGCATTGGAGTTAAAGCTTTGCGCTCTCGATGCGCTCAATCGACATAATGGAAATATTTCTGCAACTGCCACGGAGATGTTTGTCTCTCGCAGATTGTTGAGAGATGGCGAGCGCAGGAAGATAAACTCCGTCACCTGAAGAGACGCGCAAAAAAGAGAGGTGACACTCTTCGGAGACGACGCAGGCTGGCGAGCGATGGAGGTCGTCCCGTCCCGTCTATGTGGACGTGAACGATTTGCTAGAGGTGTGGATAAAATCCCAGAGAGACGATGGTCTTTCCGTCCACGGCAAGGCTATTTGCATGAAGGTGCGGCAGATCACGAGGGACATTTATGGAAAAGATTTGAACGGATTCAAGGCGTCGGGCGGATGGTTGAGTCGCTCCTTGAGACGAAAACAATGGGGCTGTTAAGTGATGACATCACACATCACAGTTCCTTCGATACGCATAGCAACGATCCCACTGGGGACAAACAAAAGTAGCGTCGTCTCCACTGTACATGTAACATCATGATAATGATTCCATCTTCATTGCCCCGCAACTGGTACGCCATACGCACCAAATACATGGTGTGTGTGTGTGCACGCGCGCGCGCTTGTGTGTGCACGCGCGCCCTTGTGTGTGCACGTACATGCACACACTCTCATGCGTGGCCGAGTCGGCCAGATGGACAGACCATGCATTTGCACGAGGTGTCCGTCATGTCATTGGAATGCTGTACTTTATGACTTTATTCCAAAAGAGTATGTCTTGCCCCTGTCGAATGGAGTTTGTGTCTGTGCTCAGCGGGTATATGGCTACGACGCCGCACTGCAGTCAGCGCTGCAATTAAAAGAGTACTGCATGGATCATTTTGACTAACTTCCTTTGCGTTAACTTGGTTGAGCCCGTGGTTTCATTTCTGTGTTCTGTCATGATTGGCCTCTGGAAATAATCAGAGTGGATGTCATTTGCCATATGTGTGTGCCTTGTGCGACAGGTTCAAGGCTAGATGCACTTCACATTCGGCGTGCGATCTCAGCGTCTGGCACCTGATAAAGTCTTGGTTGGATGAGTAATCAAGGATGATACTACTCGGCACACCAATGTACATGTCAATGTAATTTTTTACTTTTTCAGAGCTACACTATTAACGTGTTGATGCTTACTTTGGTGTTAGCGTGTTTCCCCCGGATTGTTTCTATCATGATGCGTGTTCTTGGGCTGAGCGAGCACATGCACACGTGTGCAGCTATAACCCTGTGTATCTTTGGTTACGCTTTGTTCTGTTGACCAAAAGATCCCTGCAGATGCCAAGACTGGCGAATTCGTTCGTGGCAAATGTGCAGCGAAAAATCAAGGATGGAAATGGCAAGCTGACACAGTTGCACACCTTCACCAGCAGCACAACACCACTGTGGAGCTGTAGTAGCGTGGAAGTCGAAAACAAATTGGAGCGTAGTAATGTCAAGGAGTGCAGCGCAATCAGTACACAGGAAACAGATGTGGAGCAGGACACACCGGAGAGCGAGGAGCATACGGCTTCCATTGGTGTATCAGCTGACCATATTTCGAACGCCACTTGATAACATTGAAGAGCAAGAAGCTGAAAGCGAACAGGGAATTTACGAATAGCCGGCGATGATTGCTGATTATGATGCGCGATGGCAGTGAAAGGGACGAGGTGGACCAGCCAGTTGTCAATGACCCAGAGAGGAGCTGTCACAGCTAGCTCATCCAGCCTATCCATGAGTCAAGTCGAGTATGACCAGCAGCACACTGAATGGAACCAGTTCCCTACCTGCCCCAGCAAGTGCACCACTGCACACTCATGCACATCTATCCAGTACAGGTGCTAGGAGCAATAGTGCTGGACCCAATGCAAGTGTAGCAGCCAGAAGACCAGCTTTACGTAATCACACATTGACAACCAGAGCTGTGCCAGGACAGGCACCACTAGGACCACACAGCCAGCAGCATAGCAACTTTCTACCAGCTCTGCCATCGGTGCATATGTCCACAGTAGCTCAGCCGGCTCCACCACAGCCACCACAATCACAACAGAAGTATGCAAGCGGTGGAACTGTCCCCTTGAAAATTCCTGGCTAGTGGACGACGGTGTATTTCATATGTACCATCATGGCCCTGGTGACCAACCTCAAGCTAATTTCGATCAAGCAGGCTGTCTCGTCAGAGACAGAATGGCGCGCCTCATCAACATCAACCAGTGGCTTGAGTCATGCACACGCCAAGCATGGGCACACTTACATTGTCCACTTTCAGGAGCGTCAGTCCCGATTTGGAGAAGTTGACGTCTTTCAGGTAGCCTTCAGCTCCTCCTGGTTTCACGCGAACAATGTTGGCCTTGGTGCTAGGGTAGAACGGCTTGACCTGGAGAAGAGAAGACGGGAACACGCATGAGACAAAAAGCCCATAAAATAAAAGAAGGTATGAGTAGTGCATGTGAGTACGCGGGATCAGCAATGCACTGCTCAATATCCCCCCCCCCCCCCCCCCCCCACACACACACACACATGGCCATACCCAGGTGGCTGTGTGGGGGTGTTCGTGGTGCAAACTATGCCATTGCACAATGGGTTAATAGTGTGTAGAGGATGATGGACAGTTGATCTACCGTAACGTGGTATGGTGGGTGAACATACACATACACATACACATACACATACACATACGCTGACTCTTCAAACATCACGGTGAGATCTCCTAGTCATGATAGCTCCTACTTGTATATTGTTGGTTCTTTTTACATACGAATCCTCTCTTCCCGCAGAACAGTGCCAGTGATTTCAATAGACGATAGAATTCTTAGAGATACCAATGATTCCCTTGTGCTTCGAGGTGGGTGGCTGCCGCTTGGCGTGGCTACTACTGATTTCTAGTTCCTACAGATGATCTGCACTGAAAACAACTTACAGCATCTGGTGGCAACTCCACTGTGTAACCGAGTGTGTCAGCAGCACAGATGTTCATCTGTACGGCACACATAAGTAGCAACAGCAGTGGCAGCAGCAGCAGCGGCAGAAGCAGCAGCAGGGAGAACAGTAAGCAAACTCTACAAGTGCAGTAGAACAGAGCAAGTTACGTTGGAGAAGAACTGGAAATTCCTGAGCTGCAGATCTCCTCTCACTTTAGCCCAGCACAACACTACAGAGTGCATATGCTGACGAATAGGAGCCACACAAGATGCATCACAGTCACATGTACATGTATAAGCATGGTGGTGCTCCACACGAGTGTCCACACCGGCATGGCAGGACAGTAGGTTCAGAGGCAGAGAGTAGTGTAGTAGCACTCACCTGCGTGTAGTTGCAGATGAGATTGTACGGAGTGAAGTAGACAATGTTACTCAGGTTGAAGTACGACATCACCACTTTCACACCCAGCTGCACAATTCAGAACACACACATACAGGCACGAAGGAAAGCACACGTGCACAGGTACACAGGCACGCGAATGCAAGCACACAGAAAGTTAAGTGAAGACATAGCTCTTGTGGAGACCACACAACAGTTGGACAGAATACAACAGTGGAAACTAGCCGCCTCGTGTTCACTGTTATCTCTCAAGTCTAAACCAGTACTCTCACTACACCAATACCCGCACTAATCCAATAACCCCAGCAGCATTAGCATCATTGCCATACGTGCCAGCAACCCCACTCCTGGCTACAAGTCAATGGTGGTTTTGTAGCTGTAGCCAAGTTCAAGCACGGGATGATTTTATTCTTTTTCAGTGATCAGTGTAGTCCAGAGACCACTTGGAGAGTGTTGTGGGCATGTATGTTGGAGAGTGTTGTGGGCATATATGTTGGAGAGTGTTGTGGGCATGTATGTTGGACAGTGTTGTGGGCATGTATGTTGGAGAGTGTTGTGGGCATGTATGGCCACAATGGATGGCTACAGTAGAGTCTGCGTATATTGAAAATGAGTTCACGCGCAGTGAAAGTTACCTCATGTCCTGCGTCACCCTCCTCACACAGTAGTCTGCCCTCGCTGCCAGCCGTGGCTAGTGAGAAACCATCGGAGGCCTTGGACCTGCCAACGTACACCTCCACCTGAAGCGCACACACAGGCACACACGCACACACGCATGCACACACACACACACACACACACACACACACACACACACACACACACACACACACACACACACACACACACACACACACACACACACACACACACACACACACACACACACACACACACACACACAGCCAGTACAAACAAGCAAGACAGATATTCCCGATAGGCGCCAGCAAGTTAATACAGATGCATGATGCATACACAAACATGGCATGGCATGATGCATACATGGATACAGACTACAGACGGTCTCCAAACCACACTACACAACTGGATACTGTAAACCGTGATACTATTGCCATGGTCTAATTTCTGCGAAATTCGCGACCGCGTGGAAATCGCGAAATTTAGACAGCGCGAAAAGGAGATCCATGAAAGGTTTAGCAAGAATGCCACAGGTTTAGCAAGAATGCCATTCTGCAATCGCAAAATTAAAACCTCGCAAACCTGTCCGGATTCTGAAAACGCGAACTAAAAACGCCGCGAAAATGTCACGCTTTACAGTACTGGTACAGTAGTAAAACACCAGCCCATAGCTTAGTACATGTAGAGTAAGACCTGCCCAAGAAGACCACTCTGGTAAGGCAACCACCTGCCCAAGAAGACCACTCTGGTAAGGCAACCACCTGCCCAAGAAGACCACTCTGGTAAGGCAATCACCTACCCAAGAAGACCACTCTGGTAAGGCAACCACCTGCCCAAGAAGACCACTCTGGTAAGGCGACCACTCTGGTAAGGCAACCACCTGCCCAAGAAGACCACTCTGGTAAGGCGACCACTCTGGTAAGGCAACCACCTGCCCAAGAAGACCACTCTGGTAAGGCAACCACCTGTCCAAGAAGACCACCACGAGTCAAACTAGGACCAAGGGGGTATCATTTCCAGTAAAAAGACCCCGGACAAGAAGACCACCTGCACACGGGGACCCTATTTGTAAGGTCTCTTGAGCGGTCGCCTGCGACACTGGGACACTGGGACAGGTTTTTCCTGTGCACTGTAAGCACTGTTAAAGCCTTTAGTCTAACGAGTTGCAAATGTCTAACGAGCTGCAAATGTCTAACGAGCTGCAAATGTCTAACGAGCTGCAAATGTCTAACGAGCTGCAAATGTCTAACAAGCTGCAAATGTCTAACGAGCTGCAAATGTCTAACGAGCTGCAAATGTCTAACGAGCTGCAAATGTCTAACGATTTCCTAAAATTGACCAGTTCACACGAACCAAAGGTTACGGTTCTCACTCATTCTCAACGCCCAACAGCAACAGTACAAGTATTGATTTCTGTGTAACGTTTTCTATTTTAACGACAGATTCCTCCTCGTTGGCTCGTTAGATTTCGCACTTCGTTATAATTATAATATTATAAGACTTTGACAGTATTGGGCGGCATGGTCATGGCCAGCAGCAGCAGCAGCAGCAGCAGCAGCAGCAGCAGCAGCACCAGCAGCAGCACCAGCAGCAGCAGCCGCAGCAGCAGCAGCAGCAGCACACACACACACACACACACACACACACACACACACACACTTCTACCAACCTTTGATTTCCCTTTCTTCTTGAATCCATACAGGATGGGCCTGCTGTCATTGGATGTATCCGGTGCAAAGAATGGTGGATGTGAGTCATAAGGCTGCAAGCACACGCCCATCATGAAAACAGAACAAGCGTTTGAAGGAAACCAGACAAATGGCCGAGTAATGATGTAGAGTTGGCTGATACATAGCTATGGCGAGGGTATATGTGCATGTTTGCACGATAGCATTCACGCACATACTAACAAAGATATTATGTACACGCACACAGGCATGCATGCATACACACATACAAACGCAGACGCAGGTGCAGACGCCTCCCCGCCAGCCCCCGCACGCACGCACACACACACAGGGTGACTGGTCATCTATCCACTCACCCGTATCTTCATGATTTGATCAGACTGGTTGACAATCCAGTGGTCCACGTACACAGCCATCTCCAGCGTATCCACCAGATTGTACTCAACACTAAATTCCTGACATTGGCAGCAGACACACACAACACAACCAACAACAAAAAAACAGCATTCACTCAGTCCTCCATTTCCTCACACAGGTTTTAGTGGTAAGACATCATCAGTCTATCACCAGAACGAAGGGTGTTTGCTGAGCAACAATGTCTTGTGCATAGGAGTGTCCACTGTCTACAGATTGAGTGTGTGGCTTTGTTGATCTCCCAGCCCTCCCTGCCTGCCTGCTCTGATCTGGTCACAGAGACAGCACATTTTTTTCTTTTTTTCTTTTTTTTTTACGAAGAACACAAACCCGGCTCAAGACAAAAAATTAATAACAAGAAAGATAACAAACATAGAGAGGAGACTACTATCACTTCTGCTGGTCGTAATAGCAGTACAGGAGAGCTGTGGACACTCAGCAGAAACAGTGCAGGGCTGAGCAGGCAGGTTTCAGGCTCAGCACTAGGTGTACTCAAAGAAACAACAACAGGCACATTCCCGGCTAATGTTGCATTTCGACAGCCAGCAGTATCTCACCACTGAACGTTGCTCGGTGTCTAGTTGACCTTCGGCTTTCATGGTTAGCGGAACATGAGAGTGCTTTAGTCGCTCCTCTAGTTGAACATTGCCCACCAGCTTGCCCCGGAAGTAGTTCTCCACCTACACACATGAAGGGTAGAAAAGAGGACCAGCACTCACACTGTTAGTAAGTACAGAGAGGTACAGTCAATATCAAATCCAAGCATTCGTAACCCAAACAGGTGTAAATACCGCTTCGTTGCTTCTTTTACATGTACCTGATGATGGCCAAGTGCTGAAACGTTGGAAGTGAATGGAACTGGTTTAGATATGCAGTGCTGTGAGAATGGGTGTGTCCATGCAAGTTCTTTTCTCTACAGATGAAGCTGCACGTCAGGCGAAATAGCACGTCATAGTACATTTGAGATCAGCGGGAAGAAGATGACGACGTCCACTAATTTAGTATCTGTGCACACGAATCTGCCACATGTGTGACTCTGTGTGTCAGCTATGATATCATCTTCTGTGGTTCCATGCCTAGCATGCACGTCTGAACCATCCTGCAAAGTTTGAATGACGTAGGTTGAGCGATCGCTCCGCGAAACATACTTTTTGAAATTCTCTTCATAGCATATCTTCCACCATTGAAATTTCGAATTTCTTCAAAAAAAGTGCTGAGAGGGGTGGCTTGCAACCTCGATATGGCTTGTTCCAGGCATGCTTTGGAGCCATCTTCTGTTGAAGTAGTGGCGGGGATCTGCCCTGCAACTGCTACAACAAAAAATGATTCGATCTGAGAAAGGGTGAGACCGCGAATCTCGGTTGAATATTGAGTATTTCAAGCCTTTTCACGACGAAGATGGAGTTCTTTTTGGAGATGGACGTCGCGGCAAAGGACATGGTGTCCGACTTCTGGCGTCTGGTGAAGCCAGGGATCATTTGTCCAGTCAGGTCGGCAGCCTAACCGTTGGTAAGCTTGTGTTTGGATCCCGTTCTGCTCGATGTGGTAGATCACAAACACTTTGATATCGCACAAATTGATCTCAGCATCGTGCGTACGGTATTTTATATTCAGAAAATCCCAAAGTGTCTCTGTGTGGCCGTCCTATGCCACGAGAAACTCCAATCAGGCTCCATGTCCTCTGCCTTCATGATTGAATGTCCACTTCGTTTGAACAACGAACACAACAATCGAGGACGGCTTTGCAATGAAAAATACAGCTATACTGGAGCTGAAAAAAAGAAGAAAAAAACGTGCTCAGGATGAGACTCGAGTACACGCATACTCTCCCAGCAGGTGAAACGCAAATTTTTGTGAAAAATGCGTGTCGCCGACTGACCAGTAATTTCGCCTGACGAGAAGCCTCAAGACTTATACAGACTTGGTGTGTACAGCCTAGCAAAACAGCAGCTCAGACATTCCACAAGAAAGGAAACTGCACTGGGCAGTAGTATGACGTGTGTGTGTGTGTGTGCGCGCGCGCGCGTGTGCGTGTGTGTTGCCGGCAACACTGAGATGACCGGAAGCGTGGCCAGAACACACACCTGAATGGGCACTGTGACCGCACTCTTCTCTGCTGTGTACATTGCCTTGCGCGCACCTGGTGCCAACACATGGAGCTTGCTTTCCCTCTGCAACGTGAAAACAGGCAAAAGGTAAAGAAATCGGTGCATGATTATTAGCAGGGAGATCGAATTGCGTACAAATCACAGCGGTTAGAAACAAGAGAGAGAGAGAGAGAGAGAGAGAGAGAGAGAGAGAGAGAGAGAGAGAGAGAGAGAGAGAGAGAGAGAGAGAGAGAGAGAGAGAGAGAGAGAGAGAGAGAGAGAGAGAGAGAGAGAGAGAGAGAGTGGTGGTGGTGGTGGTGGATCTGTGAGAAAGGATCTCTGTGACCTCATAATCACGAAGAGTAGATGGTATTCCTGGGGGCCAATGCCTTGTTTAGCAAGTGTTTTGACCTTCCTTTTCGATCGCCGGGAAGTGCTTGTAAGCTCCACTTATCATTCAGAGCACGCACACTGTCTGCTCAAATTTGAACTGCTGTCCACATGGCAGTCCACGTGGCGCATCTCCTCAGTCAGAGACTCAGAAGAATCCAAAGCAGTTAGAAGTGAATGTGTTTCGTCACTTTCCTCTTTGATTCTCGTTATGTCGTTGGTTTAAGGTTGATAGTACGTAAGGTAGCACTGTCACCATCATAACTCATGGCCAGCGCTGACAGCTGTAGTACTAGTAGTGCTCCCGAGTCGTCGCATCACCCGGCAATCTATTGATGTGCCCCCCCCCCCCCCCCCCCCCACCGTTCCACCAGGCAGAACCTCTCCCAGCTACTCACGGAGGGCACTGAAGCCAAATTGAGGAGGGCTGCATCCACTCGTAAGGACGATCGAATTCTCATTGCCATCTCTGGTGGCGGAAGTCTCCTTTCTAGAGAGGTATTTTATCACAGGCACTGCTACCATTCATACTCTCGTAAGGTATCTTAAGTGACAGCACAGCCCTTGCAGTGGGCGATGAGCAGCAGAAGGAGCAGGCCCCTAGTGATAATAGCAAGACGTGTGATTTCCTAGCCGACATCCAACACCGACTTTTTCACGAGAATGAAGTATCGGACATAAAACAGCTTACATCAGCTTACAATACAGACAAGACTGTTTTACTTCCTCTGCTAACCGATGGTATATCGACTGCACCTCCAATCGACACTGCTGCTACTAATGGAGCCCTGATTATTCATGCAATGGCAATGCTCAGGACCCAGAAGCTAAGTGAAGCGCCTGCATCATTTGGAGAGTTTGCTGCAGTAGTCCTGAAAGAGATATGTGACTACTTTTCAAAGTACACCCGAGTGGACTTTGTTGTGGGTACTTATCGTGACATCTCTATTAAAAACTTGGAAAGGAGCTCTCGTGCAGCCGAAGGAGTGTTGCGACTGCATCTTACAAGCCGATCACAACGAATGCCTCAGCAATTCAGCAAGTATCTTTCGCTGGGCGTGAACACGGAAGAGCTAATAGCCTTCCTGTTCACAGAATGGCAGCGTCCCGAGCATACGAAGAAGATTCCTGATGGCAAGGAGCTTGTGATAACTTCCGGCCAATCGTGTAGCATGCTAATGTGTGTTGCTGGTGTGAGGGTCCATACTCCTGTTACGAGCCTGAAATCATGAAGAAGATGATACAAGGCTCCTTCTCCATGCCAGCTATGCAGCGGCAGCAGGTCACACGAACGTAACCATCAAGTCACCAGACACCGATGTGTTAGTTCTTGCTGTGTCAGTCACCAATCGCATCCCTGCTGCGCTACACTTCCTAACTGGAACTGGCAACAAGACACGGAAGATACCGGTCAATGCTGACAACGAAAAGCTGGGCAGAGAGGTGTGTTATGCTCTCCTGGCATTCCATGCCTTTACCGGCAGCGACGCAGTCAGTGCATTTGCGCATCATGGCAAGAAATCTGCCTTCAAGTTGCTGTGCTCCCCAGCCCACTCCGACTACAAGGCAATCTTCGCCCGTGCTGGTTGTACCTTTGACGGACTTCCTGATGATGTCACTGATTCCCTGGAGACGTTTCTGGACCTGCTCTACAACGCAAAGAGTTCTACCAAGGTCAACGGTGCAAGGTATCAGTTGTTCTGCACGAAAACCTCACAGTTCAATCAGCTTGCTCCATGCCGTGATGCCTTTGTCACGCACTGCGCAAGGGCCAACTATAAGGCTGCTGTGTGGCACCTTTGTCTTGCTGCAATCCCAGACATACCTGCTCCACACGAGAATAATCAAGGTAAGATGCTCAAGGACAGTGCTTTAGAATGTGCTGCATGGATGCAGCCCCACTGGCCTGTATCGGATGAACTACTCGTACTGCATGCTCAACTCAACAAGCGCATTACAGCCTACAGGTGCTATTTGGTTGTGAGCACTGCTCCGACAATGAACAAAACAGCAAAGTTGACAGGAAGAAGCATTTCTTCAGCTGTATTTACTTGTAAAACTCCTTTGTGGGTGACCTTTGGTCCTTTCTTCTTAATTTTGTGGATGATCAGTTCCTCTTTCATTTGATTCTCTTTTGTATAGGCAGGTATTTGAACAGCAACGGCAATCTACAGTCGTCGCCCAAACCCCCCCCCCCCCCCCCAGCCAATGTCCAGTATGGTGCGCAGTACAGCATCTACATAACATGGTAGCTAGTAGCTACCACTAGTACCAAGAGTCCATAACCCCCCAGAGCGCGCAGCTGGGATGGGGTTGTGGGACGGCGCAATCCGTGATGTACGTGATTTTTTGGGTCGGACTTGCGTCATTCCATCGACGCGGCCACACTTCCCCTACTCATGATGTCATACTATGACGTGCAACACGGATTTCGCCGTCCCAGATCTGATCAGTGAAGTTGCACACTCTGGGGGGATTATGGACTCTTGCTAGTACATGGTAGTTACCACTAGTACATGGTAGCAAGAGTACATAACCCAAGAGTGTGCAACTCCAGCTATGGGGTCTGCGACGGCAGAACTTCACATCACGTGATGAACCCGTGCACTCTAGTGCATGATAGATACTGGGTTGTACGCAGCCCAGCTTTGGGTACAACTCTCTTGTGGTCACTTTGCACTGTTTGCCAGCATAACCTTTTGAACCATGTTACGTGATGTGAAGTTCTGCCGTCGCAGCACAGCATAGCGGTTGTGCAGGCAGTTGCACACTCTTGGTTATGTACTCTTGATGGTAGTTACCACTAGTACATGGTAGCAAGTAGATGCAGTCATACAGCCAGCACTGCACTAAGCCACTGACTGTGAGCAGGGTGGGCAGGGAATGTACATAGTTGCTGTGCATGCACCGACCATGTACCGTACCGCATCGGCCGGATTTTTTGGCGACGGCTGTAGCTGTTTCTTGGTTGAGCCTACCCCCAGTGCCCCGTGCACTCCTTGAGCTTCTCGGCTATGGCTGCAAGACTGGCCGTAGCGGTGGGAGCTGCTCATGCTGGCGCCATACTTTGAAATGCACCGAGGCATGCCAGTGTTGCCACAGCTCGGCAGCAATTGCCCAGCTCTGGACACTGTTCAGGAAGATGTCGTGTCATCTCCGGAAGCAGATGAGACACTACAAGCTGTGAAGTGAAACCCTACTTTGCAGGTCGCTTTGCCATCTACCACAGGAAATGATTTCTGACTCCTGTTATGTTACTATTTTTGAGTCCCCTACATAGAGGAGGCAGTAGTATACTGATTCGTTGCTGTAATACTGTACATACATCATGCTAAGCTGAAATGTACTACTTTCATGATTACCCGGAGCCTTGTTCTGAACTTTCACGATTATATAATTCTACGGTCATTCCGTGCATGCTTATTGTGGTTCATTACTGCAACTTCAATGTGTGCTATTGAGGTGGTGCTATTATGTTGAAACTTGGCAGGCTGATTCAATTTGCTTCTATCTATGAAACACTGAAAGAATTTTTCCTTTTTAGACAAGCGGAAGTGGTTTTGAATAAAAATTATGCCCGCGCTTATGTCACAAAACAAAGTAGCAATGGTTTTCGTTCCAGAACGTTTTCTTGTCATTTCCATCAATCGAATCTCGTTTTGTTTTGTGACATCATCGCGGGTATCATTTTATTCATAGCTATCTGCTAGGTTAATATCTCCGCGTCGACTATTCATAGAAGTGGTTTTAATACAGCCTCTTTTGCTTTTTGCTGCCATGGCAACACAGGAAAAATTGCCCCATGTTTCGGTCGACAAATCCCCGGGTTACTGGCATAAGTGACACATCACAGGAATGCTCTATCTGCTCCACACGTCAAACCCTTGTGCATTTCACATGGGAACGGATTTTTTAAAATCTGGTTGGCTCGTGGACTACCAGCTTAGCTTGGCTCGAAGCTATCATGCAGCTCAGGCTTGATCTTCAGAACTTGCGTGGCCAGTGATGCAACGCCACTTCTAATATACTGGGAGCACTGCAAGGAGTATCTGATTCTGTGTCTGCATGGATTACACAGACATATCCTCGGGTCCTTGACTTGCACTGTGTGTTCCACACTGCGCGAACTTGGTAGTCATACACACACACGCACACACACACACACACACACACACACACACACACACACACACACACACACACACACACACACACACACACACACACACACACACTACTACTACTACTACTACTACTATAGCATGACTGCCCATTGGGCAATGTCACCCCCGGAGGGGGCCAGAGTTTGGAGTGCACCGTCATTGGCAGGACTTCTGGTGCCTCGTCAAATCTTGCTGTCGTCGGAAACGTTTCGGGCAATGCATGCAGATCAGCGGCAGTGATTCCCTATCGGCTGCAGCAAGACGTTTTCCACGGTTGCAGCTACTTCTTGTCTTCCACGACGCGCTTTCCACGAGCAGCAGTTGAAACCGGCCTGGCCCGGTTTCAACACACACACACACACACACACACACACACACACACACACACACACACACACACACACACACACACACACACCCATGCACGCACACATACACACACACACACACACACACACACACACACACACACACACACACACACACACACACACACACGCACGCACGCACGCACACGTACCGGCAGTTGGTAGCTGAGCGGGTATGGCAGCATGTTCTGGAAGACCATGACAGGGTAGAGATGGAGACAGTGATGCGGTACTTTAGTTGATGGGCCTCTACCCAGGAACAGGACCTGCTCCTCTTCCTTGCGTACCTACATCACACAAGAAGATGCACACAGAACATTATAATGAACAAATCAACAAAACAGGTTGATATGTTTGCAGCATCAGCATGCACATGGCCATACTCGTCTAGAAGACCCGTACGAGGTCTTGGAACACTGTTCTTTTCCTGCAGTGATTGATGAAGCCAAGAGTGCATCAGTTAGGGTGAGTATTTTCAGCCAAATAGGTCCATCTCATACAAGGACCGGTGCATGTCAAGCCACAACCAGGATAGCCACCCGTCCCCTCTACAGTTCGACGAATGAACATTGAACAGTAAGCATAAGCATAAGCATAATTAATTTAGGTCACCAATCACTTGACAGCAAACTCATACAACGAATGCACACTGTATCTAAGAAATCAAGCCAGGATACACACGGTACGAGCAGTGCGACTAAAGGGCATGGGAGACAGTACAGACGAGTAGAGTGTGATCAACTCACTCTCAAGCCAAACGACCCCTCCGCACCCTTGCACTCCACGCGATGGTGAGTGGCCTCCATCTTCCATGAGCTCGGTGGCTCAGAGGGACTGTGCCTACAGGTACGGACACAGGTACAGTGAAACCTCGTTTTCTTTAAAGAAGAACACTGATGAGACAAATTTCAGAAGAACCAGTATTCAGAACTCTATTGATGGTATATTAGCGTGTTCATAGGGTATAAAATACGGATAGGAAAAGCTCTATTTATTGCAAACAAATACCATTGGTCCTTTGGTGTTCGTCTTTTAAAAGAGGATTTACTGTACATAGACAGGAGTACACACACAGCCATGCTAGAGTGCTACAGCAACACACACACACAGCCATGCTAGAGTGCTACAGCAACACACACACAGCCATGCTAGAGTGCTACAGCAACACACACACAGCCATGCTAGAGTGCTACAGCAACACACACACAGCCATGCTAGAGTGCTACAGCAACACACACACAGCCATGCTAGAGTGCTACAGCAACACACACACAGCCATGCTAGAGTGCTACAGCAACACACACACCAACGACAAGAGCAGGTCGGGGCCTGACCAAAACCAATGCAGCTGCTGGTTAGGCCACATTTCCATTGGCGATGAAGGCTACGTTCACACTAACGGCGCTGGCAGGACAGTTCGTCATCACGATGCCAGAGCCACATAGCTCACTGGTGCGGTGCCATGCGATCGCAGACTAACCACACCGTGCTCTAAAATAGCTCCTAGTCTGCCCTCACGAACAGAAAAGGAAAAAACGTAGCAACCTAAACTGACATACTAGTATGTTGAAGCTGTTTCCAGTCCCATTCGCTCGATTCTTCCATGGTCATGCCATGGTTCTCAGTAGGATGATTGAACATGACATTAGCCGTGGTGCACATACCTTTTGGTTGATTCTGGGTGAAATAGTGTCCTTCTTATGATGTGTTTCGAATGTGTGCAGAACTTGTCAGATCTCTATTTTTTAGCTACTGTACCCTTGTTATCTCCTCGTACGGCAACACCAACACAAATACAGTTTCTGCCGCAGTTTCTGCAAGTCATATCAGCCTTGCACTCACGAGTCTTTGGACGGAGCAAACTGCATCTGCCCCGCTGAGAGGCTGAGAGGCACATTGACAACCTCTCCGGGTCTCAGCAAGGCAACAGGACAGGGTGGCTGGTTACTGGCCACTCGACAATGGATGTTGATGCTGACCTCCGTGTGGTTGTGCACCTGGGATGTTGCATGTACAGAAACAGGACACATGCGTGCATGCACACACACACGGACGGACGGATGGATGCACGCATACACACACACACACACACACACACACACACACACACACACACACACACACACACACAAACACACACACAAACACAAACACACACACAACATACTTTCTGATGTAAAGCTGCCACCAGTCAATCACCATAAGAGGGAAGTGACAGTGTATGAACAAGGGTATACAATCTGACAATCATTGATAACGTTACATCATACCAGGACCTACCTGCATGGGTGATCGGAGTGTCACAACCTTCTGCGCCCCGGCCAAATCAATCTGGACTATGATGCCATACAGGGCAGCACTCTACAATATACACAGACACACATACACAGACACAAAGACACACGAAAGCGCACATACACACACGCACACGCGTGCACGAGCATGCGTGCGCGCACACATACACACACACACACACACGCACGGACACACACACACGGACACACACACAAGTATAACGGCAACATGGTTGTCACATGGCAATCAATACAGAATGATAGACACAATGCCACAGAACTAGATTTTCACACACACACACACACACACACACACACACACACACACACACACACACACACACACACACACACACACACACACACACACACACACACACACACACACACACACACACACACACACACACACACACACACACACACACACACACACACACACACACACACACACACACACACACACACACACACACACACACACACACACACACACACACACACACACACACACACACACACACACACACACACACACACACACACACACACACACACACACACACACACACACACACACACACACACACACACACACACACACACACACACACACACACACACACACACACACACACACACACACACACACACACACACACACACACACACACACACACACACACACACACACACACACACACACACACACACACACACACACACACACACACACACACACACACACACACACACACACACACACACACACACACACACACACACACACACACACACACACACACACACACACACACACACACACACACACACACACACACACACACACACACACACACACACACACACACACACACACATAAATAGAGCCTTCGGTGGCCAACGTCATAGAGAAGACAAACACGCGTTGGGCCAGCAGGAAAGCTGTACGGATTGTCAGGTTCTTGGTATAATAATCAGTTCCTGTCAGTCGGGTTTCAGGCACAACAATTGGTCTGGTCTCTAAGACAAAAATTAGTCAAGGTTATGGGAGTAAATCAGTGACGCTTCTGGCAATGAATCAATCAGGTTTCTGGAACTAAATCCTGAGCATGGGACAGTTCAGACTTCGTGGAATCCTAGGTTTCCAGGGTTGAAGAACATCAGCGCATAAAACATTTCAGACGGGAAGACACCACAAGAGTACAGTCACTGAGCAGTGATGCGGGCAGTTCAGAGTACACACCGGTAGAACGTGATAGAAGCGGCCACAGCGATGAACGGGCAAGTCAATAGCAGCAAACTTGGGCATGTCCTTCTGCGCACCGCACACCTAGAGCAACACAAACAGAGACATCGCAGGGGTAAATCACATACCTACAGCAACACAGACAGAGGTACTGCAAGGATGAAACACACGCACGCACGCACACGCACGCACGCACACACACACACACACACACACGCACACACACACAAGAGACCGAAAGTGTTTTCACAAGTACACTAAACCGCCCACATCATGCATGACATTGGGAGTGTGAAATGTAAAAAAGAAGAAGGAATAAATAGAAAAGATCCCAGACACAAACAGCAAAAGAAGAAAAAAGGACAGGTTACTCCACCCTAGTAAGGTACAAGGATCCTTAGCCAAGCCATGCAGCAGCAGTGCACAGCACGTACAAGATCATCCTCTGCCAACACAGCCAAGCACATTGGTCAGACTTACCGTGATGGCAACTACATCATTGATGTCGGCCTTGGATGTTTGGACGCTGGAAGTCGACATGACGCTCTGGTGGCGGCGTCTGTCCGACTCCTCTCGCGTCAACGACAGAGAGGCAGAGCCACCGGCGGAGGTGATGCGTGTAGCTGTTGCATCGCTCTCAGCCTATCACAGGATAACACAAGGCAGTCCTCAGTGAGCATGCATAACCAAAACTACAACCAATAACAAGCATGTCCTGATGACGAGAAAGGAAGACCTCGTGCCACTCCACAATATCACACTATGTTTTAGTTTGACAGCATATTACAAGGCGCTGTCAAACTAAAAACGTGTTTCTACAATACAAGGTTTATCTAATACAATATCACACCAGTAACATCAACTTGTGCTTGAGAGGTTGCCAGATCTACTCATTGTGCTATGAAGGGTACAGGAGATGGTACTGGGCTATGGGGGTATCCTGATGAGAGGCACACACACTCACCTTGAACGAAGAGCCAGGTACCATCATGACATCAACTTCAAGCTAAGAGACACGATGCACACAATGCACACAATGCCGACAACGTCAACAACAACGACGACAACAACAACAACAACAACAACAACAACAACAGCAACAGCAACAGCAACAGCAACAGCAACAGCAACAGCAACAGCAACAGCAACAGCAACAGCAACAGCAACAGCAACAGCAACAGCAACAACAACAACAACAACAACAACAACAACAGCATACTGGGTTAGTAGTGACTTAGTACACAAGGTTTGCTTTTCATATATTTTCAATTTATTTCGACAACATCATCTGGCATGTCAACAGATTGCCAGTTGTTTGAATGCCATGCCTACTTCCCTTTCCTCGGAACAGTACCCACAAGTGGTGCAAGTGAACACGTGCACGCTATCTACAGTAGCTTGACAGTATGACAAACACCGAGCACCCTAGAGCACTGCACAGGTGTGGAGGAAGAGAAAGCATAGCAGAGACGATTGCAGTACGGAGAAGAGTGAAAAAGGTTCAGCTGCGGTAATCAGCAGCTACATCTTTCCTACCATGTTGACAATCTTGTATTGGCTACTGGCTTTAGACTGTTGCTTGCCGCCAGCACCGTCCACCCTGTCCACACCGGCTTCGGGTTTGGCTACGCTTGCGGCGGCACCAAACACCTGTGCAGAACATACGGGAGCAGAGCAACAATAGACGGATATCTCAATGTGTTGTCAGTACGTTGTCGTCCACTGTAGACTCACCAGCATAGCAGAGACATTACGCGCGCGCTCATACACAAGCATCCCCCCCCCCCCCACAGACACACAAGCACTCATACGCTCATTCGTCGGCACGATGCCACACACAGACAGAGACAGACACAAAGACAGACGCACAGACACAGACACACACGTGCACACACACATACCTCAGCTGTTACTTGCAAGACCTGTATTCCGGTCTTGGTAAGGGTCATCTGCAGAAGATCACGTGACTGCAGTGACAGTGCCATCAGTGGCAGTTGATCTGCAGCCGGCTTGCGATTGCGACGCACGATCTGCTGGGCACGCTTCTTTCCCTTCTTGTAGATCTTTCGCTTCTTCTTTCTCAGAAGACCGTCCACATTCACTTGGTCATCGTCGTCATCGTCATCCTCGTCCTCCTCATCCTCGTCAGGTTTGTTGATGGTGAGCTGCATGAATATCACCAAGATATGCACCATTGAAGCGTTGCTATAGGAACGCAGGGAGGGGCTGCCGACCATGAACATAAGCCAGTCCAATGTGTACAGTAGAGGAATATATATCTCCAATTCTCGCTACTAAGGGTAGGGTCAGCGCGGACTGCGGAACCAGGGAAATCCCCAACCTGAGTGCCATAATGACTCGTCCGTCCCTCCGTAAGAGCAAACTGACTGAAAACAGATGATGCCCCCCCCCCCCCTCCCCCTCAAAAGAACATCAACTTTCATACCTCAGCTGTGATCTTGTATGGTCGGTATGTGTATGACACCGTTTCTATGGGCTCAATGAGTGGCTCCCAGAGAGCAAGCTTGCGATTGAAGTACGATGCCTGAACTGAAATATCAATCGTGCCCTTCAGCTGCATATAACGAAAAAATGAAGGACAACACAACAAGAAAACAGTTGTGTGAGGAGAAGAAACTACAAACGAGAAGAGAAGGCAGTTTGCAGTTTTCACTCAAGAAGACAAAGAGAGGTAGGACAAGAAGTAATTTTGCTTCTCTGACGCTGCATACTGTCGCTTCAAGCTGCCAACATGTTGAGAAAGACAGTGATTTCAAATAATCTGCACACCACCGCCTGATAGTGTTAAAAGTGTGGCATGCAAGAGAATACTGTGTCCAGTGCGGTCTTGTTCTGTCGTCGCATTTATCAACACATTAACGCACTCTCCACATACAGGCATGCACCCGGCTCAGAACACATTGTTTTCTGGTTGGCATATCAGGGATATTGGGCGGAGCAGCTGGCGTGCATGAGAAAGACAGGTCGGCCTGCTCTGCGCAGGAGCTGTGACCCGGTGCACACATAGTGTGTGTGAGAGAGAGACAGACAGGTCGGCCTGCTCTGCGCAGGAGCTGTGACCTGGAGCACACAGAGTGTGAACGAGAGACGGTCGGCCTGCCGTGGGCAGGAGCTGCGACCGGTAGTGATTGAAATGAGCCAGCTGCGGAGATAGACTGCCCTCACCCGATATAAGTATATTGACAAGAGTTGTACTGACACTGTTATTGAGGAAATTATGGTGACAGTGACGGAGAGATAGTGATCCCCAGTCGAATGGGGTTGGGAGGGAAGGGGAAATTGACACTGACGGACAAACCAGTGAACAGTCAAGTCGTCAGAAAGCAAAAGTGACAAAGGAGTCTCTCTTTTCTCCTTCTCTCTCTCTAAAGCAAGATTTGGAATGCATGCGTGGGAGAGTGGCGCGCGCTGCGCATGCGCATGTATAGCAATGACATCATAATCAGATGCATGATCATCAGACTAAGTATGAGTGGTAGATGTTCCACGTTCGTTAACAGGGCTTAGCGCACACGCTAAACCACCATTAACGCACTCTCCACATACAGGCATGCACCCGGCTCAGAACACATTGTTTTCTGGTTGGCATATCAGGGATATTGGGCGGAGCAGCTGGCGTGCATGAGAAAGACAGGTCGGCCTGCTCTGCGCAGGAGCTGTGACCCGGTGCACACATAGTGTGTGTGAGAGAGAGACAGACAGGTCGGCCTGCTCTGCGCAGGAGCTGTGACCTGGAGCACACAGAGTGTGAACGAGAGACGGTCGGCCTGCCGTGGGCAGGAGCTGCGACCGGTAGTGATTGAAATGAGCCAGCTGCGGAGATAGACTGCCCGTTCCCAATATCCCCAATATGGCATGAGAGTAATAATGAAATACGACTGGTGTATTGTGCTGTACTGACAGCAGCAATGTAAAGCTAAAGCTAAGCAGTTCAGGCATGATGTGGCCACTAACCCGCAGCTACCATTGATGACTTTGAACTGCAGCTAATTGACGTGACACTCGCAGGGTGTCAGCTGTAGCAGCCCGGATGTAGCGGTGGACCGCATCACTGCGCCATCTACCCATGATACGGATGATGTGTTCGGGGACACCTGCCATGGCCGCTGATGTTGCGGCGCCAATCCGGAAAGAGTGACTGGCATATGCACTCGGGTCCGTGACCCCACAGAGTGGCAGCAGGTTGCGCAGTTCAGAGGACACTGCATTTCTTGTAAGCGGCTGGCCATTAGCATAAGTGAACAGATGGTCGCCGCCGGGGCGAAACGCCAGGTAGTTTGCCATGGCCTGCACTGGGCAGATCAGTGCGTCCGTGCTGGCTCCAACCAATACTGTGTGGCCCGTGCTGTCGGGGTCCGTCTTAGATGAGCGCACGTTTACCGATAACGACCGCTGGTCAGTACTGATCGTCACATCACATCGCCTCAGGCCAGCAGTCAGTTCTCCACAACGGAAGAACCCATGAAACGCCAAGGAAAAAGCTGCCCTTAGCATGGCCTTGTCGTGAGGGTGCCGCATGCGTGGGACGGCAACATGCCGGCAGATCTCCCTGAGAAGTGGAGTGGTTATCGGCAGACGATGACGCTGTGTCGATGACGACCTGTCGATGCCCCGCAGGACCCTAGCGAGGAGAGTTGTTGGGCCCGACGGGTAAGCAAAGCCAAGTTCCACATGAAGGTTGCGGATTGCTGACATGTAGACACGGACAGATCGAGGCTGAAGAGTCCTGAACAACTCGGCAGCAAAATAGCACAAAGTAAAGTCGTCGCCCGGCAATGGGTTGCAGGCATGCACTTGGCAGAACTGGAAGTAGCGGGTCTCGGCGGTAGAATACGTCCGGCGGGAGGATGGTGCTATTGCCAGTGCTGCTAGCTGTAGCACGGAGTCTGTCAACGGAGAGTTGGCAAGACTGGCTGATCTGGCTCGGCTGCTGCTTCCGGGGCCTGGTGCCTGAATACCTGCAGCAAATTGCGAGACAATGCATCGGCGACAGTGTTAGTGACACCAGGAATGTGGACAGCTGACACCAAGAAGTCATGCTCAATACACAGCAGATACAATGCCCGGATAAGTGTCATGACTGGCGGTGAACGGCAGGTACCGGAGCGTATACAGTCCACCACGGCCTTGTTGTCACACTGAAACTGAATGCGTCGCCTGCTCCACTCCGAACCCCAGGTCGCGCAGGCAACTATGATAGCATACATTTCTTTGAACTCAATGTTCTCGTTCTCGTTCTGGGCTGTCCACTCTCCTCTCAGCCACCGGCCGTTGTAGAAGGCACCATAACCGTGAGTGCCGCTGGCATCAGTCTGTAGTTGCATGTCGGGGGCTGGCGTCCACTCATCCACCAGGAAGAATGACTTCCCATTCCATATGGTCAGGGCCTCTGCCCACCACAACAGGTCTGCCATTGCCGATGCCGAAATGCGTAGCCATTGGTGCAATGGTGTTGATCGAGTTGCTCTGTCCAGGTCGTACAGGCGTCTCAGGAATGTGCGACCAGCTGGTACAGCTCTGGACGCGAACGAGAGTTTGCCCAATACGGAGGCGAGGTCGCGTTTCTGAACCCGGCCGGATTGGACGAGGGCCGACACGGTGGTAGATAGCTTAGTCAGCTTTGAGGGTGGAAGGCGGATCTCCAGAGCCATTGTGTCCAGCTCTAAGCCCAGGAAGGTGAGAACCGTAGAGGGGCCGTCAACCTTCTCAGGTGCAACTGGGACCTGTAAATATGCAAACAGGTCCAGCAGTAGTGACTTCTGGTGCTGGGCAAGAGGAAGACTGGGAGGCGATACATTCAGGAAGTCATCCAGATAATGAATGAGATGGGGAAGGCGGCATGTGTCCTCCAGAACCCAATGAAGGGCAGATGCAAACTTGTCAAATATGTACGGAGCTGACCGAAGGCCGAACGGGAGGACTTTTTCGAAATAGTAACGACCATCCCAAGAGATACCCAACAAGTGCCAGTCAGAGGGGGCAACAGGGCATAATCGGAAGGCGTTTCGAATGTCCACTTTGGTCAGGTAGCAACCACGGCCTAACTTCATGATATAGGAGATAGCCGAATCGACAGTGTCATACTCCAAGCTGAATGACTCCCGGGAAATACCATCATTGACACTGCGGCCAGTGGGGGAGGATAGGTCATGGATGAGGCGAAATTTGCCATTGGATTTTGGGATCAGGCCCAAACCCGAGGTTTGAAACAGCTGATATGGCGGCTCAGCAAACGGACCAGCTGTTTCCCCAGCATCGCAACAAGACTGTAGGTACAGGGTGACAAATTGTTTATTGCAGAGACTAGACGGATGATTGACAGATTGAATGCATGATACCAGAGGAGTGGTGTGACCAATCGAGAAGCCGTTAAACATGCCAGCACATACATAATCACGAAACAGGGCATCAGGGTGAGCAGCTAGCAGTGCAGTTAGCCGAGGCACGTTGACTGGAGTGACGATGTCACTGGGAAGACTGAGAGGCCGCTCGGGTGCAAGTCTTCTTTGGGTGTTTGCCGCGGCATGAAAGACAGACATGGGCCCGTATGCAGGACGGGTATGTGCAGGCGCCGTTATTGTAATTCCGGCAGATCTGGCGGCCATCGTGACGAGGAGCTGGGCTGGTGGCTGACTGGCTCCCGCCTGCGTGTTGCGCAAGAGGGAGCCCTCCACGAAAGGGGCAATGCGGGGCTGGAGATGGGTGCACGAGAGAACAACGCGAGCAGATAGGGCGCCCGCGGCTCGTGAAGCAGGACTGCCAGAGGTTAGGGTCCAGTTGCCGCCAGGAATACAGGTGCGGCATGGCAGCAAGACCAGCACGGAAACGACGGTCATAGGTCAGCCACGCGTCGGTCAGGTAATTGTTGTTGGCCTCGATGATATTGGCTTGGTACGCCAGCAAATCTGGAGCTTGGTCCGGCGACGCATCGACCAGGACTCTGGTGAACAAGGTGAAGGCCTCTAACCACGTCGCCAAGTCATGGACTCGGCGCTTGGAGGGCTGGGGAGTGGACGAGCTCTGCACCAGCTCAACGGACCTGCCGTTCACCAACGACAACTGCAGGACATCACTACTGCCGGACATGGCTTCAGGCAACAAGTCCCCAAATTCGACAAACTCACCTCGTGTGATACGTTCCCGTAGCCGTGGAGGGATGACGGGGAGTCCTGGAGAGCCGGCTGCGCAAGCCAAGTGCATCGGGGAAGGCTGCCCCAGCGGGAGAGGAGCTGATGCTGGTGCTGGTGCTGGTGCGGCAATGGGCGAGGTGGTAGGGGCGACGACGTTGGATTCCAAGCGCTCCACGCGCTCCAGGAGGGGCTGGATAACACCAGTCAGGTCGCTCAGGGTGAGAGGAGCTGGTTGTGACGGCGCAGGAGAAGTCACCTGGTCCGCATTGGCTGAAATGTGCCCATGAGCATGGATCACACGGGACCTCGCTCTCCGATGGTCTTGAGAATTCGCAGAATTCACAGCCCGCTGCGGATACGGGTAGAGAGCTGGGGGACCGTCAGCGTCAGTGCCAGCAGCGCTTGCACCCCGTGAGGTGCTCCGTGTTCTTGGCATGTCCGTTGAGGCAGGAAAATGTAGGAAATTGACACTGACGGACAAACCAGTGAACAGTCAAGTCGTCAGAAAGCAAAAGTGACAAAGGAGTCTCTCTTTTCTCCTTCTCTCTCTCTAAAGCAAGATTTGGAATGCATGCGTGGGAGAGTGGCGCGCGCTGCGCATGCGCATGTATAGCAATGACATCATAATCAGATGCATGATCATCAGACTAAGTATGAGTGGTAGATGTTCCACGTTCGTTAACAGGGCTTAGCGCACACGCTAAACCACCAGAACATCACTGACAATAGCGGATATGCAGTACATGCCACATCGTACGTTTGTCACTCAAAGCTCTTCTATAGAAGGGATTTCTGTACGCACTTTATCCATAAATGGGCATTTTGCCACTTAGCTTCTTCCTTCCCATATAAGGTGGATTGGACGTCATTGCTCATCCTCTATACAACGGCTGTACAAAATCATGTGATCAACTGCACCCTACCTGGCCGGACCAATTACACACCGAGGCACTGACGGTCGTGTGAAGACCCAACAGTGGCACCATGATCTTGTTCTCCGCGTCCAATGGCCCTGCACCGGCGGCGGCCCTGGAGCTATCGCTGTCAGTGCGGTCATACTGGCGGTCTGGCTCAAACAGCAGCACAATATCCAAGGTGCGAATTGTTACATCAAACTGTGCACAAACAAACAAGCATGCATGCAAACAAATACACACACACACGCACACACACACACACACACACACACACACACACACACACATGCACACACGCGCGCGCGCGTGCGTGCGTGCACACACACACAGCGTCACGGAACTGGCGCATGGCGTGTCGCTCTGTCGGACACAACATGCAGAGCGTGGCACGGAGTACCTGCGGATCATGACGTGCTGGCTCAAAGTCACAACTGCAGATCTGCACTAATCCAAACGTCCTACTATCACTGCATGGTACTGCTGATACAAGTGCATACATGGAAGGGAGGTAGAGGGGGGGGGGGGGGGGCATGATACAACACATGTACTCTTGCCAGTGAGGAATGCAGACATTCAGGACCACGATATGAGAGAGCAAGCAATGTGTACCATTGTCACCTGTTTTTGGGGAAATAAGAGTGTGATTTGAACCCTGGAAAAAAAGCGGTATCTACAGTGCATTTCAAAACTATAGACACGCAGTGTTTTTGAAATATGGGCCTCAACCAGCGAAACCAGCCCTTAGGGTCAACATTTTCAAAATTCCTTTTTGGTTAGAAATTTGTTGAACCACATCTACTGAAGGCCCTCAGCCAAGAAAAAGTTCAATATTCCGATTCTAAACGGGTGTATACTCCAATATACAATATGTACTCCAAATTGGTGCAATGTATGTATACAATGTATGTGTACAATGAATATTCAGCATTCGAAGGTGGGTGGGCAGCTTGCATACTTTTGAAATAGTGAAGTAAGCAGCTATAATGACAAAGAATAGCTGATGAGTGCGGAGAAATGATCGACATGATCGCAGCTGCATCCTGCGTGGAGTCGTTCCGCAATCTCGTCTTCCATTTCTTCCTCTGCAGCTGAAGACACGACGTCGCTACCGTCACTACTGACACTAGCCCCAGACTTAGAATTTATCTCAGGTGACGACTCCTCATCTTCCGACTCTGACGAGTCATCGGCCACCTTGAGCCGCATCGCAGCAGGAGATGACGGCTGCGATTCCGCCTCGCTGTCGACATCGATGTCGGAACCAAAGAACGTTTCATCCTCATTTTGCTTCAGCGGCTACTTCAGCATCCACTCCCCACCAGGCTCGAGCTAGCTGTAGACAATGACTGCCGTGTGTGCTCTGCGAACAGCTCTGGCGTCCGCAGCCATCGCAACAAGATCAAGGAACACTGGGTCGCCACTCGACACCACTTCAACTTCAAAATAAATTACTTCAAGCAAGGAGTTCAAGAAGTCGTCGCGCTGTTTGCAGCGCGATCAAAAAATTGTTGAACGTCACA